AAGGGGACTTTACCCGCTTCTTTCTCTTTTACCGAGCGCGCTAAAAAGACGGATATCAGCGCTAAAAAAAATTGAATCTGTCAAATGGTCTAACAGACACTAAATTTGTTCGAGTCAGTCTTCACATTCATACCAGAGAAGACTCCTGTTCATAATATCCGTAGCTTGATCTGGCATCCTAAATAGGAAAACTAAGGTTAGGCCGAGATGAGTTCGAGAGCGTATTTGCTGCTGATGACAAGTGGCTCTTTCATAAGGGGGGATGCTGGCAACTTTTGACCGGTTATGCTCGACATTCCGTGGGTACCCAAGAAAAACAATACGGCTAATCACATTCGGATTGTGATACTACGGACCAAGCGTGCCAAGTGGTTCTTTGCCGAAGCCGAAGCCGCTTTCTAATTCATTGGCCATTTAGGTGGGTAGCTTCGAGCAAATTGAACACATAAGCTAGCCACTACCATGGGGAGAAAATGAAAAATGCATAATGCCCTAATGTTTTTGGTTATACGTGAGGCTGGCCTGTTGGCTTCTATCTACAACAGTCCCTAGCTCGCATCTGTAACCCTGGAACAGCACCCTACCTGTGTGAAAATCATCACAGGATCGAGCTTACAGTTTGAGTATACAATACTCTCCCAAGAGAGTAGAGCTGTGTCTGAGTCGATTATCTTCTGTTTTTGTTGATTAGATAAGACGTCGTCACATTTGAGGGATATGAAAGGCCTGCACTGCTGAAAGGCTTTCTTAAAAATACGTGAGGACCGTGAGTAACACTAACCCTCGAGCTTTTCGAATAGTACAGTGCGAAACGTTTATGGAATGGCAGAGCAAGAGTAGGACTTTGACCCTACCATAGTATCTGCAACCCTGAGGAGCCTGGGTAGATGGTTACTTTGACCCACCTTCAATATAATGGTATACCCTCAGTGAACACCTACCCAGCTTAGGAAGCACAGCAGAGAACAATATACGAAGATTTAGTTCATATGAAAGAAAAGCTTACTGGAGGCCAAGCCATGTGTAGACGTGCTTGTGAATGGTTGCTAGTTATCCACTGAGCATGCGGACGTCTAGAACCCACTTTAATATGTTGGTAGAGTCCCCCTGTGGTCAAGCTGGATGTAGTTTCCCTGCATTCGCCGAGTCTACGGAAGAACAATTTTCCAACCCAGTAAGGCTCGATCCTGACGTACGGAAGGTCAATTTGTTGTTGTGCTGAAAAACTTCGAGCCAATTGAACACTGTTAACCTTGCGTTCGTCAACGCTGTCAATCAAATGTGATGCGTTTCCACCAGTAGGCAAGTCTCTGCAATCGGGGAGATCACTAAGGTCAATACCCAGGCTCGGGGCTATTGTACTACCGGAATGCGCGGGGCGGAGCGAACGCACATGAGGGCCATGCTGGAGCGGAAGTGCGTGCGACTGCTGGAGTTTGGGCGCAAGTTCGGGCACAAATGCTGGGAAACTGATGGATCAGGAGACTGAGTGCTCAGTGGCGAACCAGTGTGTGTGAGGCACGGGCGGCAAAGCATGATACGGGTGCTATGGTAGCTCATGGCTAGAGAAATGCGTTCTCGCTTCCACTGGCTGTTGCTGTCACCCGGAATGTCTACCTCATCACTGTTCACCGAGGTGAATCGGTAGGCCTCGGGAACCTTGCTGACCAGATGTTTAGAATACTGCTACATTTTCGGATTTTCGGATTTGCTGCTCAATCTGGCTGCCACAGTGGTAGAGACCTTGAATACTGCAAACGTTGTTGATGATAACCTGCCCGATGGCAGCTAGGTCCACAATACAATGAAAGAACAGTGACAGGCTGGGTTCACAGGATGCGAGCCAGGACACACTGGCACACGCTTCCTCCGTTTGGAGGAGCGTGAGCCTGAGGCGGTCGATACGTGATAAGGAGTCTTGGAGAAGAGACAATCTAAATACCTAACTGACCCTTGATTATATGCTGTTGAGACATTTGAGTCACCCCTGCTGGTTGGTGGCCATCGATATATCGTTTTGGTCTACTTGGCAAAAATCTGTTCCAACATACATGCTCACGGACTTGTACGTGGTATATTACTTTAATATGGGAGGTAATATCGCTTGTAGATTGATTCTGATGAAATAGATTGATATTATCAGTCTTGTACGATTTTAGATTAGGTGTAGAATATTTATAACCAGGAAAATAAATAATAAAGTACTGTATATAGAGAAATGATCAGTATCATCTACTAATTATAATACATACAGTATGCGGTGAGGGAAGCGGTGAGTGTACTTAGCTTTGAAATCATTTTTGCCCGATGGCCGCTATTACCCGCCGTAGTAAACCCTGCTGTATCGTGGCCGCTACCGGTCGCCCTGCGACAATCACAACTGCTGTGTGGATGGAAGCGACTTCCGACCTCAGCCGAACGTGCTCTACCAAAGATAGTCGCTCTCCGGAATGAACATCCATCTGAGTTTTCCCTTGCTCCTGTGGCCCTGCCATATAGCTGTAAAATTAGAGTTCGGGCGAGGACCTCTTCCTAAAGAACCCTCTCGTTCTGCTAATATCTGACCCACTCGAGATTTTAATGTCAATTCCGCCCCGTTCCCAACCGCCGCGAGACTTCATGCTCCATGAGGCCACTTGCAGTCGACCAGACCTTGCCACTCCCTGAAAACCCTTGCAAGATATACGATCCAGGCTTCTTTTTAGACGGGCCGGCAACTGGGTCACTTCTGGGGTTCCCCGGACTTGCCAAGATGAACATGCAGCTTGAAGACTACGTATCTTTGGAAGAAAGTGACCCGAATCAGGATGCGTTTGCCCTTTTAAGTCAAGGCACGAATGGCATCTCCGTTAATGAGCTGAGTGTCCAGGACACTCATGCCAACCCTCCACACAGTGAATACAGTGCTTTCCCATGATAACTATTTACTACAGCATTTTATTATGCCGTTCTTTAGCTTAAACAAAGTTCAAGCGTTCAAGGAGCCAGCGTATTGAACAAGCAAGATGTCGGATTTGCCACAGCACGCGAAATACGTGTTAGATGAGCATGGAACGTTGTTGGTGGCTATGGAGCCGTCCGGGGAGTAGCATGTAGCTGTTGCGCTGCTTGGTGGTGTTAAAATGGCGAGGAAGAGTATCGCTGTCGCGTGGATTGCTCTGACAATCATAGTGTGCGGATGAGATGAGATCACGTCCTATACCTGTCCTTATGTAAAGAGAGAATAAATTCCAGTCAAGGATTCAGCGACACAATGCTCGTGTCCCTGGGACACTGCTGCCTGAGAGAAAACTTGAGACCAACAGACAGAAATGAGCGGGCGAGCCGCATTGCGAATCCAACTAAATATCACTAATCCGGCTATGGCTGCCAGCTGATAATAGAACTCCTGCATTGCAGGGTAAATCACTACATGATGGCTGAATCTTATTCGTCTCGTTGCTATGTTCAGGCCTTCCAGTGTATTTTCTTTTGTTTACAGCTGTAGGTAGGGTGGGATAAGTTGCATAGTTGGTTAGTTGATCTTGTATTCAAATTTGGTTTGTTTGGTAAGTGTTTAAAGGGGGGGTAATGGAAGGATTGACGAATGGACTGTGAATGGGGGCCGATTCCTCACCAACTTTGTGAGTCGGTGCCGCGAGGCTGTGGTTGCATTGGGTGGCAAGCGAAGCCATTTACTGTGTAATTTCATCGGTATTATACCTAATCAAACAAGTGGTGTAAAGTCCATACAAAATTCTAGAAGCTTTGGTCATTGGTAATTAAGGCACGTGCCAGATAGATGGGGCAATGTATTAACATCAAACATCTTCACTTTACCATTTGTAAATCTAGGCTGCTGTTGAAGAGTCTGAATCCACTATATAAGGGCTGATGATTTGAACAGGACAGGCCAAGTTAGTAAAATTTATAATATTAGTAAATGGTTGGCACGTTAAGCATCTAGTCGGGACGGGCGTAAGGTGAGTGCTTAGCGTCGAGAATCCTGCGGACTATCTACTGCTTACTATACTACCTTCCCATGCGGTAATTATCTCCGAAGTAGCCTAGCTGAGCGTCTTCCAGATATTGAGGCCCCGCCCAAAACCTCTCACCCCAGGTGTCTCCAGGTTTGCTCCTTAAGCATGCATCACCGGCATTTCAGCTAGAGCGGCTTCACTTCAGTCAACAGCCGCAGGTTCTCAGTGCGAGTGAGATAGCCGATTCCCGTCTCTTTGCACACCGACACGCGCGTCCGTCCTCTCGGGCCACATAGACAGTCTCGTCAAGTTCTTTCTACTTGTCCGTCACTGCCATTATGTGCCACGCCCCACAGGGAATGTTTCCCTCCTTCGCGTTACTAGCCGAGATCTCTCTCGACTAGCCGACCGTGTCTTGCAGAGGTGGCCTAGAAGCATCCAGTAGCCCTGCGCGATACTCCGACCATCCTCCACTAACCAAGCTTGTGTCCCCAGTTTTGCAGACTTTCCGAGCACCCGTAGCTACGCCTTAACGAGTTCAGTGAGGTTCGTCGCTGGATCGCACGCCCCTAGGGAAGTAGACGGTCAGCATTTCCAATCAAGACTGCCCGTGGCAGAGCCTTAACGAGGGTCTTGTAACCAGAACTGTTGGCACCCATTCCCCAGACTCGCGTTATCCACTGCTTGACTAGTTCTATTCTCCCTCGCCGCTCCACGCATATTCGAATTATGTTCTCACGATTCTGCTGGGCGTGTCGCAATCTCAGAGAGCGTTCAAGCTCAGAGGCGTCCTGTCTCCTGTTTAGACGATACCACGTCTGCTGGAAAAGCAAGTCCAGTGTCGGTCTCGAGTACGAATCGAGTAAACAGTCGTCGGATGGTTTTTATAACCCTTTTCCTTTGATTTTCGTGGGTTGGGCGGGCTCGGCTACCACGGAAAACTCTGCGGCTCGGCCCTACCCGCACCACCCGGATTCTTTTGGCTTCCCCTCTACGCAGCGAGAGGGTACTGACACCGGACACCACGAGAAGGTAGAATTCCATCGTCCTACCTGTCTGACGAGAACAGTTACCCAGCGTGCTCGCCAGGGGTAGTTGGTACAGTGATCTGCGAAATGAGCCTCCCCCTCAAAACTACTTCTGCTGTAAATTAAAATGCCAATATAGGTTAGTGTTTTATTGGTTAGTTTGAGCTTGGCATTTTTGCCAGAGCCTTACATGTATTGAAATCAATATAACTATGACCAAGGCTGCTGTAAATTACCTGTATGCGGGTGTTAACATTTGTCTTCTGTTCGAGATATAATCTGACTGAACTTCTATTCTTGACACTGCCTGATCAAGTACATATACTCTCATTGCTACATTACTACAGAGAATGGCACCACTTTACACACCTGCAAAGAAACAGCTTATCTGTGATATGATGAAGAATGGCAAGTCTAATCTGCTACAGCTCTTGCAGCGGAATGCAGCGAGCAGGCTGTGGGGAATATTTATTCTAAGTTTTCTAACCTATCTTTTATAAAGTGTGCGTAATGTACTTGACTAAATCCATGCATCACGTGAAGAGCTACCAACTATCACGTATCGGCCAATCACAGCCATTGGTTCCAAATTACTTCAAATATATGGTTGCAGGGTGTCGCCATTTACCCCAAGTCCGTGGCATGCTGCGTATATTACGACGATGCCTAACTTCATCCATCAAGGTACGATCCATCTGGTGAGACGCTATGAATCTTTCCACAAACTTCTCATTTCCCTTGGCCACCTGGTCCTCAAAAAGTGCCATTACATCCTGCATCGTCTTCCTGAATTCTGCTACCTGTATTTCCATTGGGATGGCGTCTTGATCATCATCACTGCCGCCTAGCTCTGAATCGCTCTCTGAGGAGTCGAGTTCAAGCTCCAGTGCGGCAACTCGTACTTGATTGCTCCCGTTCAACTTCCCGGACCTGAACCCCTCTCCAGGGTCACATTCGGGTCGCAAGATCAGTTGGGCATTGTTCCAGAAAGGATATGTTGTTTGGCGACTGACAGTTTCGAAAAATCCAGGACTGGGTGACTCAAAGCAACGCACAATGTGTTTGCATAGAAGGAAGCGGCTGTGCAGGAAGGATTTGCATGCACAAACCCAGTTGGCTGGATTGGTATGGTATTCCTTCAACTTGTCCAGATGAACTGCCTTACAGCTTTCCCTTCGCCATTGTTTTTTGAATGCTTCTCGCCAGCGAGCCTTAAACACGCGGAATTGTCCACTAGATATGGCTGTCATTCGATGAACTGCATCCGGGAGAACTCGAGATGTCAAGACCCACACCACCAGGTCAACCCGCGGGCGATTAAATCGATGCAGATAGTCGTGCTTCAGTGTTCGCCAATGCGACTCAACAATCATCGATGTCTTCACCACGGGGATGTCGCTAGGATCGGCCGCCCGTGCCCACAGTTTCCACTGTTCTGGGCAGTACCAATTGATGTACAGATACGCCCAAAGGCGGTAGTGTCCCCGGGCCTTACACCACGTATACATCTCTGCCGCACATTCTCTGTGCAAAGTCGTCGAGCATTTGTATGTGCCATTAGAATCCGGGATGAGGGGATGGAGGTTAAAATGTCGGCAGAATATCTCCAGAACCGTGTCCCGGTCGTCCTTAGTTGCGGGCTCCAGTCGTCCCACTTCGTCGATTCTCTCACCTTTGGATGGGCACGAGCAATCGCCAAATCGATGGCCCACCGGTCGGCGGACCGGTAACGAGCCCCAGCAGATCTCCAAATCTGAGACCAGCTTCTGAGCTTCCGCCGGCCAGTAGTGATTTTGTGTGTTGGTGCTTTTGGAAGAATTGAGCTTTGTGCTTACTGCCCGTTTCACATGCCAATAGCAAAGTTGAACTTTTACCCCGGGCCACACTTCTGTGACGGCGGCAATCTCCGATGGATCCCTGTCAATCGCGACGCATCTTGGGTTAAACCCGAAATCTTTCAGTCGCTCAAGAAACTGTTGAATAATGTATGCCGTCGCTCCTGGATCCGCGCGGATCGGCTTCTTCTGTGCTGGGTTGGCCTGGGGAGGCTTTAGCAGCTCAACCAGGCAATATGCAAGAGGAACGCCGGTACCTTCAACTTCAGCCAATACTGCAAAGAGGTCCATCCCTCCACTGTTGGTTCCAAACGTTGAGTCCATCACTAATTGGATTATATAGGAGGTCCATAAAATCTTGCGTTGAGCTGTCAATTGCGTTGAGCTGTAGCCGACCCTCCACCGCTCAGGTGGGGGGGAGGCAACGCGACGGGTAGGTGATTTGTCCTAGACGCCAGTCTCGAACAGATTCTCCTATCCTTTGTAAAGGGGTTTGATAAAATAAGGACGAACCTGGCGCCTTCTGTGCTGTAACAGGCGGGACGCACGATGGATTGGGAGTCAAGGAAATGCTTGGGTTTGCGCCGACTATACTGCTGATTATTAGTCTGAATAATAACTGATGCTCTTTCTAGGTTTAATATTTTGATCCCTTATAGACGTATTCCAGGGCGTATGGTGTAAAACAGATTTATTATCTCCAGTGGCAGTCTATAGGAGTATGAAGCCTAATCAAATACATCCATCACATACCGCACGTTTCTCTGGGCTTCAATCCATTTCTCAGCGCTCTCCACGCCTGATATATCGCTGCTGTCTTCACCACCTTCTCGCTTCCCAATCTTTTCCCGGAATATCTTAATGATGGCCCCCTTCACGGAGTCAGCGACACCCCTTGACCCACAGACGAAGATTTTGGCGCCGTTCTGCCACAGCTCCACGACCTCCTGCCGATCATGCCAAATCCGATCGTTCACATGTTTACATCCCTCGCTCTTGTCTGCTGCCTGACTAAATGCCCACCGCACATCGACAACGACATGTTGCTGCCATTCGTCCAGCTGGGCTCGGTACAGATCATCCTGTCCGGGGGAACGGCATCCAAAGAAGAGCAGTGCTGGGGCGAGTTCTTTCTTCTGCTCGATTAGGGCTGCTCGCTCCTGGAGAAAGCCGCGAAAGGGCGCAATGCCCGTTCCAGCCGCGACACATATCATCGGGGTCTTGTCTGGCTCAGTCGGCATGCGAAATCCCGCGTCGGATTTTCGGATCTTTACTTGAAGGATATCACCCGCGCAGAGGGTGTCCAAATACGACGTTGCCACACCAAGGTGGCGCGGCCCACCCTCCCGTGAATGTGACGGCACGTCGAGGATGGAAATGCTGATGGTGACATGGTTTGGGTTCCAGAGGGGGGATGAGGATATCGAACTGTGATACGGTCTGGGTTAGATTAGCTTCACAGGGGTAAGAAGAGAACTGACTATTGACGCATTCGCATGGATGGCAGCATGAGGAGGAAGGATCCTAATGGCAGATCAACAGCTGGATACTGCTCTAAGATGTCCAAGACTGAGTCGCCCTTTGCTAAGATCTCTGTGGTATATGTCTCGTTGGCCAACGCTGTAAGAGCTGTCTTAGTGTCCGCGTCTGTGCTGACATTGGCCATGATTCTCAGGTCCTACAAAAGTTGGAGGGTTAGCCCAAGACATTTAGAAGATGGGATAGGATGGATGTATCCTGGCTTACTTTTCGAGTAGCGGGCTGGGACAGTTCCAAATAAGTACTTAGAATATCGTTGGCTGCCACGGGCCCATCAATCGGCAGAGCAGTTGTTGGTCCGGAGGCTGTGATCTTGACCTGTGCATCCCACGCCAGTTTAAAATGGCGCATTGCCCGGCGAACGGTCTCGGGGGGGTTGATGGGTAGTACCGCCAGGTAGTCGCCTGCCGTGTAAGTTACACCCTTCGGCAGGCGTATCTCTAAGTGCTTCTTTCGTCGTTCCTTCTCGTCCTTGCTTGTGAGAATTTGCGTCTCCACAACCATGCCCTGACCTACGTCCTGGCGGAGCGCCTGCGTTCTCCAGTTGGAGACCGTCACCTCTACAGTAGCCTTCTGGCCAATGGACAAATTCTGCTCGGACTCTCCACCGTATTGGGCGACAAGACGAGGCCACAATGCGTGATCGGCCCAGGTTTCGAATGTAGAGAACATCTCACCGGAGGATGCATCTGCGAGCCCCAAGTCAGCCAGGCGCGTGCCTCCCAGGTTCTCCAGGGTGATGTCGATCAGCCTGGGGATGCGGTGGAATGTTTGGGCCCATTCCTTGTTTCCACAACCGAATAGAGCAAAGGAGACGTCCTTGAGGGGTTCTCCATTCTGATCCAGGTCCTCTAGCCATGAAACGAACTGTTTTGCATTGTCAGGCGGCTGACCCTCGTAAGAAGAGGTGACGATTATGATCGGCTGGCCTGTGGGTAGGGCATCACGGGCACTATCCAGGTCGTCGAAATGAGTGATCTGGAAGCCTTTCGAAATCGCATCGGCAGCAATTCGCCGCGCCAACGTTTCGCATGTTCCGCTGTTGGAGCCATAAAGAATGGTCATCGGAACACGTGTAGACGCTTGGTCAGCCGATTTGGAGGGCATCTTAGCCTGCGTCACCTCCGTCGCCAGTCCGACCAGTCTGCGCTCGAGGGTTGTTGGGGTCAGGCCGTGGCGTAACCGGGCTCTGATGTACATATCCTTCGGTTTGACGGTCAAGGTCTGCTTATAGTGCAGCTCGTAGTCTGGGTCCATCGAGAGATCAAAGTGCTGGAGAAGCATGGCCATGACTAAGAGTGCTTCCTGCCAGGCAAACGGTCGTCCAATACAGGCTCGCATGCCGTTGCCAAAGGGCTTCCACGCATTCGGGAACTCCTTCTGCCGCGCATTAAACGCCTCGTCTGCCATTCGCTCTGGCTGGAATTCATGCGCGTCGTCGCCGTAAACCTCGGGGTCCAGATGCGACTTGGCGAGGAGGTTGAAGATAGCCTCCCCTGCCTTTACGGAGTATTTGCCCGCAAGTAGCGTATCCTCAAAGGCCTCAACGGTGAACATGGGAATTGTCGCATTCAGCCGGAGGGTTTCGCGGAGAACGCTGCTGATATAGGGGAGCTTCGACAGAAGAGATACCTCAATGACCCCTTGCCCGACGACCTCGTCCACCTCCTGCTGCGCCTTGCGGTATGCTTCCGGATGCCTCAATAGTTGATAGAAAGCGAAGGAGAGAAGGCCGGACGTTGTTTCGTGGCCTGCAATGAGGAACGTGATTAGATTATCCATGATACTCTCGTCGGTCATTTTCCGGCCGGTTTGCGAATCAACGCCTCGCAGCATGGCAGCAAGCAGGTCATTGCGATCAGTTTTGCCTGCCTTACGTGCCTCAAGCACACCCTGCGCAGTGTTTCGGAGCACGGCAATGTCATCTTGGAACTTTTGGTCTCTGCTGCGGAAGAAGACGCCCGGCAGCGGTGGCCGTCGAGTCTTCTCGCCGGCCTCTGTCAGAAAGTCGCCCATGGCTTCAACAAACGGGTGTAGCTCCGGCGAGTAGTAGCTGTTGAATCGGTATCCCATAGAGCACAGGGCCAGGGTATCCAGCGTCAGCCGGGTAAAGTCGTCGGTGACCATGATGGAGGTGTCCGGCCCGTATCGCGCCCACTTCAGGGCCAGCTGGCTTGCGATGTCGTACATCTCGTCGAACATGCCGCGGATGGAGAGCGGCCCAAAAGCCGGCATCAGCACTCGGTGTGCAATCTCCCAGTTGACCTCGCCCATTCTCGCCTGTCGACTGTCAGCAGGATCCGGGCCTGCGAAAATGAGGTCCCTTACAGTAAACAGTCCATCATGCACCCCATCTCGCACATGCTGTCATCGTAATTAGCATGTAGCACGGAACTATTAGTTGCACTTTGCTCACCACCAGGGCAGAGTTGACAGACTTCTTGAATCGTTTCTCGTTGCAGGTTTCGTTAACGAGAGCGTGGGTGGATACGACCACGGCTGTTCGCCCGGGGAATCGCAACCGATAGACCTCGCCTACGATGATTAGATTTGAGCATGCGGTGTGGACTGCAGACACACCTAATTCATCTGCCAACCCGATTAGGGATCCCAGGGGGAATTTGGAGTCAATTGTGCCAATGTTGCCGAGAAATGGCAAACCACTAGGCTCAGGGATTTCAACCATGACAACGGTAGATATGTGAGGGACAAAGTGACCAAGGAGGAGAGAGGTGTCTGGAAGGAGGAGACTATATAATGGCGATCCCTCATCTTCGGGATTGCATTACAGCTGGAATATCTTGACTATGCCTTGTGTCGATGCACAGAGGATTCGAATAATACCTCAGCCGGATGGAGGACGCTGATCACTGGCCAATCACCCGCGCGTATCCATGCGCTTCGGCCCACACGTTCTCACTCCTGCCAGTAGGCTTCCGCGAAACCCAATTTGGGTAGAAGAAACCCCGACGGTTGCTAAACTCAACTGACTCTACCGGTATCCGAAACCGGAAACGAAAATCCAATGATCCGAAGCTGGGTCCAACGGTAAAAGTACGTACTACGGAGTAGTAGTAGTTTCTACTAGGAGGACTGTACAGCACCCACTTGTTCGTCTATCCAATCATGCGCCACCGTGTACGCCGTCACCGCCTCGTAATGGAGATTAATGCAGTGCTCAATGTTGTCGAGCACGGTAGCCGAAAAGCTGCTAGCAGCCGGAAACAGAGACGACACGTTGGCTGGCCGCGATGCCTTTCCCTGTCCACATTCGCCCCCGGGTCCTGAACCGTCCGATGTCTCGTCGACATAGCAAAACGCAGCGTCCTGGTTGCCCGTGATTACTGTCACGGGGCCGGAATAATTGGACACCACCTTTATTCTGGAGAATGTAGCCAATTCCCCCACAGAAACAGTTTGTTGGACGTCAAAGTCGAGAGCAGACACCTGGGGATCAAATGTACCATTGCGGCCGTAAAACGCCTTTTCTCTAGCCGGGAAAGACGAGGTAACCAAGTACCCGTCATCCAGGCTGCCGAATCTGGCCGGAAGCGCGTCCTTGGCCGGCACGAGCCCGGTTTGCATGACTAGCGGCGAGTTTGACGAGGCAGCGTACCCAGTAAGCATCATGGCATCAACGGCATCCGGGTACGTGGCGGCCAGCTCGACTCCAATGACGGATCCCTGGGAGTGGCCGACATAAATGACTTTTTCAAACGACCGTCCATGGATGATCTTTCCCCGCTTCAGCTCCACTGCGATCCGGTTGGCCACCGCCGCGTGCAGTGAAATCTGGTCGGTGTGGAATGGATTGGGATGCGAGGAGGCGCCGTCCCCAGCACGATCGATCGACAGCGTGGCGTACCCCCTTCGGGTTGCAAAGTCAACCCAAGAGTAGAGCCGCGACTGGTCGCCCAGCATTCCCAGGGCAGACCAGTAGTCCTTGGTGTACGTGATGCCATGGACGAGCAGTTCAATTGCGTCTCGATGTGGCAATGCCCACGATGGCTCGCAGTAGCGGGCACTAATGTTCAGCGCAGTGGACTCTTCGGCCCAGGTCGAGTTGTTGGATGTCAGCGCGAGCTCGGTGAGCAGGGCGATCACCGAGGCGCCATCGGTAAGAACCGAGCCTTCCAGCTGGCGGTTCCAGGAGGAAACACGCAGAGAGATAACGAGATCCGAGCAATCAGCAGGGCTCTCCCAGGATTCGCTGAGCGACGACGAGATGAAGAGGGTGCATATTGCCACCATTAGATACGAGAAACTGGCATTCAACATGGCGTCCCGGATGTTCTGGCTCGAGGAAGATGCTTGTGGATAACGGAAATTGTGAACATCTCTATTTTTATAGACTTCGAGCAGCCTGCCCCTGGATGAGCATAAACACCCAAGCTTCCACCTCAGCCCGTCATCGTTTCCGAATTTCCGTGGACCAGAGCTGTCGCGTATCAAGAGAACCATAAGCTGGCTACCGAGTTAGCCGATAGGGCTCTCTCAAGATCGAATTTTGCGCGGCCCATATCCCTCGCATAACTAACGAACGTACCAGATTTAGGTCGGTTCTGTGCTATGGGATGTTCGCCTACCCACTCGGATATCCAGATGTCTCTCCACGAACAGATTCGCCCTCGACATGGCACATACTGCTGGCACTTGGCTCTGGACCACGGCTTTCTTACACCGGATATCCTCCAAAATTCGTACCCGGCAATGGAAACAGAGCGACGTCTAACGGGAAAATCACGACTCAAACTGGAGCCACTGGGCGGTCGCAGGCAGTGACTACCATGTCTACCTCTTATTTTACCGGATCCTATAGTATAAATACAACTTCAAGGTGGCGTCCAGGATAACCTTCTGTCGGATCAAGCTTGTTGTGAATCGAGGCTCGATCTGGTAGACAGTAGAGCTTCGTATACGGAATGTATTCCGGATTGAATCAGATTGATTGGACCTCAATCTGATGTTCGTCTAGTATATAAACCCTCAAGTTTTCAGATGTGAATGATAACAATCAATCTTCCTCTGAATTACAACAAAGCTGAGACTGTAATGGCTCGTATTCCCAATAGGCAAATAAGTTAGAGAGCTGGGTCAAACGGACCCAATCTTGGATGCAAAATGTTGAGGTGAGAATGGATTGATTCTCGTTAGTTAACCTAAGGAGTTATCATTTAGAGGGCAGGCTGCCTTATATATATCCACGCCCAATCCCTGCCGCAAAGTTCAGCCACCATGATGCTCAACACAGCCACCGTGATACTCAGACCCAGTGACTGGGGCCCAAAAAACCCAGTTTTGCATAAACCGTAGTCTTAGCATTCATAGTTTACACTTGTTCTCGTTCTGCTTCTAAATATTGCTTAATATTGGACGATGTTGGTGGAATAAAGGGCGGACAGACCTGGACGCAGAACTGGTCGCTCGTGGGGCGCGATGCCGCGTATCCCCTGCTGCGCTCGCGGGTTATCGTCGTGGTAGAGGCGGACATGCACAGCACAGAGAACCTTGTAAATTCCGCTTGATTCCTGCCGCAAGCAGAGGCCACTTCATAAGTAGCTACTATCGTCAGGGCTAGTGTACGAGTAGACGCAGCAAACGTGGATTTCACGTATCAAAATTCGACAGTTGACAGATTAGAGGAATCTTGGGCTTCTACCTATGTCAGAGACTCCACGAGAGTTCGACTTTTCACCCTCTTGGACAAACCGTTGTAGCCGAATCAGCCGGTGGCCAGTTCTGAAAAAGAATACATTTCTTCCGGTTCATCCCGTGACATGAGACCTGTGTAATTGGGTGGATTGCAAGATGACTCTATCGGCCTGTTGTAACTGTTGCATCTCACGATCCCAGAGAGCCTGGTAGTCTCATAGTTAGCGCAACAAGACCGGTACAAGGCTGCTCATATTACTGACCCAATCAAACATCTCCAGGGCGGAATCACCGACCAACATGTCCTGGATAATATTGGGAGACGTGAGGTTTTCTGTAAGTTCCGTAGGACTTCCTTGGCCTTCTTCTTTACCAGATAGAGGAGGCAGGACGTCCACCCTATTCGCCCCTAAAAGATCTAACACCGTACTTGTTATCTCAGCAGCCTTTATTGTCTCTAAAGAGGGTCGTGGTGAAAGTTTCCAGGACATGTGGGAAGACTTCAATAACTCGATAAGCTCAGTCCGGACATGGTCGTTCGAAGAACTACCATCCCTCGACTGGTTAATCACCTCCAGGCATATGACCATAGTAGCCGTGAGGCAATCGGATATTGAGCGAGATAACCCAAACCATGCCCGATGACGACTGTGAGACTTGGCCAGCATGCCCTGAAAAAGCTCTGATTGAAGCGCGAGGATTTGCCGCGCTGCGTCCACACAGATCGATCTGAACTTTCTGTGCGGGTCTGAGCGAGCAGTCGTCAGATATCTGCGATATAAGATGCAACGTGCGCGTTGGTAAGTTATTTCCAAGCAATATCGTTCGATCATTTTTCCATCATCCAGCCTCTGCGCCTCTCGAGGTTGCAGCTGAAAAATGCTGGGCAGCGAGCTCTTGATCTTTTCTAACCGCAGACTAAGTCCTTGCGCCGTATCAGAGACCATGGCACCTCCTGAGACCGTGTCTGTGACCTCACCCACAACGAATAACATCTGCTCCAGGGCAGATATATACGCGATGTTGCTGACATGCTGACCGACGGAACGTGAAGGCGGAAGAACCGTTGTGTCAAGCCCGAAGTCGCTATCTAGGAGATTTCTGGGGAGAGTGACATCTCCCAGCTTTCGGGGGATGACTCGAGGAAGGCCCGTCTGCCACGCGACTTTCGAGTCGATGGAGACCAGCAGAAGCCATGCCCTCCGACGCATCTCCGCTTCGAAGCAAGATATTTGGGGATGATATAGTCGAGGCTCCCGATGATATCCCATCATGATTGCTAGCCTTGAAACGACACCCAGCAGCATGGAGATCCCAGTCTTGAGGTTGTTGCTTTGGAGATACTCGACGCCCAAGTACATGATGGCAGCATCGACCTTGTATCGTCCAGGGGTGGCGAAGTTGGCTTTTGCCAGGGCAATTGCGCAATTCGTTCGGTATACATGGAACGTGCCCGGTAATTGTGGATTAGTGTCTTCAGGATTTGTAGTATGTTCGATGTAAATCGCACATGACAGTATTGAATACAAAAGTGCGAGCCACGCAAGGGACACTCCTGAAGGGTCTTTCCAGAATTCGAGGTACTAACCAAGGTTGAATGTTAGACTGTTGTTGTTGTTGATGAGAGAAATCAATTTTGGAACTGTTACCTCGCTCTTGAAGGTCGGAACATGAATAATTACTAGTAGAGATTGTCAGTCGTTGGACCCACGCAAATGAAGGCATCTAGATTCCTACTAAGTGATGGCTCTTGGGAACCTAGGCAGCGGCGGACAAGCATATCCGCAATGTTCCGAGGTGGTAGTGCTGCGAGAAGCTCTGCCTCGTCCATTTGGTGCGAAATGCCCAGTAGTAAGACGGGACCGTCAGGGCTTGATTCGGTCTCCTCAGCTCCTTGGCCATAATTGACGCTGCGATCCTCTATATTAAGCTCCTGGGTCTGCGGATCATGTTAGATCATACTGCGTCCATAGGTTTACTGCCTAGGAGCAAGAAGAAGAGGTTCCACCCACTGCATTGTTCATCATAGCCTGCCAGTGGCTGGGACTGATGAATCTAGTGCCGCTCGTTTCGGACAGCAGGCATCCGGATACAGAACCTGGCCTTGGGGAGGCGGCTGACTCGGCTTCTGCCTGGGATCTGTCATTGGCAGCATCTGCATCAGGTGTTTTTGCACTGCCATCCAAGGCAACATGTTCTGGTGTAGAAGAATGATCCTGTATGGCTGCCTTCTCTAAACGAAGTAACTTTTGCTCGAGATACCGCAAACGACGATATACCTCGTGGGGTTCTTGTTCTCCCGATACTGGACGCCGTGAACGTTCGGTGATGTATTGACAAGCTGTGTCCTGGCCGCGTCTGAGGCAGTTGGCACAGGGGCGTCCGCGATTGCATTTGACCCTGCAATACTGTTGGTATCCATATTCCCATGCATGGAAAAACGACAACAAACACCCAAAACAGACCGAATACGGGGTGACCTACTTCTTTTCTCTGCACCACGTACACGACAGCAAAACTCGGGGTTTCTGTTCCCGCCGCTTCCGATCGGTTCTTGAAGAAAGAATACTCCCAAGTGGCTCCATTGACGCGACAAAATACTGTATCGTGTGCAGCAGCGAAGTGTGTGAAGCAGACTCGCGGTTCCCGGCTTTCTTGTAAGTAGGTTTCCGGATTACTCGGATTTCTCGGTCTCTTTCCTGTTTGGACCCACTGTTATGGCTCCTTCCTTCTAACTACATTCATAGCTGGTGGACCCTTGGCCATGCTGTCCTTCATTTTTCAAATGAAAAGGAGCTGGAGCCAGTTGAGAATTATGCAGCATAATCGTGAGGCGTTCGTTTTATCCCATACATAACAGCAGGATATAAATCATTGTCCAATGTCCATGGCTAGCCGTATTTGTTCTTTAACGGCAAACAACTGATACTGTCCCTGCTTCTCCCTCAGTTTCACGAGAAAAGTACGTACAATGGCAGGATATGAACCCAGATTCCGCGTGGTCATCGTGGGCGGTTCAATCGCCGGACTCACCCTTGCACACTGTCTGTTGAGGAACAACATCGACTTTGTTGTGTTGGAGTCCCATGTCGATATTGCGCCACAGGTCGGTGCCTCCATCGGTATTCTCCCGAACGGCGCGCGGATTCTGGACCAACTCGGCCTTTACGATGATGTTCTAAATGAAGTCGAGCCCCTTCGGACCTCCTTCATCTGGGCAGATTCTGCCAAGTGCATTACAACGTCGAATTCGCCCGCCATCCTTCACGAGAGGTAAGTAATTAGCACAGGCCCCGTTCGACTAGAAAGACTGATATAACCCGCAACAGACACGGCTATCCCACCGCATTCTTGGATCGCCAGATTCTGCTCGAGATCTTGTATGAGGGTCTTGCGGACCACAAATCCCGTGTTATGGTGAATAGGAAAGTCGCCAAGGTAGAGCATCTTCCTGGAAAAGTTGTGGTTTATTGTGAAGACCAGTCCGTCTACGAGGGTGATGTGGTCGTCGGAGCCGATGGAGTACGGAGTACAGTAAGACGGCAGATGTGGAACTACATGGAGTCTCGAGGTATGAAACAGGACGCTCAGGAGGAACGGAATTGTATGCTTTTCCATTAGGGCCTTTCCATCTCCTCCCAACTCTGCTAATCCGCTGCCTATAGTGATGACGTCCGAGTACAATTGCGTGTTCGGGATATCCACGGCCACCCCGGGGCTGACTCCGGGACATGCTCATCGAACCTTTGCAGAGCACTATTCGATCCTGACAATCGTAGGTAAGGAGGGACGTATCTTCTGGTTTTTCTTCACAAAGATGGACCGAGTGTACTCCGCATCTCAGATCCCCAGGCTCAGCCAGACTGAAATCGACGACCATATCGCCCCGTATCTGCACAAACCCATCACATCAGAGGTGCCTCTCTCCGAGGTTAACAAGAGATCGATTGTGAGAACATTTGTATCGTTGGAGGAGGCATTCTACAAGCATTGGTGTGTGGACCGATATGTTTGTATCGGTGACTCGGCTCATAAGGTACGTCTGCCAAGTACGATAACGTAACGAGATGAGATCCTAACGTGCTGTGTTAAGATGACGCCCAACATGGGCCAGGGAGGGAACAGCGCTATCGAGAGTGCTGCATCTCTTGCAAACAGCCTCGCTGTGCTAGCCCGTGACTCTGCTCATGTAAAGATTGACGTTCAAGACATTCACCGTTGCTTGCAAGCATGGCAGAAGCCCCGTCAAGAGCGCGTGGACAAGATTTGGTTGTCGGCTCATGAATTAACTCGGCTAGAGGCTTTGGAAGGTCCGAAGCAGAAGCTAATCGGGCTGTATCTCCTTCCATATCTCAGCCAATACCTGGTCGATAAAACGTCGGCTACGATTGTCGGAGCGGCCAAACTCGATTGTGCACCTCTACCGCGAAAGTCATTGGACTGCTCAATGCCGTATTTGAATGGAGACGACCATGCTTTGGGCAAGACAGACAACCCGTGGACGCGTGTTCTTTCCACTGCTCCCTTGCTCGGCTGCTACGCTGCTGCCAGAATGACGATGGGGACATTGATCACCCGTGTACGGCTCTTCATGCTGCCTCTGTTTGCTGAAGGTGTATGGACCACAGGCAATGGGGAGGTCTTTAGTCTGACCAGACCGATCTATCATGTTCCGTTTCTGGACAATCTCTTCCGCCCTTTGATTACATGCTTCCTGCCCTCTATCAGCGGGTCTGATCCTCAATCCCGCATCCAAATGCTGTCTTTCATGACCGACCTTGGTCCCATATATGGGATCTGGTTGTTGGAAAGCTACCGCAAGGCCCATTCCTGGGCAGAGCTTCTACTGTGAGTTTACCCCTGCGCTCCATACATTCCGTGGGAGGCGACTAACGACCCGAGAACAGTCCGATTGATGCCGGAATGGCCTTTCAGCTGAAAGGGATCGGCAAACTGGCGCCCATATACTACGCCTTGGAGCACATCCGCACACCTCTTGCCAAGCTTCTACCTGGGGCGAAGCATCAGGTGGAGTCCGAGACCTCAATTTCTCTCCTCCTGGCCATGTTCGCGGGTTACTACCTGCCGACGGTTGCGAATTTCGTAGCTCCGACCATTGAATCGCGCGGCTTCTACAACGCAGTGTGGCAATTGTTCCCGGTTGTCGTACCCCTCTTGCAGATTCCTCTGCATTTCCTAGCTAAGCACCTTCTGGCAACTGAACAAAAGGAGTCAAAACAGGACACGCGGAAGATGAATATGCGCTATGTCCGGTACGCGTATGGGACATTTGCCCTGGTCTCTAGTCTCTCGTTTATCCATGCACGGTTCTCCGTGCCAGCTGGCGCGTCGTTTGCCAGAGTGTTCTTGCCCGGGTTGAGAGACCATCTGGAGCCAGTCAAATCGTTCGCCGGAGGAATCGGGCGGTTTCTCCAGTATGACGAGGTGATCTCGATGGCCAGTGGATTCATTTGGCTTGGGCTGAAGTTTGGAGAGCTGAAGAAGGCGGGGGCTTCCTTCTCAGGGGGGAAGGCTATTGGTGGGCTGGTGGGAATGACCTGCGCTTTTGGTCCCGGGGCTGCATTTGCGCTTGGTTGGGGGTGGAGGGAAGAGATGCTGGATAGCCTGGCAGGGGAGGACGAGTAAAGGTCAGATGAAGATTCGGCTGGGTATTACAGAATTGGCTTTGAGCAAGCAGACCAACACTATTGGTGCCTCATCACGCCACCTCAATAACAAAGACAGAAATTCAACATTCTGTACGAAGCCGCAAAAGCAGCTTAGGCATCTCACACTCTTTTCTTTATGCCGGTTCACCGCTGTGGCGCTAGCGCTTGAGAAATTGTCCTTGACAGGGGCGGGACCGCCTTTATATATTCATTTCCGTAAAGAATCTGGGATGTAACCTTCGCCAGGGAAACCTAATGGGCCAAATTCCAATCATATGGTGCGTTGATGATTAACGATGGGGGGGTAATGACCTTAACAAAAAATGCCAGCACGTGACATACTCTGAATGTTAGTCATCTTTCCTATTTAGGACTAGATTGTTTACAACGCGGGCGACGCAACCCGCGTCCATACAATATACTACTTCACCAATTTCCTGCTTGCGTCACGTTGCTCCACTTATTCACCAATGGATTCTCATGGCCCTCCTCATACTATCTTCTGTAGCAAGTGCAGAAGACCTTGTGCTCTAGACGAGTTCGGATTCAACAAGCAAGGGAAGCGTAACAAGACTTGCAAGCGTCACACGAAGAAACGCCCTCTCGACGTGGATGATTGGGGAGATTTTATTTTGCGTCTCCAAAATTGGAATCAACCAGTAAGCAATTCTGTTGAATCCAGTTTGGAACGTCCTGGCTAAGAGGCTGGTCTCGCCACATAGGACCAGCATGAGATCCTGGACGAGACGTTCACCTTTCATCTCGATGCTTTGCCTGTCCATTTTGGACCTTTCCACGCTCCCGAACAGGGAAGAGCCTACGGTAGCGACATGTTTCCCAGATCGGAGATGAATCTGGCGATGCGAGATTTAACCGAGATCATCTGGAGGGAAGGAGGCTTCCGGTTCAAACATACGGGAACCAACTTTCAGAGCTGTACGTACGGCTATCAATTCCCCTCTGCATACTTGCGCTGACATAACTGGTGGCGGAGCTCTTCGGTTTTCCCTCTAGCCAGGAATAGACGGTACGCAACTGGTCTGTTGCGTCTCCAATGGCTTCTTCGTCCGTTGCGAGGACGTTTTCTGCTTCCAATCTAAAAGATTTCAACTCGGATTTCTTGCCACTGAAGGGCTTAGGATCCTTCGGACGGCGACGTGGGCGCTGCTGGGCCACAACGTTCGCTACTGTGGCAAGCGGCGTGACTTCTGTTGCTAGCTCACTCTGCGCAGGGGTCAATGCTGTCGGCGGCTGGGGTGTCGATAGTGGTGTCGTGGCGGTTTCTCTGGCTGCTGCCTGTAGTGCTCCGATCTGGAGAGCTTGCTGCTCCTGTATCTTCTCTTGACGCTTCTGACCTTCGAGCAACTGTTTGAGAATTGCTTCTAAACTGTCTGTGAGCGATTGCTCCATGTTGGCTTGGTCTGTGGAGGTGTTCTCCATCTTTCGAACTTCCGAAAGCGAACTCAATGTGTGGGGAGCTCGAATGTATGTGAAGGGTTCTAATAGTGTGAATTACAGCTATATAGTCCTCATGCGTTTTACATTCGAGCTGAGGAAAAAGGAAAGAAAGAAAGATGAGAGCAAAGAAAATAGTCCAACAAAACAAGTCGTCACCCGCGCAACGGCGCTCAGACCATCAAGAGGACAAGGCACTGCCTTGTCCAGCAGGGCCTAGCCCGTTACAAAGCTTCTCTAATACCTAATTAGCATCTAGAGGTACTAGACCGGCACCTTTAAAGCTATTTTGTATAGTAGAAGCTTTAAACGTAGCCTTTCTTGCGATAGGGTAGATTTGAAGGAAGTCGTCTTTATCAATCGAATTCACCCCGTTCCGCATTTCTTCTCCAATCAACCCTCCATTTTTAGCGGGAAGTAGCATCTGGGATCCGATATGTCCAAACACAAATGCCACGGATCTTAGTCATAGCAAGATCAGCGGAGAAGTGTTTTTTCCCAATAGGCGAAAATTTTCTCTCAGTCTCTTGTTCCAAGACAATGATGATATGTCTCTTCATCATAATTCCGGTATGATCATCACAACCTTGGAAACCATGGGCATTGTAAAGGGAAATTTCGTAATGAATAACGAACAAATCTGGACGAAGACAAGTTGCTACTGGTCCGATTTCAGATGACAATCATTAAAAGCGAAATTTTCCTTCAAAGGCATAAAAGCAATATATTCGTAACGATGAAACAGTCCTGAGAGTTATGCTTACCGTAATGTCACAGCAGTAATGGGAAAAATCGCAACCCTCCGACAGGACGTTAAGGTCGCAGTTCAGGAGCTCACGGCAGCACGCTAGACTGCGACCAGAGCTAATATATGCATCGAGAGTGGCGGATATAGGTGAGCTGAGCACACTGTTAACACCTATGCTGAACAAAATGAGGATAGAGATGTGCTTCATGGTTTCCGAAACAGCCAATATTGTGTGGGAGGTAATGAGAAGTGAGACCGCTCCTATAGGGTATGCTAGACGTACCTATCATGCAGGAAAGTGTCTCTTAAGTCACATCGATATTTCGAGAACCATTTTCTCGATTTTCGCCCTATCGCATTCTATAATGTAATCGACCCACCCTTCCGCGGGCACCATCCACATTCTTGAGTCAAATTCGCTACACTCAGACCGCTATTTGCAGTGGGACAATAACCAAGAGAGAAGATTCCTATTCCCCATACTATTTGAACAATATTTCATCCAACTTTAAGCTACTTACTTGATTCGATGTATACGGAGGTAGAGCTACTGTTGTAATATGAGGCTGGTGCAGATCAGGAACCAAGCCGAACCATCGGAATTAATCCCGAAGTATGTATACGAAGAATCAACTTGATTGGAAATCAAGTTGATCTTCTCGTTGTATATATAGCCTCATGTTTCCCTCTGAATAATAATAATCAAGCTTCCCTGGAACTACAACACTATCCCGTATTGCCATATACATGCTGCTCTTCTTATACTTAATACGACCTGTCCATGCCTTGGAAATAATGGCTAGCAGGATCCAGAAAATTCCAGAAAAAGTAAAGAGACTAGTACGCCGTGTTCCCACAATGGGACTCTTTACCTTACCGCACGCGGAATAGGACGTTGAACGATCACAGACATGCAAGGAAGGGCTCTGATGTTCGCTTGTGTAGATGATAATATATGATTAATCACACCAGAAATTAAGTAGACATATGGTTACGTATATTTTGCCTAAGACAGTTCCAACTCCGACTTCGAAAATGGGGCCTAAGAAACAGCCATAACGGGTCACTATACAAAACCTCGCCGCTATCACCTTTATCCTCTGGACGAAATGAGCCGGTAACAAAAAGCCGAGGTCCTACTTACAGTAGGAGGGTCAGCCTATGAAATTCATCATCGTCAACGTCATCCACTTTAACCCACGACGGATTCTGTCAGTCGATCCGAACCTTTGCGTGAAGCAAACTGCACAATGATATCCGAAGCATTTCGGGCTAATGCTCACAGACAGAGGCTGTAAGATCTCGATGGCAATGCTTAAGATGGTTCAGCATGGCACCATCAGAGTTGAAACTCCTATGATCGCTTGTAGACCGTTCACATTTGAAGCAATACCAGATATGCCCATGCTCGTCCATAATTCCCGGGCGTCCAGGCCTTTTGATAAAATCAGCGTGGTGCTGCTTTCGTAAATGTTCGATTAAATCCGCATCAGCCCAAAAGCCATTGCCATCTTGTGTACAGGTATAATATTTCATAATCCTAGCATGAGATTGATGGACACAGAGTCAGTACAGTAGTTGGATGACCCAGAGGATAGTATCGGGATGGATGACATCAGAATATACATGGTTACAAAACAACTTGTGGCAAGAATGCTCTATTTCCCGCGTCAGTGAGACGTCATTCCATGTCATTTGACAGTGGCTTTCCTATAGCAAGACTGTTGTTGGACTTTCAAATGCATGACAAGACCCACATCTTGAGTCTTCTTGTGGCGGTGTCTCTCGATGCTTCCTTGCGCCTTTATCGTGCCGGTCTAATTATAAATTTCCTAGTCCTAGAAGGGGCCAGAACCTTGACCGCTGAACATACTAGAGACATGTTGTGGCGGGCATGTAGTCCTTGGGAGGAATGAGGAAATGTCATTGGAAACCAAGGTTTAATACCGAAGTTTATATATCAGAGAATAGGTCCACGATCGATGTCAACTGCTTTCAGAAGAATACACCGTATCTGAAATGCAACTTTAGATCTCAGTTCCCTTCAAGCGGGAAGGTGTCACTATTCATCTAACTATGTTATATTCACTAGCTGATTGATAGGCGAAGGTACATCTTTCCTTTGGTGCATTCACGGGCTGCAAACGTATCACTGTGGATGCCATTACATCCGACGAACTAGAAAGGCTTTCATGAGCATAACGTCTATACTTTTGCTTATTTTCCGAAGCTACCAGTGGTATGGATACGCAATAGGTATCTCGACAAGCTGAAACTTAATTCGAACCATGGCTAGCCAGAACCAGCGATACTAGTAGGCCTCTGGTCAGCGAGCCAAGGCTCAGCCTAATTCCCAAACTTCGGGTACATTATCCTGACCAGTCGGCATTTTCTCCTTGCCTTAGAGAACAATATTTAAAGGCCAATAAAGCTGCATCACTCGGATATCTCGAAGAAATGTGCAAGACCAACATGATGGATTCGTACAACATCACAGGTGTGACACTGGCAAACACCCCACCTGTGACCACAAATCAGTGGCTTCAGCTTGGTGACGATGATCCTATGTTCTTGGGCGCAAAAGCGCTTCAGGAACGTTACGGCTTGGAAACAAACTGCTACAAAAATCACGTTCGACTAGCAGCCGGATACTGCCACATGCCTGTGATCCTACTGCAAAACCCATACAAGAATCACGGCGAAGACTTCCAGGACATATTTACACCAGGCTCCTCCTTGACGTGGATCCGAAATCTCCCCGAAGACATTGGCGTAGATATCGAATATGACATTCCCGTCTACGATATATGCCCAATGATCAGTGATGACTGGGCCCAGATGAAAGCCCGGACTGGACAGTTGAGTGAACTGCGGCAGGCGATAAGGGACGCGTACGAGTTGACTGCGCAATACCTGGAGGCTCTACAACCTTCTACCGCGGTTGTTCTACAGTGTGCAACTAATCACTGTTCGGTAAAGAAGCACGCCGTTCTCAGTAGCGTGGAACATCCAGTTGCTCAGGTCTTTTGCTCATCCATGGAGGAAGCAATGCAGAAAAGAACGCGAATAGTGCGATTCATGCAACGTGAGGTCCGTCTAGTGCCGGGGTTTCACCCCAGCAGGATCACGCATGAGTCGGATCCAGCTGCGAAAAGGCTACTTGCCGCCACACTTCGTGACATATTGTCTGCTGTCTATGTTCCATACGCGCAGCAAATTAATGGGTCTACCAATGCGAAAATGATAAAAAAATGACACATTGTGAACCTAGATGTCACCAAAGCTGAGCCTACGAAATTTAATAGTTGAATGGACGCTATATTTGGTCGCCCGCCAAAACTCGTGGAAATTAGCCACTGCGTCGGCAGACATAGTATAAAAGGCTTACTGTTTGCCCTACTTTACCAAGCAGACTTTCGATGATTCACATTCAGAGAACTATATCTCCTACGGAGACCCGAATTATTGGTCGAGCTTGAACCACGGGAAGGTTATAGACGATGTATCTTCGTCACATGAGGTTACATTAGGGTGTCTCGCAAACATGGAATGAAGGGATTCTACATCATAAATGCTATATCTGGACCTTCTTTCAAAGTTCGGCACTTGTCACTCTGACGACTTCACTATCCGGCCTCGTAGACAATTGTCGTTGACGTTTATGCATTGATAGGAAACCACCAATACTGCAAGCTGGGATTAACGTGGAAAGCGCAAATATAAATCCAAGGAAGAAGACCGAGAATATTGAATTATTGCCCAAAGACGCAGCAGAGAAAGAAGCCGATAATCCAGATACATAAGGAGGAAAACAAAAAAAAAAAAAAAAATAACCGTTCAATTTTAGTACATCGATTACGATTAATCATTCAGAATGTCCACACGCGCAATCAAGTACATCTATTACTTGATTTTCAACCCCCCAATGCTGCCTTAGCACAATGAGACAGAATCTTCCGACAAGGAGGAGCCATTGGAACGGGAGTTATATCGGCTAGTCTCAAGCACCCTGGAAAATTTTGCTACTAATTGTCCACCAGAGTCAACGGGACCCTGGAACAGCACGATCAATATGCTAAACCTTGGGATGTCGATTGGTAAAGGAGGCACTCGATGCAAAGATACTTTGGGAGACGCCCTCTCCAATATACTTATTCACGGTTTAGTTATCATTTCGTTTTTCCAGGAATTGACTGATATTAGTGAACAGGGGCTGTGGCGCTTCACATCCGGGCTCAGAACTGCGGCTAGCTGGCCTACTATGACCAGACTGGCGACAAGTTGATCTTCGATGCATTTGAAGCATCCCCCCGTGCAGCAGATGTTTTATCTGCGAAGGGGGGTCTTCTTCGGCAATTTCCTGGGTTGAGCGTGGCTGTCCCAGCATGCGTAGTTGACGAGCCGAAGTTCTGCTCCTGGTTAGCAGGAGAGATTAGTCGCCTCTCTAGCGAGACGGTGGACAAGATGGTCCCCACTACTAGGAAAGCAGGAGCACAGGCCCTTGAGGAGCGCGACGCCATTCATCCTGGAATGGTCACCGAAAACCACATGATCCAGCTTCTAGCAAGAGGAACCTACAACAATTGGCCGTCCTTTGACAAGCACATGCGCGATGAGGTCAACTGGAGAAATAGTAGACTTCCCTGGAGACGATCTCCCCTTTGGCTCGTGATACGAGTCACACTACAGACTGTTCTTCAACGCGCGTTCGGCGATATCGAGGGGCATCGCCAATATAAGAATTTCATGCTCTACCTCGTTGCCCAAATCGCCCTGGATACCAACGTCATGTTAAGCGCCCTCTGCGCTGATCAGCTACAAGTGATCCGGTTCAAGATTGCTCGTCGTATCAGCAACTCGATTATAAGGTCGACAATTTTGTGGCGCAACATGCACGCTCGGCAGAAAGAGCACTTAAGACCAGACTGGCAGACATTCAGATGAGTATCGGGGATAGTGACTCGATTAGCATTCCAGAAAGATTTGTGTGCACTCCGCAAGATTTGCACTTGACACTTTCTCAATCGACTACCATCCTTGCGGCAGCAATGTCGTCAGGTCCTACAATTGTGAAAACCCCGGGGTTTGATTCTCATGGCCAGACTCGCGACCAACGTGATCCTCACGGCCTTCCCATACCAAAAGAACGTGACTTCATTTCCGTTTTGGACTTTGAGCGTTGGGTCGAATACGATATGCGTGCCTGGGCTGAAACAGTGATTCCATCAGGGGATTCCATTTGTGCGATAGCGGATCGATTTGGCCAGTATGACAAATGCGCGACTGAACTCTTCGCGGGTAACCCTGAGGCAATGTCAGTCATGCGGCTAACCCAGTTAGAGTTATGGGTTACCTTCGATCGCATGTGTACCGCAGTGTGTCCGCTTCTAAAAAAGTGCTCTCCCGAGATCCCGGTCAATTTTCTCGAGCCACTGCTCTTATCACACCGTTGCCAGATGCGCAGAGCAAAAGATATCGAGAATTATATTCGAGTTAGGCATCGGGACCAAAGATGTGGTTCAATATATCGTGATCCCGGGAGCGAAAGCTTTGCGGTCTCATATTACGAATTGTCTGTCAAACTCCCGCAACTGCGGCAAGAGATTGAGCAGTATGCCCAGGGCCAACTGAGGGAAAAGGAAATGGAATGGAACCTAAAATCAAGTAAATACCGCGAGCTGTACGCTCAAGCTGCACAGCTCGAACACGATATGGAGCTGAACTCTCGAGGACGCTATAGCTGCGTGCGGTCATGTAGAAAGTGCTCATATGTGGAACAGGCCGAAGACATCACTATTGAGAGCTATGAATGGCCTCTTTCGAATGATGAAAGCAGTTTGAGGTCTGTGCTCTTTGAGCTAATCTGTCCCCATTGGTTTGCGGCATGGCGCGATTTGACCTGGAAAATCGTCCAGGACTTTGGTCGCCGTGAACTGAAGAAAGCGCAGGATATGGAGCAGAATCTGCTGAATTACATTAGGACCCACAGGTTTGCCGTCAAGTGGGGCCAGCGCCTCACTCTAGGTTCGAAGACAAAGTCATGGAGACGGACCCATTACAATTGTCGAACATTTCCGGTGGACTTTCAGGAAATCAATCGCCCGTATCCCTTTCGACTCCGGCTTCTCGACAGCGACAGCAGCGGCAATGGCTGGGTTACTGACCAGACAGAGTCTCCAACTATCAAACCATCGTGCACGCTTCGTCTCCCACAAGGGCGCTATTCCAATCTTCAATATGCACTGGACTCTTTCCAACACACCCAGAACCAGGTCCTCGCGGACCAAGCGCACTGCCACCAGTGACTGAGTTTGCACAAATTCGTTGCTTTTGGCTGCTTGCGCGCGGGTGAACGTGTACAATGGCTCAATATCGTGCGTGAGCTCGCATCCCCCGCTCTCTCGTTGAACGAAGAGTCCGTTGGCATTCTCATCCGCCAGGCGGCATGGGAGCTAGGCACACCTAGCAAGAGCACGGAGTTGAGAGAGGCCCACCGCGTCTTCGAGGACGTATCTTTCAGCGAGTGTCTACTGGAGACTCTGGAACACCGGCTCGACTCTATTGAAGCAAATTGGAATGAGCATCATACTCTTCAAACGCTGATCACCCTTGCACTCCGCACCCTCAGCCTGTCTGAAGTAGGTGTGGTGGTCGAACGGGCGGCTGCATTTTTACGTCGCAGCCGGCAGGTCACAATGCAGTGGATAGGAAGCCTCATCACTACCTTAGATTCACAGACAGGCGTACAGGGTCATGCGCAGCAGCAGTTACTTGTTCGGGTCGGAGGAATCTGCCAGCTCATGTATGCCGTCGAGTCGCACCTTATCCCGATACTCTTACGCAGCGCGGAGGATCTCTTCCATCCCATCCGCGCCTCCGTTATTGTCTTTGAGAGTATGCCACCGGAGATGAGGGGAATTAATCCGACAGCAACTGTTGCGTGGGTGCAGACCTCCAGAATTCTGCACAGTGTCGAAGCACGTACGCGTCAGCTGATACAGCGAGATGCATCGGGCCTCAACCATGCAATCCAGGAGTGTGTGCCGAACACGGTCATTACTACCCCGTGGAGCTTCGGCCACGGTAGCTTGAACCGATGGGCGATGAATCAGTTAGCGTCCGATGGAGTGCGACAGAAGCAGCAGGTGCGGTATGATTTGCTCAGCGGCGAGCTCCTTGTCGATAATTCCCCCCCTGGCCGTCTTCCGGAGAGCTATACACAACATCCGACCTTTCGATGTCTTTTTGGTTTGGTGAGCGCGTGAATACGAGGATATTCCTCTGGAACTTTCGCGCTGACTGCCCTAGCGAACGCTCGCCGTAATCCCATCAAATCTGCCCGGATCCAGATTCATGTCTGCGCGGCCATTCCAGGGCTACCAGGTATTTTCGCTCCTCCAAGCGAGCACAAGTGGATCTAGAAATCTAATTGTCTTATCCAGGTTCAATTTGAAATGGAAGAAGACCGTTTGGTTATCACAGCTCAGCAGGGCAGCCAAGTGCTCCATTTATTCCGTACGACCAGCTCATTGGCGACTTTCCCAAGTGTCTACTCTTCCAATATGCGCACTGGCTCAACCTTGAAGATAAAACGCTATAATTTCGTCCGGTTGCACAGGCGTGGCAATATGATCCCGGTAACTGGCGTCTGTCGATGAGCCTTACGGGTGCAGGACCAGCGGTTATGATGCGACCCCGTTGCACCATGGTTGACATACACAGTCAGCTGTTCGTACAACTGTCCAAGGCCTTGGTAGCATTGGACAAGCCGGATTATATGATCGCGTATTAGACAGCCGAAAACATGGTCGTGGTAGAGTTAGCTAGGTTACGCTTGCGGTTTTTCGTCAACAGAGAAGGAATGTTGGAAGCTCCAGAGCTTCAAGCCACTGTGGATCGTAGGCAGGATATCGGATGTTTTTATGGTCTGAAAAACAAACTCATCTTGCGAGACATCAATGAAAAGATCGGCGATCAGTGTTGATACCGTACGGTGATGCTCAACTGTCGAAGAAAAAGCATCATACGGTTATCCGCATTGAACCACCGGAGGACTCCCGCAATCGCTATTTCCAGTATTTCCTCGATCGCGAGTTGCAGGAGCTTCGAGGATCTTCTGATATGTTGGGAACACTATATCAAGCTTATATGCATGCACTCACCGGCTTTGTTCTTGAAGACCCCGCCATTCACCGATCGGGAACCGCAGAGGCCCTTCGGATCTTGCGGCAGGCGAGACTGCGTTCTTCTTTACCCCTTGAGAGAGACTGTATTGAACTGTTGGGTCGCCTTGCAGCAATGACGCCCCGTCGGAAGTATTATTCATCTCATCTACGGTGCATGCAGACGCTTGAGTGGAACAGTGACCTTGTGGAATTGGCACAGCACGACGACTTTCAGGCCCTTGTTCAGGAGATCGTCGACCACGCGCAATTGTTCTCCATGTTGCACGATGTCAGCACCGAAGACCTCGAAGCGTATGTGCGCTGTTATCAGAACCGGGGAGAGCCACATCTGATTGCAAGGGCTCGTCTGCGCCATGCACAGTTCTACCCTGCTGAGTTCGGTGGTAGCACGGTACGCCGCGCACCAAAGCCGTCTGTGTACTCGGCACGCGACCATGGCAGCGGGAGTGAACGAAGCAACCGCGTTTATGAGATCGCCAGTCTAGTTCGCGACTGGCCAACGGGCGTGCCTCATGGTTCAGATTTCTATGCGACTATTAGCAACTGGGAGTGCATACGGCTGGCTAACCTGCCTGTTGACAGTCTTAACTGCAATGAACTCCTGCAATTGTCATTCAGAGACACATGGGGTGCTCTGTACGAGCTGTGCCGGTCGCTAAACCGGCGACAGGACTCATACAGCCTCATGTCTCTTTTCTGCACCATTGCATTTGGGGGAGATGAGCAATTGTTCAACTTGCGTCCATTGCTTGCGGTCGCATTTTCTGGTCGATTTGCTGATGTCGCGGTACCTGGCTTCGGAGGGCAATCTGTGCTTTACTTGCAGCGGGGGGAAGAGCTCATCCCATCTGAAATAGCAGATCAGGTTAGCCTCCATTACACGCCATTCCGAGACCCACCGCATCTGTCAGGTCTGTCAGGCGCACGTAAAAGGGAAATCCGAGAGGAGCGAGAAAGGTATCTGGTCGAAAAGAAGAATCATGTCCGTCAATGTCGGGATGTCGTCACTGACCAATGGCCGTGTGAAAGACCCCAGCTACCGGACATTCCTCGCCTAGACCGCAAGAACGCCTCAGAGGCCTGTGCCCTGCTGTGTTCCCAGTGGTACCAAAACCGCACGTTCCTCCGGTTCTTGCGAGAAGTCCAGGCCCGCTTGGAGGCGCTAGGTACTGAACCAGACGAGCAGAATAGGAGCGTTCCGCCCGCCCCCTCTCAACAGGCCCGTCCCGCAGAGAGATCTTTCTTCCCCCCTTCACTTCTAGACCTGTTACGGACACATGATATTCCGACGGAAGTCCCACCTTTACCGGTGCCCCTCACATTCAACAGACCTCGCGTTCCACGGTGCTATAATAATGATACCACTCCGGAGCTTGATTCTCTCATTTCTGAGTTTTGCGGCAACCCTGATCCCTACCATCGCGAATTAGGGGAGGCCTGCGGGACAGCCTCGAGGCTCTGGAAGCGCGTGAGTGGCCATGTTCGCCCACCTCGCTGTCTGTGCCGCGGGACGTTCTTGAACGGCACTGCCGTGTTCTCACGCAACAGCGAGACGATCTCTGGGACCGTTTCCATGAAACGTTAACCATCGCCAGTGGGTCTGCAGAACGCATTTCTAGTGCCCTGCTCTGGCCACACATCAGTGTGCTCTCAATTCCTATCGCTCCTCGTTGCTGACCAATGGTGGCACGTTCCAGATTCGTGGAAATCTACGTTGCTAGCGTTTGCCCAGAGCGTGACGTCTCTACGCCGATCAAGCGTCTGCTAGCCTGTTATGACCGGTCTGACACCGATGGCTTCTTCAAGGAAGCCGAGACAGCGGGGAGTGAGGGCTGGGATACCACGAGGAGCCCAGAATGGCTTCTACTCGAAATCGAGAACAATATCACTATCCGCGTCCAACAAGCCGAAGTCGCGCAGCGCATGATTTGCCCCGACCAGCCTGGCAATGCCGTCTCGCAGTTGAATATGGGTGAGGGGAAGACTACCGTGATCACCCCGATGATTGCGCTGAATCTAGCAAATGGCTCTACAGTGCCGCGAATCGTTGTCTTGAAGCCCCTCCTTCAACAGAGTCTGATTCTACTCACACAAGTACTGGGCCGCATCCTGAACCGTCCCATCTATCACGTCCCTTTCTCCAGAGATACGCCTCTGGACAAGAAGATGCTAAAGAGTCTGCGAAAGATGTACGAGCAGTGTCAGAAGTATTGGGGAGTCTTGATCGCGCTGCCAGAACATATATTATCTTTTCGCTTGGTCGGACTAGACCTGATTGAACGGACACCAAAACTGGCTCAGAAAGCGATCAAATTGGAAACATGGCTGCAAGATCATTGCCGCAATCTTATCGACGAGAGCGATGAGGTCCTTGACCCGAAGTTCCAATTAGTGTATGCCATCGGGAACCAGCAGTCCCTGGACGGGCACAGTGATCGATGGCAAATCGTGCAGAGCTTGCTCTCATTAGTGGAACAGCAGGTGACAGAACTCCATAACCAGGATCCATCCAGCATAAGCATCGAATACCGTGGTGCCCGATACCCAATCATTCGTTTTCTGAGGACAGACAGAGCAGACACTTTGATGAGCATGGTTCTTTCAGCTATTGATAAGCATGGGCTTACTGGACTACCACTGCACCTTTGGAGCCGACGGATCCGTCAACGGGCGCTGAATTTCATTCGTTTTGCTCATCTGATGCCGCAGGAGCCTCAATTTCTCCGAGACGCCTTCGGACAGGGGACTACTCTGCGGAAGCTACTGGTTCTGCGAGGCCTCCTGGCCTATGGTATTCTCAGGTTCGCCTGGCTGGAAAGAGGTGGCTCGTGGATTACGGTCTTCATCCGAGCCGATGCATGATGGCGGTCCCGTTCCGCGCGAAGGGGATTCCGTCCGAGCACGCTGAGTTTGGTCACCCGGACGTCGCAATCATTCTGACATGCCTGAGTTACTACTACCATGGCCTCAGTTCTGAGCAAGTTCGTCTCTGCTTTATTCTGCTGGCCAAGGAGAATGACCCCGAAGCTGAGTACCAGGACTGGATCTGTAGAGGTAGATCTACTCTGACCCCGCAACTGCAGATGCTCACCGGTGTTAATCTGGAAGATACCTGGACTTTCATGGAGGTCCTATATCCCCATCTGCAATATCAAAAGGGTCTCGTCGACTTTTACCTCTCCAGAGTCGTGTTTCCGAAGGAGGTCAAAGAATTTTCTCATATATTGTGTACCTCGGCATGGGATCTGCCATCAAAGCCTAATCAGCCACTTACTACGGGCTTTAGCGGGACGAATGATAACCGATTCCTCCTCCCACGGTCTGCACCGCAGCGGGATCTACCGCAGCTCCTACACACCAATGCATTGGTCCTGAGCCTTTTGCTCCGAGAGGAAAACAGGCGCTGCATTATGGCAGAGGATACGATGGGCCTTCAACTTCAGGCGGAACAGCTGCTCGATCTCATCAGCCAGCAGCATCCCCCAATCAGGGTTATCATCGATGTGGGTGCGCAGATATGCGCAGATCCTCGAACTGAGCAATCAAAGCGTTGCATATCGGTGGCTTTCCACGACTGCATCGTCTGATGTGGAAGCTGCCATCTTCTTCGATGAGCGCGATGAGGTCACTGTCATCGATTGCGAGGGTCACTGCGAGAGACTGGTCTCGTCGGCCTTTAAGCAACGAATGGGAAGTTGTTTTATTTTTCTCGACCAGCAGCATTCGCGGGGCGTGGATCTCAAACTCCCTGCAGATTACCGGGCCGCAGTATTGCTAGGCCCTCGTTTGCCCGAGGACAAACTGGTACAAGGTAAGTGTAACTTGGAAGGGTCAACCTCTGCTAGGTTCATTTGTACTATCACTGACAATGTATCGCTCAGCATGCAACAGGATGCGTGGGCTGGGTCAGGGACAATCTGTGACGTTCGTAACCCCGCCCGAAGTGAGTCACAGTATGCCTCCACGCGGCACATCCACGACGTCACTCGATGTGATTCGGTGGGCCCTTACCCAGACATGCAATATCTTCCAGAGCCTGCGTCCGCTCTGGGCACTTCAAGGTCTGCAGTATCACAGACGCCAGAAAGTATGGGACAAGCTGCTGCGAGGGGAAAGCCCCCCAGGGGAGGCTGTTCAACATATACAGGAGCGGGAGGCTCGGACTTTGTCCCAGCTATACGCGCCGTGGGACAAGCTAGAAAGTTGGTCTATCGATGAAACAATGGTGCAGGACAACCCTATGGCCCAAGGGCTCCTAGAAGTCTGGCGAGGCTCAGGTCATGGCATGCAACAACTCGCTCCGTTGCACGAGGAACAAGAGCGACAAATCAACCACGAAGTGCAGAGGGAGCATCAAATTTGCCGCCCTCTACAGCTCTCTGCCATCCCTCATCACATCCATGATGATGTTCGTTACTTTGTAACCAATGGAAAATCGCCTGATAGCGGTTATACTGCGGTGCAGTCAGCATTTGAGATTTTTCGACATACTTCTGCGGGCCAATTCGGGTTTCCGACTTCGCTAGCGCCACATCTTTACGTGACACAGGACTACAGTCGCACTGTCCAACTGAGAGAGGACTGCAGTGATGAATTTCTCAAGCCTGTTCACTGGGTTCTCGCAAATACGCACGACCCCAGACTGCTTCTCCTTAGTCAGTACGAAGTCAACGAACTTTTACCAGACATTCGGTCTTCGCAAAAAGCCAAGCTACTCATTTACACCCCGAAGACAACCAAGACTATGCGATCTTTCGAGCCACTGGACTTTCTGCACGTGGGTCTCGGTCACACGATCCCCTGTCAGCCTCAAACGACCGCTCGAGATATGGGTCTTTTCGCCGGAACACTTTACTAAACGTTCCCGATCTACGAGAGCCTTCGCCAGTTCCTCGGACTAGTGACAGAAAAATACCGTAACACTCCTGAAGATCAAGTGACCAATGGAGGTTTTGTTAACTCGGCTACGCGACAGGCCCATAATTGGCCGGTAGATTCCCCCTTCCAGTCATGTCCCCTCCAGTTCCTGGGGGCTATTCTTGATATACGTTGTAAGAGTCATGGATACTTACAAACGCATGCTGGCACGATCGTCAAAGCAATGCCACTAACTGCATCCCAATTCTAATATGGCATTTCGAGCTGAATATCGCAGCGAGGCTGTGACGGCTTTACAGGCAAATCTATTGGGACTGTTGGGAGCGTATAGCGTCACGATACTTACATATATTCCTTGCCCCTTCCGCAACCGACACTAAAACTGTACAGCCCGATAACCACGTTGCGCGTTTCCTGAGTCTTCTCCCTGCCTCTTCCTGTATCTAGTTTTTGGTGCTAACCCAGGCCGAGGTTAATTTTTTGTATAAATTACTGAAATGGGCATGTACGTGCAGACTACAGATAGAGGTATCACACTGTCTTATTCTCATTGCACCATATGTCGCTAGGAACAACCTAAGTCGTTATGGTTCTTGCAATGCCTTATCTGTATGAAGCCATATACCTCGTCGTTCCCCCAGTCTCCTGAGAATATATATAGGAGTAGGTTGCTCGTCCGGTCAACCATATAAACTGTCAATCTTACCAGTCATATATCTTCACATGGAAATCCATTCAATTCCTTGCGTAAAGCGGGAGATAAGGCAAGGCTGCAACGAAAGATATAGAAAAGGCTGTAGGCAACAGCTTCAGCAACAGTAAGCTTCGCTCTGCAGCAATTTTGGCATTGGCTACGTTGTCCGATGATTGGTCCTGGTGGGTCTCACTTAATGAGGGGTCAAGCTGTCTGGCTCTGAACCGAAATAGCATGTCTTGGCTCTCCTCAACTTCATGACAAATTCCCCTATATGCTTGTTTCATATTTACTTCTTTGACTATCGCTGCACATTGCTCATTTGGATATTCAATATGACTGGAAGATGCGCAACTTATACTATCATGTGCATTAGTAGGTCTACCACAATGATAGGACCATGCATTTCCCGTTTCTGGTACTTCGTCTTCAGCTGTCCCTCCAAAAGGCAATAGCTATCAAGGACGCAAGAGTCTGACGCAGACGGTTGGGTACATCCAGAAAGTATGGGGGAGACATTTTTAGCCCATCAAGAAACTCTAGGCAGGATGTTGCGAGCGGTTACAGTATTTCCAACCTTGATATGGACGATGATGAGAAATAAAGCAGCCCTAAGGGCCTTTCAGCCGTTAGACATTATGAGTAAAGCCACGCGATCTCCATCGTTGAACCATAGAGATGATTATGCACTGTCACGGTGAGAGGAACCATGGTGGAAATTACGCGAAGCGGGGGTTGCTTCAGTGGCTAGGTGCCACGCAGTTTCCGACTTTCTTTTCCGAAGTTATCGGAAAAACGACGCCACAAGCCTGACGTCGTGAAAGGAAAATGGAAAGGAAAATGATTGCCAAGATTCAATACCTACTGCAGCATGTACGTACTTCCTGCCTGGCCCCTTACAGGCAGTACATCCATCTCATTAGTCATGTTCCTCCACCAATCGTGATAGGACACATATAGACGATTCGCATCTAAGATGGTATAAGTCCTGACATCTTCTATTCCTCATTCCCACCAGAAAAGCTATGGCAGGCAAAAAGAAAAGGAAACAGAGACCATCACGACTGCTCGGTCCGATCGTCCTTTCGGAAACTGCAACCTTGAATAAAGAATTGCCACTCAGCCCTCGTCAAACTTCGCCCCTTGAAGAAACAATCAGTATAACGAAAGAAGTACGAGAATTATCGTACTTTGAGTGAACTACTCCTTCCTAGAAATCGCATATGTAATAGACGTTGACCCGAGTCAAGTTTCTAGATTCTGATCCTGTTTCCCTTCAAGTTGCTCAAACGGGACGTTCGTTTAGGATCCATCGAAGGCTGCTCCAAGCAAAGGCCCCACCATTAATTGCAGCCTTGGACAGTAATCTCAAGGAAGGCCAGAGTGGCGTGTATGAATTTCAAGAGGTGGCTGAGGGCACAATTGCGCGATTTATTGAATGGGCATACCGAGGCGATTATCCCGCCATAATCAGCGGAACCAACATTCAGACTCCAACTTTGCTGGAAAGCACGGGGACAGATATTGACAAGAAGCCTGCAAGCACTACTCCCGAAACCGACTTCACGTCAGAGAACCACCCTCTTGTTGTCCATATCCGTCTATACATTTCTCTGAGACTTACCTTGTTCCCAATCTTCAACTGCTGGCTTTTGAAAAGGTGACTGCTTGCTTAACGGACTTAGACATACCGAACAGTCTTGAGACACAATTCGCAGTAATTGATGCTTTATGGCTCTCCTTTCTCAGGCTCCCGCAACACGATAAATTGTTAGACTGGTTGGCTCAGTACGCTGCATATTGCCTAGACAAGCTCCGGGTACAGGGTCCATTTCATGATCTCCTTAAAGAGTTCCCGACCTTGAGCTCCCGCATGATACTGTTTCTGGGGCCAGCATCGTCTCCACCATGGCAGACTACACCACCAAAATACCCATTTATACAATACTCTGCTAAATGGCCGGAAGACAAATGTGATATCTAGGATAAGCACAACAGCCCTGCTGCATTATGGATCTTTCTGTCGTTCTCTAGATAGATCATGACCTTTTGCGGTGACATCGTGTTTTACTTGATCTCGATTGGCTAGGAAAAGTGACCACACTATTCCAACCTAATTTTACCGCAATATAAAGTCTGGAATATTATGTGTCACTTTTGCATGTACCGCGGTCAAATTATTCCACTGTGATTAACAGCGACCGTGCGCTTTACATACAGTATATTATCTGCTTACGCAACGCACACATTAGGTGATTCATTTTGATTCACAAGTCATTTTGAGAGTGAATATTGAAAAAAAAAAAAAAAAAAAAAAAAAAAAAAAAAAAAAAAAAAAAAAAAAATTCTGTAGAGCACATATATTGCCCCGACAGCAATAACATGCTAAGTAACAAATTACATTACATGAAAGGTAAATTCTTCGCATACCCTTGTGACTTTCAGGCCAAAAGTTTCACCTACAAAAAATTAATGTTAGCATTCCTTTTGTTTCAAACAAATAGAAAATTTAGATATATAAGTATGACCGCCAGCTTAGCAAGTTTCTGGTGAGGCTTTTCGATCACTGAATAGAGATAGCTCTTTCGAAAAACCAACTAAGTAGTACTTACAATAAACACCCTTCAGCCTTCTTTTTCCTGAACTCATTATAACAGAAATGTAATCACATACACTCTCTTTTGAGTCAGAGACCCCTTCTGCGAAGAAAGCTAGGATATTAGCAAGGCTGGCATGCAAGGGGTGCCTATTGCTCGGATGGCATGTCTACATTAAGGCAGCCTATTACAAGACACCCCGTCGCATTCTTCGCCCCGTGGCATCGCGATTTCTTTCCGCTGTAATTCTCGGCAAGAAGTCTTAGCACTGAATTGAATAAATTAGACCACTAGAACCCTCATTCTCCTAAAACTCTGAGATTACAAAAAGTTGGCTTCTCCGCGTGTTTGCTTGGTTTCGAATCCTTTACTCTCAAGCTCTTCTCAAATTATATCTTATTTCCTATCCATAACCAATCTTCCAATCAACCACGAACGAAAAGAAGAGCTCAATATTTGGGGGCAAAAGCAACCATGGCTTTCACGAGGAGCTCAGCAATCGATTACGACCAGCCACAATCATCGTAAGACAACTATGCCCTGTCTCTGACGATGCGTGTTAATCCCCTTGCCTCGATCGTAGTCCCTACGAACAATCAAGAATCGTTGTCACTACCGTCGGAAACAAGCACTACTCTATTCCAGAAAATTATATCCCAGGGCATCTGCTAGTCCAAGCAAGACAGTCTCGGTCACGTATTCTACTCAGAGACGTCGACGCGGATGTTGGCCACACCATCTTACATTTCCTATACAAAGGGAAATACGAAACAGTCTTCCGCGCGGAAAATCAAAGAAAGACACACGAAGTTGAGCTTGAATATGAGAGAAGCGTCCAGGTTTACTATGCCGCCAGGAAGTATAAAATAGAGGGCCTCGATGCGCTTGCCCAAAACTACATCTTGGCTCTCGGTGAAACCCTGTCAATTTTCCAGATCCTACGAACAGCCAGATCGATATTCTCAAAATTGCCTGAGAATGAAGAATGGTTTCATCGCTATTTAGACTCCAAACTTTCTAGCAGCTTTGCGGAGGATGAGACAACATTTCAGCTGGACGAGTTCTACAAGGAAATCGTGGATGATCCAGCATTCAGCAAAGCTGTAGTGAAGATTATAGTCAAGGCCTTTATTACCGAGACCTCACGTTTGCGGAACATTCTTACAGTTACCGGCGGCGGCAGTGACACGAAGGATGATGGCGAGCCTTCGTGTGAACCGTCGTTTGCAGTACCCCAATCTGGGCCTACCGAAGACCACAACGGAGAATATTGTCTTGAAGTGCTGTCCAAAGAATATAGCCCTGGAATTAGCTCATCTCCATCCGCTTCTGATCGGAACCGTCCGTGTGGTGAGCCCGCAATTGAGCTCCTTCCAGTTGATTGCGAAGAGGCCAATTCAGAACTCCACTACAATCACGAGGAGGGTGGTGATTGGGGTTGGGGCTTTCGAGGATCAGACGCGACGAAGAAGAACAAGAAGCGACCATGTAAGCAGCAAGTTGAGTGTGACTGAAGTGTGATTAGACACCTGGTTGTAATGGCGGGCTTTTGGGCGTAACCAATGCCTAAGCAAGACTAATATGACAATTCTACTCTGTCCCACTGCATTGCGTCTTCTTCTCCTTGCAGGTGTCACAGGCACGGATGGTGTTGTGGCGTTGTCGACTCTCTCGGCGGTTCCTGTGACGTACGACCGATGACGGCTTGGGATCTGAGTTGTTGCGGGGCCCAACGTCTGTCATTGTTGCGAATATTTGACCTTTTGACAGAAGTGCTAATCTGAGATTCCTCTCGGGATGTTTTTGTCGGCTTCTCGTTCACTTAACACAGTCAAAATGTCGAACCCAGTCGACGGGGCCACCTGATTAAATAAGTGTGCGTGTCGCCGGCGACCTTGAAGACTCTGGACCACCCGCTCGCAAATTTGAAAAATGTCGCCCCCTCCGAAATCGAGTGTGAAGCACCCGAGGATACGAACCACGCGAGGCGATGATTGGCTAGGATTCCCAAGCCGGAGGATTCCTTCCGTGCCGGACGATCTCAAAAGGCTATGACGGGCCTCACAGAATTCCCATGGATTCCATTGGCGATGAGCATAGTGGCAAAATGCCAAAACCTTGCATGCAGGAATCATGTAGGTGAAGAATTTTACCATCAGCATCCAGAATATCCCACGTCCGACAAGGGTTCTGTTGCGTTGGAAGGCATAAGACGACCAACAAGTCTCACATTGCTTTGTGTTGTCAAAGCCACGGTGAAGCAGTTAGATACCGTCAGTCCGAGGGATCCAAGGGTTCTATGAACACTTTTGTGATGATAAACCTTCCCTCTCAAGATATAGTCTGCGGTGGGCCCTTTGCCACGGCTAAACAGGCGCTCGAGTTTTTTTTGGGTAAAACGGGTACACCTGTAGAAGGCATCATCAATCTTAATATTTGAAGATAATTGTCTCAGTTGATCTCAACATCTTGTTGCCACCCCAGATTTTCTGTACGATCATCATCAGCGCAGCCGGCGGGTCGATGAATACCACTTGCGTGGTAGTATGACAGGAGTCTGGAATCGGCTGAACAGTAAAAGCACTGTGCCTAGGCTCATGTCAGCCGAGAGTACTTCGGAATAACTCCTAATGCAACATCGTATGAGTGGGGAATACCAAGACTAACTGGTGAAGCAATTTCCCACCTCCCAGTCGGTTCCTACTCTGTTGTGTGCTGTGTGACTTGCTAAAACCCAGCGAATCTCCATCGGCAGATAGCGTACTGTAAAAGAGGTAAATTGGGATTTTTGGATTAAATTGGCTTGAAACCCAACTGCTGAGGGAGTAGGGTGACTAACAGATACCGGGTAACTACCAAACTAACTAGTGACGGTCAATGCCACGAGGCTTATGTATTCTAAACGATTTTCACTCTATCCTGCCTCCTTGTGCCAACCTCGGGAAGTTAATTCTGATTATAAATTGATCACGTAATCTTTTCAATATTGTGAGTTTGTGACGCCACTTCGTTCTCTCTTCATGTATTAGCTTTTTATTATCATCCGCACAACTTGCGTTTTAAAAGGTCTTACATTTCCCAGGTAGATAAAAGTGTAGTCTCAGTTGCTTTGTAACCTATATTCTACAGTGCAAAACAGTACACCCACCCTTCATCTTTCGGTCTCCGAGCGTTTGCACCGCCAACGATGGTGGCCCAGAAAACCGTCCTGATCACCGGTTGCAGCGATGGTGGAATTGGGTCTGCTTTATCCAAGGCTTTTCAGGCTAGAGGGTTCCATGTCTTTGCTACTGGTCGTTCCAAGCAACGACTTGCCCATCTCGAGGCACTCAAGGATGTGACCTTGCTCGAGTTAGACGTGACATCCTCAGCAAGCATCGACACCGCCTATGAAGCAGTTAAACACCAAACAGGGGGGCAACTGGATTACCTCGTCAACAATGCTGGTGTAATGTCTATCATGCCATCACTCGATATAGACATTCGGCAAGCCAAAGAACTTTTTGACACAAACTTCTGGGGCGTCCTTGCCATGGTTCAGAAATTTTCACCGCTTTTAATCTCGGCAAAGGGTTGCATTACAAATATCTGCTCGATTTCCGGGTTTATCAACGTTCCATTTGAGAGTATGCCTGTCACTTGAGAAACTTCAGGGAGATTGCTAACGTCAATATTCACAAGGTGTATATGGCGCTTCTAAAGCGGCTCTCCTGAGGTACAGCGAAACACTACGCCTAGAACTGGCTCCTTTCCACGTTCGAGTCCTTTCAGTCGTTACAGGGCCGGTTGCCACCAATCTTGGCTCCCCAGGGAAGAATCACCGTCTCCCTTGCAAGTCTTTGTACTCGGCTGCTTCAAAGGAGATCAAGGAGCGTGCCATGGCAGAAGGGTATAACAAAATGGAAGCTCATGTGTACGCCGACCAGCTTGTGAAAGACATGGTGAATGGCTCGGAAGGCCAAATATGGAGAGGTGCTACAGCATCCCGTGTTCGTGTTGCTAGGCACCTATCGCCTAATATTGTGGACAATCTTGTCTCGAAGGGTACAGGTCTTGACCAGTTGCATGGGCAGGCCGTTCAACTCTAGTAGTCACCTATCATGTCCCTGGGGGTTAGTAAAGTCTGGTTGACTCAAATAAGGGCTGAGCTTATTTTGTATGGGGAGAAAAGTGGGCCCTAGAGCAGACTCGAGAAAAGAAAAGGCTGAGGGTGAGATTACGGCTCCTGTTTAGACCCCCTGCTTTTGCTCCAGCATATCCTCTCCGTTGGATATCAGTTCACATACTCTATTCAAAATCCGAGGCTGATGGATATAACTTCGATACTATATCCTTAATGAGAATATCCATGGACATCCGCGAGGATATAAAGACATATTGCGGAGATCAGCATTAGCACAACTTTCGCTTAACTATCTACTTGGAGACAGTCATGTGGGCCTTATGCAGCTTACCTCCATCTGGAAGACATAAACCTCGACATGTGACCTCGCTGCAGAGACTGCAGACCCCATGAACAGTCTCCACACAGTTCCGACTCTTGACGTTCTGGATTATGCCTAGGCTTCCGCAAAACACAATTGGGTCGAAACTGGGTTCTTGGGTTCTTGGCAATGCCAAGACTGGGTCGAAAGTTGGGTTTTGCGGAAGCCTAATTTATGCCGTTTCTGGTCCCATTAAAATCACTTACGTCGCTACTTATAGAGATAGCCCAAGGCCACGGCGTTTCAGAACGCAGCACATGATCGGCGTCTCTGCAAATCATATTATGGTCTGAGCATGTCCAACAAAGCAGGAAGCCGATTGGGTGATTTGGACTCCATTGGGGCTCAAATCGGCGAATAGAATGTTGACAGATGTATTGAAATAGGGCGACATGACATGAGGGATGCCGTATACCATGCCCCAACGAAAATGCCCTCGGTGGTTGAGGGTCGGGAAAAAAAGATGCATCAAAATATGCTTCCGACCGATGGTCACCGACCCTTGGCGTACATCCAGCAGGGGCGCATGACTGATTATGGACGGGCACCAGGCCAATATGTAAGACCAAGGACTGGAAGCGCGGGATATGGATCCGTCAATCGCAATCATTCGACCGATACAAGCAGCCTCCCGCCCACGCAGTCTGTGGCTCCCAGAGGAGCAGCTCCATAACGAACGGACAACTTTCGGGTTTGAATCTTCTGGGGGTGGTGAAGGCGGGAGAGGACCGGGTCCCAAGGGGCTCCCTTGTCTCCATGGTTGTCAGGCATCAATTGGTGGCAGCAGGGTGTCGATAGGGAGAAGGTGACTGTTGGAGTGATGATATATTGATTGCCTGTTCCCATGAGCTGTTACCTTGTAGAGAGGAGACGATAGTGGTGGAAATGTGGTGCCGGCGACGGGGATCGAACCCTTAGCCTCCAAAAAGCAAGGAGGGCGGTTGGATGCATATGTCTGTGACGTCAGTGTACGTAGATCATGCCACTTGCATAGGCCATGTTGTGAATTGAGGCTCGATCAAGTCGACCAAGGAGCTTCCAAGGAGCTTCGGATATGGAATATATTCCGTATGGAATCAAATTGATGGGAAATAAATCCGATCTTCATCTTGTTTATGTATAAACCCTCAAGTTTTGATGTCTGAAGAGCAATCAACCTTCCTCTGAATCACAGAACACCGAAATATATCCAGACGTCACGATCCGATACCGAAACCACAGACACAGAAGACCATTTCATCTAAACAAGATACCTGAACCCCTTAAGAATTCTCAAGGTTTCATCCGTCTCCTCCCCGGCAGCCAAAATATCGGGCCCAGGCCGCCCATCACGAACATCCGCCATCTCCGCCTCAGCAAGCCTTTTATTAAGATTCTCCAGCACAAGCTTGAAACCAAGACACCCGATAACCGTGACGCCAAACATGGCCGTCACAATTCCGTAGCTCTGGCGATACCCGTTCTCCTCTAGGTCCCAGACGTATGAGCCTGCTACGTTCCCGAGCTGGCTGAAGGCGTTGATAAGGGCGATTGCGACAGCGCGTTTGGCGGGCGGGCGCGGGAAGGATGAGCTTATCCAGGAGTAGAATACGATGAAGCTGGTTACTTGTTAGTGGCGTTGCTTCATTGGGTTGGGACTGGAGAGTGGAGGACTTGCCCAGCGTAAGAGGCGGCTTGGAGGAAGAGAGCGACGTAGCGGGCTGCGACGTTGAGGGTAGACATACTGATGATGAAGCCGACTAGGCCGACTAGAATTGGGCCGATGATGTGCCAGAACTAAGATAGGGTGGGAATGTTCAGGGTCTTAATCCATGCGTTAGGTGACGATAGCAACATGTGAACGAACCTTCTCCTGGTGTCGGTCTGAGCTCCAAGCCACACAGAGTGAGAAGAGGCAAGAGAAAACCCATGGGGGTGCGCTCATGAGCAGGGTTGGCACATAACTGAAGCCTAGGGTTTCGGTGAGGGAGGGCTAGGATGTGGAGTTAGACCGAGTATGCAGCGACATTGTGGGAAGGAAAACTTACGAAGAAGGCATTGAAAGAGAGACCGACGACGTAAGCAGTAAAAGTGAGCATCATAATATAGATCTTAACATCCTTGATGGCCATGAATAAGCCGTCCCAGGGCCCTTGGTCATCAGAATCAACGTCCACCTCGCCAACGTCCTCGGTCATTCGGAGCTGAGCCACTTGAAGTTCCTCTTGGGTGAAACCGCGAGTGTTGGTGGGCAAATCAGGAAGAACGAAGGCTGCAGAGATAGCGACGAACATAGTGATGGCCCCCTCAACTGGAAAAATACTATCATCAACCGGCTGTGTATGGAACGATGGTCAACAAGGGATATCTTACTCCAGAAGAGCCAACGCCAAGCAGCATGACCAAGGGTGCCCTGCATATTGGAGAGCACTCCAGCTCCAACAAGTGCCGAGAAGGCGTTCGAGATGAGATTTCCGCAGAAGAGGATGGCATTCCGCACCGTGAGTTCTCTCCGAGTATACCATTTCGACAGGATCATCAGAGCTCCTGGCAGGAAAGCAGCCTCCACAAACCCTAGGAAGAAACGGATGGCGACCATGCCGCCGAAGCTGTGGACGACACCCGACAGAGTGGAGACTAGACCCCAGAGCAACATGACGAAGGAGATGTAGAGAGAGGGCCGCTGGATTCGGTTGATGAAGATGTTTGATGGGACCTGCATCAGGATGTAGCCAACATACAGAATACTCAGGCAGGTAGCATATTCGCTGTAGTCCATATCGAGGTCTTCCTGGAGACCTTTGAGACGGGCAGCGGACATATTGTTGCGATCAAGGTAGTTCATGATGTAGATGAGTACGAACAGGGAACAGCGAGCGTCAAGTTTGCGCTTCATCCTCGCCTCTACCTGTGCACGCCGTGCCGGGTCCATCCCCAAGGAGGTTGCGGCAGGATGGGAGCCCTTCACGCTCTCGGTAGTGGGCTTCTCAGGTTGGACGGCGTCTGAGCTAGGTTTAGATATCCCGTCCATTATGTTTCGTCGTGTTGCAGAAGGAGGATGGGGAGACTAAGGAGTAGGTGAAGACTTCTGTGGCTGGGAGATCCCATGGAAAAGGCAATGTATTTGACTGTTGCTGGAGCCGGGGTTGGCGCTTCTATCAAATTCCCAGCTCTCCCCCCCAGCATATCAAGAGGAGTCATGAGAGTCCAGCGCCGCTACAGTACCCCATGGGGAGATACCGACAGTGCCAAGACCAGAATCCGTGGCCAATTATGGCCGCATTGTCCAATGGTGTCCTATGATTGTACTGAGATAAACTCCTAGCCAGTCTACTAGTCCAGACCGAGCAGGCGTGGGGGCACGATTCTGAGACGTGGGGGAACACGGGGTGGGGAATGCAATCTGGAGGCTGGAATCTCTCTGGTCCTTCTTGTGCCGAATTTCTCCCGCCACTTGGTTGAGCTATAACGAGCTTGGACACAGTCACAACCATGCGGTTCGACCGGGGAAATATGTTCTAAGACCAACTCGGGTAAGAAGCTTGGGGGACTTTTGTTAGTGAACTGGACGAACAGACCTACGGAAAATAATGTACTGAATTTATCACCTATCAATCTAATAGATCACCCATCTGGCCGCTCAAAACCAGCGACGAAGGATGTTAGACCTCACGGTGGTGATGAATTGCACGCGTCACCCTTCTGACCCCTTTACCCTCCCAATTTTGTGGGTCCAGACACCCAACACCGGAATTCTTTGAGGCACTGTCCGATTCCATCGACGCAAGGCACAGCAAAACCCTCGGAGGGTTCCCTTCCACAGTTGCCGACTTCTTGCCAGGGCCGTATGGAACAGGTACAGGCACAACTGACAGAGGAGCTACAGAGCTGGAAAGCGGAGTAGCAAAGCTTGTGAAGACTTGTGCCCAGAACGTATCCCTATGCTTGAGGATAAAGTCAAAAACCAAAGAATTTGAAAAGCCCTGCAAGCCCCGAGAAGAAAACAGCCCCACCCCAACGGACGGCAGCGACCAACCGATATGGATTCTCCGTATCTTGACTGCTTGGATGCGCAAGAAACCTCTCCCAAGTCATCTGGCCATCGTCCTGTACAGGATCTTCGACCTCGCTCCCCCACCTGAAACCTGTCCCACAACGATGCAAATACTCGTCCGCATCTCGTTCGCCCACAGTCAAGCCAACGAAAAATCCCCCCGGCCCCCGGATTGAAGTTAGCTTTCATATTCACAGCTGAGGCCCACGCGTTCGTACCCCCCACTCCCCCACGTAATGCCTTTCCTTAGCACTTGCAAAGTGTCGACTAAAAATAACCCGTTGCCCCCATTAAATTCGGCAGAGGGCAACCATTGGGATTCTATCGTACCCGCCCAAGCGTTGTTCATATTCTGTCAGATATTTCGACAAGCGGTACACTGTAACTGTGTATGAGGGCCAGTATGGAAGCCAGCTGAAGCTCGGACCGAAGTTATCACAGGCGACCAGTGTTCCAACGTCAGAGGCAGGTCATCAACTATAGGTCGTGCCGCCTTGAAGATTTCCCTGGAAGAGATGACGTCGGGATGTTGGGTCTGCTGGAGTACTTGGGTATCTGCTTTTTCCTTGGCGAATGCACGGAGTGCGCTTACCTTTGAAGGGTGCTTGTCTTGAACGGCAATAGATACAGGTTCTGTTGGCTGGACTTATTCCCACGCTGGGCGGTAACACATTACGGTGGCATTTTGGTACATTCATGTCATGTATGGTTGCAGTGATTTTTGCATGTGATTCAGCAATATAAATGAAGTCCTTTCTTTGCCTGATCTTCCATTCAAACTGTACGCCTTACTCGACCCAGATCACACTGCTCAGCCCTGTCATCGTGCCCACCGGCCCGGGCTCCCCGACCTGCAGATGTGCCACCTCCTCGCCCAGCGCGCCTGTTGCCACGTCGCGCTTGACCACCGCCACTGTCGAGGACGCCTAGTTGCCGATCGCCACCAGATCGCCCGCCGCGTTGATCACAAACGTGCGCGGCACCGTCCCATATGACGAGGTCGACTCCCGCACCGCCAGCGTCCCATTTACTGTCCGGTCCAACGTCACCATCGAGTCGTTCGGCGCGAAACCCTGATCTGACCGAACTGACACATACAGCTCATCGCCCGCCAGCCGGATCTCCGCGGGTGTCGCCCCCTCGGGCATCGTTCCGTCGGGGTAGGCCACGAGCTTTTGCCGCTGGCGGAATGACGGACAGCCCCCGGCGGCCAGGTACGACACGGCGTAGCTGATGATGTGTCCACCAAGTTCGGTATCGATATACAGCGTAGTCAGGCCGGTTTGGGAGCGCTCGAAGACTCCGTGGCGCGGACCGTCGCCGGCGGTGACATGGATGGCCGGACACGCATGGAGGTGACCGGTGGGTTTGTCAATAGCGTAGACGCGGACCTCGTCGGCGCCCAGGTCGGGGAGCAGAATGAACAATCCGGATCGAGGATCACCTGGTGCGGGTGGGGTGCATCTTGCTGCGACTTCGGGCCGGGTTGCGAGAGTTGGTAGCGGAAGACCTGGAGGGGAGGGTCGTCGGACTGGAGGGGCAGTCGGAAGGTTGAGACGGCGGATCCGCCGCTATTCCATGGATGAGCTTTCCTGGACCATGTGCTGGGGAGGCGAAGAGCTTACTAGTGCGCAACGGCGAGGTATCTCTCGCCCTGGTCGCCCTCGTAGACCACATTGTGAACGCCGCTGCCGGGGGTGGCCGTCTTGGCCTGTTCCAACAGACTGCCGTCGTCAGCGATGGCCAGGGCCGACAAGGAGCCATTGTTGGTGGCGTCGCCGGTCTCATCGGAGCAGAAGATGAGGTTGGAGGCAACGTCGAAGGTCAGCCAGCTGGGATAGGTGCCGCAGAGGGGCTGACTGTGGACAATGGAGAGGTCATACCCCGTGGAGGATACATCGAGGGAGAGAGTAAAGACGGTGCCACTGTAGTGGGTGACATAGAGGAGGGATGCCGTGGCGATGGAACTGAGAGGCAACAGAAGGTATGACCACATTTTGATTCCTTTGGAATGGATGGTTCTATTCCCCAGGAGTGAACGGAAGAGGGTGAGGTGTCGTCTATATGAATGTAGAGATGGAAATGCCCGGATGATCGGCAGTTTCACCACGCTTTACAAATAGGTTCGACTATACCGGGTGGAGCGCTGAAGCGCTGAAATTGTCCTAAACTAGTGGCAATTTAGCGTTTCGCGCTGTAGACACTTACTGAGGGCCTAACTGCCACGCAGGCCGAAACGAAGAGCTACAATGGAGGAGGACTCGGAGGCGGGAATTGCGCAAGGATGGTGCAAAGGAGGACAAAGAATGGTGCAAGAGGGAGAAGAGAAGAGAAGAAGAGACGAAGAGTAAGAGGAGTATAAAGAAGGGATGCTCGCAAGGTGTATCTGGGATGATCTATAATATTATTGAATATTTTATGATTTTCTGTTTCTTTTTGCAGGTCATTAGAACCGGTGGAGCGCAAGCCTTCACACGAACGTACGTACTCTTTCTCCAAAGCATCAACCCGAGTCCGCATATCTTCCAGTTCTTTACCAGAGGAGTGAGCCTCGGCTTCGCCGGTCGAACCATCCAAGGATGGCAAGGGAGGGGAAAAATTCAACATGTCTGTGGAGTCTGGGAGGAGGAGCGTAGGGTCGATGCCAGGACCACGGAGTGGTTCATATTGCTGGAGGTACTCGATTCCTAGGAGGAACTGGCTGGCGTCTTCGTATTGTCCTTCCATCGTTGTGTGCGAGGTTATAGAAATCGGTTGGATAACCGGGCATGCTTAGGGCCTTTTATTCCTGATAAGTTGATAACCGTGGCTATCCCTGGGCGGCTCAGAGCTCCAGACAATGTCCGAAAATAGCGCTTACAGGGATATAAATCTATTAAAACACAAACTACCCGCCCCATCTTTCGAAAAGCAGCCAACCCACAGTAAAAGCGACGATTACCAACTAGAAGTGAAGAGACCCCTTAGGTAAGATCATATATGTTGCACTCAAATTATGCTAATTATGATTTATCAAGCATTCACCATGGCTAGTGAACCCAGTCTGCCAAAACTCCTCGCTGAATTACGTGGTCTTCGCTTTGAAGATGAGTCCTTGGTCGATGATTTGCGGAGACAAAATGATCGGCTCAAATCCATGCTGCTACAGTACAACAGAGCACTACAGAAGTGTATCAAAGAACTAAAAAAGGCTTTACAGAAAGAAAACTCCAACCTGGGAGGATAGTATTGGGTATCATATGTCTACGTACTTTCGTTTTCTCCCTCGGGCTGTCCTCCTACCGTCACAGTCAGGGCATTCCACCTGGAGCGGAATGCCATGATTCGGGGATCCAAAGGCACAATCTAACTTCTGTTCCTCGATGAACCATTGCATGCAATTCGGAGAAGCTCTTAGCCGACGGGGTGTCTCTCCAATGCGTAAAGATATCATTATGTTTTCTTCCAGATCGCGCACGAAGAATCGGACCGGTAAGGAATAACGGTGGCACGAGGGGCAGATATCGTCAGTGGATAGACTGAGTCCAAGGTTCAGCCTGTCCTTGTAAAAGGCCTGTCTCCCAGGGATCATAGATTGGATCGGATCACTTGGGTAGTTCTATTGGTACAACGTACCAATAGTACTTCTGGAACTTGCATTTATTTGTTAGGCTTGCTAGCCAACAGGCTTGTATCACACCCCCTATTCCGTCAGCGGCCATCGCTTCCCAAGAATAATTAGTAGAACGGAACCAGGCAACTCTTACAGTATTTCTCAATGTCATTCAATCGATTCGGCCTTGTTTCATCAGTGATCCCAAGGACACCGTATATTTTGCCAGAGAAGATACACGAAGCGACCAGACCTAGCCCTAATGTCACTAAAACCTTTACTTCCTGCTCACAAGCACACTCAGTGGAGGAACGATTCCCCAAATCCGAATGAGGACAGGAAGCGCGCGAGCCTGGCTTGCGTCGCATGCCAGAAAAAGAGGGCCAAGGTGATCGTCGCTCCGACAATATACTCGTTTAATCTCCCCGGTCTCCGAAAACTACCTTCTACGTCGGCGTTTTGTTGAGTGGCCCCCGAGGGTATTCAGCAGTAAGTCTGGTGCAACGGGGGCAACAGTGCCTGTGTGACGAGGGGTATCTTGATCAGCCCGAAGAGCAGTAAGAGACAGCGGATTGTTTGCCGCTGTACGAGTTTCCAAATGGTCAGGACCCAGTGCCTTCTCCTTGCCTGTCAGGGCTCGCTGGTGCATCTCCTCGGCCTCTTTCAGCTTGCCCTGAGCCTTATAGAGATTCGCAAGATTGTTGACTGTGTCAAGGGTGGATGAGTGACCAGGGCCCAGTGCCTTCTCATAGCCTGCCAGGGCTCGCTGATACATCTTCTCGGCCTCTTTCAGTATTCCCTGATCCGAGTAGAGGTCTGCTATGCGGTGTAAAGCATTCCATATATCGATCGTATCGTCCTTCCAATGGTCCCTCTCTCTGCTAATCAGATAATTGGCATGTGGAAGTAACCGCTGCTGAATCTCTGCATATTCTCTCTCGCTGTTGTGTGGGACCATGTATCCAACAGATATCAGCGCCAGCTCATGCAGTTGGCTCGTAAGATTACTATAATCTGCAACATAATGGCACCAATCCTGTACCACAGGGTGCAGGGCGTAGCTTCCGCCCTGCTGTTTGGTTTCAACCAGCGAGAATCCAACTAAGGCTTTGACCTTGGTCTTGAATACCAACTTACTCGACACTGCCATCTCAAACCATGGTGGGAGCCCGGAACAGTTCAAACTATTTCGAAGTAGTTCATACCAGATATCCCGATTATCAAAAAAGGCGAGTAAGAGCAAGAGTTTCGCGGCTGTTGGGTCACATTTCTGGATCTCTTGGTAGGTGACCATCCACGTCTGTACCATATTCCCTTGTTGATAGTGGCGTGTGGGACCTGATTGAGACCGCAAGTCGGACCAGGAAGTCCGGTAGAGCTCCAAATATTCCTTGGCATTCGTTCCAGTTTGACGCATGAACGCTCCAGCTATGACAATTGCCAGCGAGAGCCCGTCAAGCAGGCCCGCAAGCTCAGTAATGTCTATAAAGGTTAGTCCTGGTCCTTAGGTTTGGCGGACACTATAGTACCTTGCTCAGTCCCTGTCCGCCGAATGTATTCAGTTGACAAGCCACTGCTTTGCAACAATAGCCGGGTAGCATCTTCGTGCGAAAGCTTCTGAACCGGAAACGACTTTCCTAATTCAGTCAGTCCTTGAAGGCGTGATGTAATTATGATGGATCCATGGTCTGCGCTTGGAAAGAATTCGCAGAGGTCGTATTTGGAGTCGTCGTGGCCGTGCACCGGAGGGTATTGGTCAATGTTGTCGAAGATAATAAGCCATCTAGTATTGTCCGGCTTTGCTAGCCACAGAAGTACTTGATTCGCTCTTTGTTCGGCTTCCTCTTCATTGGCCACCTGGTTATCCACGGGAAGATGTTGTATCCGGGGCAGGCAAGAGCTCAAAGATGAGACTAAGGCAGACCGATCCTTGCCGCTTAGCCAGAAGACCGCTGTGAAATCATCTTTGTGTTTTCTCGCAAAGTGAATGGCTAGCTGCGTTTTCCCAATCCCACCAAGACCATGGAGGACAGCAACCTTTCGTGTCCACGCGCTTGTCGGTTGTAGATACTTCCATAGGCAGGATAGTTCTTTCTCTCGCCCGATGAACTCCTCGATTGCAGGAACTCCTTTTAAGTCCAGCGGGATATAGAATTCGTTGGTTTCTAGAAACGGCATATTTAGTATAACAGACTGGACTTAGGAATGTGGACTTACCTTCCCGGACAGTTGGGTCCCAGTACTCCAGGAAAGCTTTAGCAGTCGCGGCTCCAGTTGCTGCTGCATACGCTTGCCATGCCTTATTCTTGTGGCTGTCTGCATAGTTACACACCCCCTTAATGATGATACAGGAAAAGTTGTTCCATACCCCTGCACCCTCCATCTCGAACCCAATCACGCCTTCGGACTTGACCAGATCATCACGATGCTCACCGGACATTATCACAGTATCCGCAGAAGCAACGGTCCCGATCTGTATAGTTGGACTGGAGTTTTCCAGATATTCTCGACGTCGATGGATCTGGTCCTGCGCACAGCCTAGAAGGATGCAACTTGCGTCCAGAGCTTCCTGGCAGACTTCATCGGACGTATGGTCAAGACAGCTACACAAGTGCGGTGAACCTGAACCGTAATGCTTGTGTTCATAGGATGCCTCATACAGAACATCGTCCGCAGAGCTCGGCTGTCGCCAACGAGGTTGTGCTGCCTGGATTACGCGCAGATGCTGGAGCATCTTAGCTCGAAAGACCCTGCGGGACTGTTGCGGCTGGAGGCCTGCCAGTAGAGACTGGATCTCTCGATTTGGTCTCCCAAGCGTATCTTTCACGCCGGTCTTCCGCATAAATCCACCTCGGTATGGCCTGCCGAAGTCGTACTCAATCACTGCATCGCTGATAATCACGTCACCCAGAAAGATCTCTTCCTTGGTCGGCGAATATGGGGCACCGCCACAAATACCAACAACCAGTGCCACTTGTAGCCTCGTATAGCTGATTTTCAGGCATGCTGCGACGCTGGCAGCATTCCCTTTCCCCATCCGTGGCATAAGGCATAGAACCACATTATGGGACCCGATCCTCCCATTAAAGTAGGCATTGTCATCACCCGATTGTTTCTTGTAGAACGCGCTTAATCGGTCGTAGGTTTCGTCGAAGAGTGCTGTAACCGCCTCCGCCTCGAGGGTCAGCGCGCAGATGATCGCGATCGCAAATTCGTCCCGGCTGGATGGCCGCATCTAGGCAGGTCGGCTTCAGTAAGTCTGATGGTGTCGGGCAAAGACTCAGTCAGCCTTGGTATGTCAAATAGATGGACCGAGGTCGCTAGCGTAGGGAAGAAAAAACAGTCAGAGGGGCCTTACCGGCCAGCCTCATGGCCAGTCTCGTGACGCGATTGCGCCAACCAGCTACGTACCGGGAAATACCATAGAATTATACTAACCCTTTAAAAGGTCAGAAGACCAGGATTAAGTTTAGAATCACTCGCCACACACTAATACAAGAACCTGTACCTTATATGAAAACTTCCGACAGCTATCAACGGAAGACCTTTAAATAATAGCTAGAAATATCAGGAAACGTGTAACAGCATCATCTACTGATGGCACAGTTCGGATGGGGGTTCAATCCTATCGTATACCCAGCTTGGGGTATCTATGAGGCAAAGGAGCTGCTGAAAGGAGACGAGAATACCAGAAGCCAAGATCACAATCAGATACTTACTCCAAGCATGCCGTTATCACAGCCACAATCTACTTTTATACCCCTACAAGAAGACTACGATTGACCGAGGAAACTGTCTGCAGCTCCTGTCTAGAATGCGACCGAGAGCAAGAGAAATTCTGGGGTTTTGACGGCGCAGTAGAAGCGCTCATTCACCGTACAGACTGAAAACCTCGGCCGTGTCCTTCACAACTGCCATGCCTACCTCGGATCCCTTCGGGCCGGTTTCGCTGGGAAACCGATCCTGCTATTTTCGGGTCAAAGCCGGACGGCTCGACCCCTCATCAAAGGGGCCCACCAGAACCGATTACACAGCCTAGCCAAAGCCAAGGTTTTATGCTAAGTGAAGCGTATTGGTTGACTACTGCTGCAGCTTTGCCTACGATCTTCTTTCTAGCTTGTTGTGGAAGACTTGCTCTATCCCTAACTTTACGTAGGGAAGTGGATTTTCGTTTGAAGACATACGGCGTCCTGTGTGCATAAATACGCTGTGCATTAACACATTATGCCCGTACACCTAGTATTAAGCTGTCGGGTGGGATAGCTGAGTACTCTCGGCGGTTCGTTTCACAATCTGTGCCATTGCGAGGTGTTACATGGCTCCCTACACGTATGGATCCCCGTACATGCCTCAATGATGCGACTGTATCCAACTAATGATCATATTCAATGGTGAATCCTCGTCAACGCAGTATCCGCTCCTTATGTCGGCAGCACGTAGGTTGGAAGCTACCACACGGACCCCAGGGGTACGGATACAAAGGGGACGCTACCGAGAAGAAGTTGAGGGATGGGTGCAGGGCAGGACAATACAAGATGTAAGACAAAACCATGAACGGTAGATAGAGTGGAGCAAGCCACTAGCTGGGGACTCCATGCAGCCTATGGCCACAATAGTCTGAATATGACAATAAGATGAATATGAGTCGTGAAACTTATATTATGTACTGGCCTGAGATTGTAGCTAGTCTAAATTAAATTATAAACCCCCAAAATCTGTTCCAGGAGCGTCTCCTCCGGTATTAAGATCGTACGATATATATAGGTGCATTATCGCGTGCTCCGTCTACGAAGCGGTTTCATGAATCACACGCTACCAATCCAGCGAACCCTTCATCCTCCCTCTTCCTACGCCCAGGCTGTCGTAACCATAGGCCTTGATAACTTATATTCCTGGTACGACTAAGCTGTACACTCACATCTGCAGCATAAACGAAGACACGCAAGTGGCCGTCATTGTATTGTAATATTCTACCATAAAATGGAAACCGTTAATTTGTAGAACTTGCTTCGTTATATACAGGGAAAGGATTCATGATGATTTCCTTGCAAATCTTCCAAGCCCGTTCAGATGGCGGATCTCTGGTTGACATATCCCTAAGCCAATGAACAGATTTTCCCAGACAGTTTGCAAGTTTATTCGTCGTTACCAAGCCTTTTCGCTTCTCGTGCTGCAGCTTCAGCAGGAAAGCAATCATTGACTGCATAAGATAATGAAGCGTACACCACCAAGGCGAGGTTTCGTAAAGCCAGGAAGTGTCAGGGCAGTCAGGAAACAGTGACAGCATCTGATATGCTGCTTCCACGCATGAATCGGCCAACTTCTCGCATAGTTCACTGCTAGATTCTCTCGTCGCTCGATGAAGAAAGGGCCGAAGAAGCAGAAGCTTTGTACTGTAGAAACGAAATGCCAAGCTTACTCGCTGCCGGGTATAAGCATCAGACTGCGCTTTTGTATCCTGGAACTGTAGTTCAGGTAGAAGCTGTGATGCCCACTCATCTAATTTTGTAATCAGTGAAATGGTGATGGCTGCACGGACATTCCACGGTTCTTTGGAACCTGCAGGAGCATGTAGTGATTCAATAGACTGCCGCATTAGAAGGGTCAACTGAACAAAAGAAAGAAAATAACGCGAAGTATCAAGTGCGAGGCCACCGTTCACGTCTTCGTTCCTCTCCAGGCGGTCACGTATAGTGACATCTATCAAGGATATCTCTGGATTTTGACCACGCTGTTGGTGCTGGATCATCAATAGAAGCGGACCAATTAATTGACTGAGACCTCTACACTTCCTGATCAATACTGGGCCACTTACTTTCCACACTGCCTCATCTCCACATGGCTGTGGTAGAGGAGCAGTCATGAACTCAGTATTCAAGTTGGGGCCACGGCCGGTTTTGAGACATAGTGTGATGTCCAGTGTATATAGAGACCACCAAACCCGGCAGCGATTCTCCTTGGAGTTGGGAGATATGCCAGGACTCTCATTCTGGAGATGGATCCCCATTGTCATAGCTGACCGCATCGACAAGCCGCAGATCCTCCATGAACTAGCCTCTTAAAATTAGTACAGGAAACGTAGAACTGAGTAAAGGCATATCATACCTATTAATCTGTCCGATCGAAAGCAGATAAAAAGTGATCAGACCTTCGACTTGCACTTGTTGGAGATCTGGATGATTAGCCAAGGCGAAGTCTGTTGCATACAGCTTCCATGCTTTGCAGAAATACTTCAGATCATCACGATTTCCTGTTCGGTTGTCGTCGTACGCTAGGCCTCTGTACCTGGAGGCTATAGCAAATATGAGGTTCAAACTAGCTAACCATCGTTTCCCTGGCCTCACATCTCTTTTCGAATAGAATGACATGAGCTGTTCCCTGAAAATTGGTTTGTCAATAATCGGAAAAAATGGGTGTAAGATGTCAAAGTAGTGATTGATCAGATCGTCGGCGATCTTATGGAGTGGCACACCGAAAATGTCGACATCCATGTCTATGGGGAGGTCACTCTCGTGCATCGGATAGTCTATCGCCGTAACCAAATCTTGAAACGTCTGCTCATATTGGAGACACGGATCGTGTCCAGCTGTCGCTGGACGCTGGTTTTGTTCCAACTCTCTCCTCATTTTGCACAACCATGCTATTTCGGAATGACCGCCCACAACGTCATTTGCTTGGTATATAAGATTTCGATTAGAATCCCCCCCCTTAGGGTCGGATACTGTACTTCGCATATTATCGCCTGGGCTCACTTCTTTATCCGCAAAACCGGATTGTTGCACTAAGGGAGGCAAATGGCGATTGACAAGGTCTGTCATAGTCTCTGCAACATTCTTCTTCCATCAGTCGTGGGAAGCATCCTAGGTTAGACAAGCCTGTCAGTTACTTTACTCAGGATCGCCTCAACACGTCGAGCAGAATCGGGACCGAGCTCCGGCAGTATTTGTCGCAATAATGCATGGCTGATTTGCAATTGATTCGCGAGACCATTTACTTCTCTTGTAGCATCGCTTAGTATGCTGGTAAAGTATGAATTCAGGACCACACGCACCTGTCTCTTTGCTGACGCTTGGATTCGCGATAAATGCAGTAAATGCCTGCCTCTCCGCACTGCCGACAAATCGGCTGATCCCCGCTACATTTGCGCTTCTTTTCACCACAAGGCTGACATGCCTTATGAGTTCGTGAAATTTGTTGCTGACCAGGCGCCATAGAAATTCTTGGTATTGGAACTTTATTCTCCATGGTGCGCAAGACTGCGGCGTCTTCGGATATGAACTGTGTCCCAAGAGTTGCGACTGGCAATGACCCGAACTCCCCAGCCTCGGATCGGATCGGATTATTCTATCTACCGTCCCTGTTTATCATAGTCGATTGTTATGCGGGAACCACCCCGCCCACTTGCGTGATCCGGTTGGTTATGATAACGTAATCGGACAACGGAACCGCCGGGACGGTTGAAAGGAGTCAAACCCCGTACTCAAATAGAGGAGAATTTAAGAAAAATATCTAACAATGATGAATTGGTGTTGAAGCGCAGGATCCTTGAATTAGATTCACCAGGTTATCCGCTTGCCATTGCAAAAGTACAATATCTTGCAGAGATCCTTCTATTATCAAAATTGAAGTCGGAAAACACCAAAAGCAACGCCTTTATCAGTATTCGCTGGGTCAATCGATTCATTCAATGTCATCAGACCGAATTGAAGTCAAAATATACTCAACGTTTTGATTATCAACGTGCAAAATGCGAGGATCCCAGTATCATAAGTCGGTGGTTCGAAATAGTTAAGAATACTAAACAAAAATATCAGATTTTTGAACACGATACTTATAATATGGATGAAACGGGATTACAAATGGGAATAGCTTCAACTGCAAAGGTTGTCTGTGGTGCTGAATCCCGTGAAACCAATGCAAGATCTATACAACCCGGAAATCGTGAATAGGTTACTTCGATCGTTATGATCAGTGCAGCAGGGGTCGTACTACCTCCGCATATTATCTTTGCAGGCAAGATGCAGCAGGAGAAGTGGTTTGAAGCTATTCCCGATGACTGGCGGATCAGTGTTAGTGATAACGAATGGACGAATAAAAGCCTCGCTTTTGACTGGCTTCGATATTTTGATGCATATACAGTTTCCAAAACCAGTGGGCCAGTATCTTCTCCTTATTCTTGATGGCCACGGAAGTCATTCAACTGTCGAATTTGATCAATTTTGCCAAGAAAGATTGATTATTCCTTTATACATGCCGCCTCATTCATCTCACAAGCTTCAACCGCTTGATTTCACTTGCTTTGCACCGCTAAAGATCCTGTACGGCCGTCGAATCAAAGATGCAGCTGATAAAGGCATCCACCATATACAGAAAGAAGAGTTTTTATATCACTATAAAAAGGTCTATCTCAAAGCCTTCAGTACAGCAAATATAAAGCAGGGCTTCGCTGCAACAGGTCTTTCGCCGTACAACCCGGAAAGAGTACTTCAAAATCTCAAGATATCAAATCAAACACCTCCTCCGCCTTCAACGTCATCATCTAATCAATCTATGTATCTCAGAAAAACGCCTTTCACTCTTTATCAACTGGATCACCAAAAGGAAGAGATTAAAACTCTGCAGGAAGCAGGATCATCATCGCTGATCGCTGATCAAGCACTTGAAAAGGTGTATAAAGGGGCGGAGATAGCAATGCAGAATACCATACTACTTCAACAGGAGTTAAATCAACTTCGTGCAGTAGACCAATATAAAAAGAACAAGAGAAAGACTTCAAAGCACTTTCTACAAGAAAGAGACACTTTAGATGGCCATACTAAACATCAAATTACTCAAAAAAAGAATGTTGAAGCTATACAGAAGCAGACTACGCAAAGCACTCAACGCCGGCCACCCCGCTGCAGTAATTACAATAGGAAAGGCCATAATCGCCTCAAATGTCCGGATAAAGTCAACACGTCGTTTAATTCTGTATATATTATCTGTATAGTGTTGAATTGCTTCATGTTGAATCGATCATTGCATCTTGGTGGGCGGGGCGGCCAACCGCCGGCGGCTCGTTGTCCCCGGCGGTTCGTTGTTCGATTACGTTTAACTAACCAGTGTAGCTCCGACAACTGACTCGTTAGTCAGTCGGAAGGTATTGCGTCGTTGCGGGGTACATCACGTGTAGCAGCCAGAAGGACGTCAGCTCTCGCCCCGAGTTTGGATTATTCTTCGACGAATGCCGAAGATGGAACTCAGCGACCTACCGCCAGAGATCATCTTGATAATCCTGGACTTCATTGAGACTACTGCAGCCTTAAACGATATTTGCTTGGTATCAAAGAAGTTTTGCGCCATCGCCCAGCCGCTTCTTTACCACGAGACTATCCTAGGCCCTGAAGATGTACTGTTGTCAATCCTACTTCTCTGCCGTACCGTTACTACCTGCCCTCTCATAGCAGCGCATGTGCAACAGCTTGATATTGACACCGACAATCCAGGCTTTTTATTGGCTGAGGATGAAAATAATTTCAATGCTGTCTACCCAGATAAAATGCCAAAAGCAGATATTCACCTCCTCGAAAAGGAAACCCGGGATCTGAATTTGGGAGGCATAGATGCATCTCATTTTGGTACTGAAATCGGAGACACCGTTATCTTTACTATGTTGATAATCTCACGCTCTCAGAACCTGAGATCTTTGGCTATTACTCTTGACCCCCAAGGCCTATTCCTCCTGATTGGCTTATGCCAAGGTCGTATAAATGCTCTTTCATCATTATCACCTTGCCTAGACGGCCTGGAAAGACTGCACCTGCGCTGCCGGAATGGTCGCTGCAATAATGGAATGAACATGAATAGTATCGCCCGGCTCCTTTCTCTGCTGCCTTTGAGAGAGATACAGATCACCGACTACTGTTCTGGTGGGCAAGATTCATATGAAACAGACGACGCAGATGTTACTCCTCTCAGATCACTTTCTGCCTCAACTCTTTCGCTCAGCGGCAGTTCCATCGAGGAAACAGATTTCGATGTGCTGATCGGGCTATGCAAATACCTGACCGCCTTTTACTATGGGCAGTGCGGTTCTTATAATTTTCAGTTAAGTCCCCGACGACTATACTCACTGCTTTCTTGCCGACGGGATAGCTTGCGGGTCCTCCAATTGTCATTTGGCAACCAGTTCGCCATTCCCCCGGCATTCGAAGATCGCCAATTCGGCGGCTCTCTTAAACAGTTCGTTGTCTTGGAATACCTAATACTGGATCAAGTATATTTCAACTGTACATCTGAACTTCCATCTTCCTTGATTCACCTTGAAATACGGGAGTGCTGATCACCAATAGCGAAAGCATTGGCCTGTATAGCGGAATCCGTGCTAAACGGCCAACTGCCGAATTTACAATGTATCTCTCTTCACAGCGATATCACCTATCCTGGCCAAATGATTAACTTACCGAAAAGGGGTGCGACTGATATATTATTCAACAAGACATGTTCAGATCTACGGAACATTCTCGACGGAACGGGAATAACACTACAACTCGAAAAAGACTTGCTCGATAAGACTGTCCAAGGGTACGGCGCTGCGTATGATTATGGTCAGCCCGGTGAATTTTGGCCATTCATCTATCTTGAATAAGCGAGGCAAATTCCATACGATCTGAACTTCTTCTGATGTTGGCATAACCGCCTTGTCTCAGCCAGACCGCGCTCTTTGTACGGCTAGTTATGCGGGCGCATGAGCAGCTGACTGTTCGGACTTTAATGTTCCCTTTTTTGGAAGGATCATTGAGCGAATACTGCAGGCGCGACTGTCCTTTTGTTTTTTGATTAGTGGTTTACGAAATTCGGGATATTTAACAATAATATGTTCAAGAAGGGACAGTCAGTCTTGTCGCTACTCGAATGCGCTGTTGCATCGATGTCAAAGCTTGTACATTCCTGTATTTATAATACGGCTACTGTAAGCTGAGGAAGCAAAATTGTTTAGGTTACAGTACTAATCGATACTGCCAAGAAGCTTTGGTATCAAACTAACTGTATACGGACTAGTATAAATGTATGGAGGATTTGGGAAGAATTGTGAAAGAGTCTGGGTAGGCAGGGTGATTGTACAAGGTGGCGTACTGGCAGCAAATCAAGCAAAAGGCGGAACGCGTGTTACTCCAGAAAATACACCGTGGTCGCCGAGTGAGGTTTGATGATACTGTGGTTGTGGTTTCCGTAAATGAACGCTCGCAGCGATCTTACAAAGCGGTTTGAAAAGGCTGACATCGATAAGACACCTATAATCAAGCAAATCCTCATATAACAAGATCTCCTTCATCGGCCCAAGAAAATGCTTACAGTCTCCATCTCTATCAATTATAGAGAGGACAACTCTTCGTACAGGAGGACAGACAAAAGAGGAACCTCCTCAGTAACTAACAGAATGCTTCGCCTACGGGACGACCAGATTGATGCGGAGGAATGCTCCGGGCAACCATCAGTTGCTGACCTCAAAGTCTCATGCTTCGTAGCTACACGTTGTCTCTTTGGCCAAAAACAGATTCCAATGGCTTCCTCGTTTTGATCTCGATTCTGGCCCCTTACCTTTCCTCCTACCGAGATACTAGTTTATGAGCTCCATTTCAGAACGCTGATTAAGCCAAGATTTTGAAAGAGAGATGATATATAACAGGAAGTATAGCACTGAGCATGACCTACTTGTGCTTTTAGATCCAAATTTTGATAGCCTTCGCGGTCCGCAAGTTCTGAACATGCAGCGTCCGGAGTTCGTGCTCGCCATTCTGCCCTGTCGATGCCTCCGTTTTTCTGAATCAATAATGTCAAGTCCATGATAGGCTGCCTTTCCATTCGATTGGGCCTCAATGCACACGATTCACAAAATAGAATTGGTATTACGCGGATTATACAGGCTCAACCAAATATGCGTTGTCTTACGGCGTCCCGCCCTTAGCCTCATGGCCATAGCTGACTTCGCCTTCCTTCCCCCTTCGGGAACTCCAAGCTCCCAGGCGTGGCGTAGGCAATGCTACGCTTTCGTAATTCCGCATTCCAGGTAATATTGCAAGTCAGATGCACCCGTTCAGATTATTAGATACCGAAGAACTAGGATTACGCGAGAGGAACGTAGACGAGGCTATATTTCACGTCAGGCCAGACAACAATAATGGTCGATATGATCCCGTGCGCCTTTCAGTCTCTGTCAGCCAAAGTAGCACCGAGTAAGCTCACTATCAGTTAGATTACATGCCCGTATGGCTGATTTAGCTGAGTAACCTGCCTTTCACCTGCCAAGCCCACGCTTGATCAAATCACTTATGCCTGGAAATATACTTTCTATACATGGAAGATAGTAGCACGTGTCAGGCTTTTAGAGGGACAGGGTTTCTAATAGTAGGAATATATTGCAATATTGCCCCCTGCATGCAAACTGGAGAGAATCTTGCAGTCGTGATCAAGTGCGACAATGTAATAGAGATCAAGGGCTTGCGTGGGTCACCTATGCCTCGCGCTATGCTACATAACCCTTCCTGCTGCCATAATTTGCTTGGCGCCGTGTTTTAGGCATCGTGGTATATGGTATGGAGTTATCAATCATAGTGTTTGGGGTTGCCAAAATTGTGGCGCTGCCCTGCGGGCCGTAATCGTGCTATTTTCCCTGGCCACGATAGCTAGGTTCATAAGAATAAGTTTAGAAGATCAAGTGAAGAGCCTCTTCGAAGCTAGTTCTTGAGTCGAGTCACGCTTTTAGAAGTGAGTCACACATTGACCAGAAAGAATAGCTCATTGGACATAAGACAGTTCTTTCTATAACAAGGAGGGGTGGTAGACAAAAGTCTCCTACCAAACAGTAGATATAAGTGCGTCCAGTTCGTGCAATGCCACATCAAACTTGAGAGGCGGCAGCTGCCCACCCTCGAGGAGAAAGCTTAGTGAAATGAATCCTCTCGCGGCTTCCATACTAGTCATGCCACGTGACTGAAAGTCAGTCTTATGATCTTATCACATGCTTATGCACCGATGTTATGATGTATTGAGTGCAAAGCATATTTTGTAGGCAAATTCTTTTAAGTAAATCACAAAAAGGCATTAGAATCATGGCTGGCTATATCTCGGATACTTATCCGCTCTAGTGGGTAATAATCAATCAGCTTTTAGTAATATTCCCATGTCAAAATTGCACTTTTGCATCTTTTAGCTGGCTAGCCGGCGTTAACTTTGGCTCTCCTTCAATTCTCCATAGGTCGTTGTTCCTATCCGCCGGGTTTCGACCGTGTAGTCGTTATTTAATCGTCTAGAACACACCTGATAACTATATCATTGACCATTCTGGTACGAGTTTGGACGATGCTGTCTTTGTATAGCTTTTCAGCCCAACTCCTCGGAGGGTACTTCTCCCTTCCAAGTATAATCCTGGCGTGGACATGGGCACTGGTAGTCGCCATTGGTAAACCATCTCTGGTGGGAGTTTGAACCGCCTTCTCTCTCCGAATCAGTTGAGGTTTAAGGAAGGCGCACCAACCGTCTGGTGTGAAAAGTTTCATCATTCAACTTTTGGTTCTTTTGAGTTCCACTGCCAGATCCAGTATTCAAGTTTCGAAAGAGCTATGAACCACCAATTTCAATCAGAGAAAAAGCAAACAAGCACGACGCGTCAAAATCGGGCCTCTCTGCAGCTAATGGCTGGCTGAAAACCATTCCCCTGTTTTCAGCCATTATTTATCCCCCGGAAATAGCCAGATTATCCGTGGTTCTTGCCCTTCTTACTGTCTAACTTATGTTTCCCAGTTACATCTACCACGCATCTCTGCGACCAGATCTCATTGCAAAGCGATTCCGCCGATGTGACTATGGATACTCCCAGTGATTCTGTCCACAGTACAGGACACAGCCTCTTCGGACACTGGAAGACTGTCTTCAAAGGGCGAAAAATGGACAAAGATACACCTCTCATTGCTCCGAAATCAAGCACATCAGTCATCACCGCAAATCCGGACGCAAAATGCGGCCCTGCCAATTCCAAATATGACATTTCCCAACCCAGCAACCACAACACGAAGGGGTTCTGGCAGATGGAGTACGAGGGGTTAACAGAGAGCAACCCGAACAGTATAACAGTACTTTCCGCTTACCGGGACAAAGTCTCAGGATGCTGGCATACATGAACAAGAGAGATATTAAACAAGATAGTTGAGGCAACAAAGGCGCAGTACAAGGAAAAAAAGAGAATAGATAGCATTGGGGCCACAGCCGATTGGATGTTAAACGCAGTGCTGTCTTTACAGGATGTTGTCAATAAAATTACAAAATTTGATCCAACTAGATACGCTCCCAGTGCTTGGGCGATAATATCCCTTGGATTAACGGTACAGTCCTTGCACCAAGCCAAGCCAGACAACCAGCTAATGACTAATAATATAGCTAATGACTAATAATATAGCTAATGACTAATATAGCTAAAACCGATGCAGACCTCCGGGGGGTATATTTAACTCATCAGGGTACCTGGCGGATCTGTTAGCTCGGTGTGCCTTCATTGAAGAACAATTCTATGGGGATAGGGATCATAACATAGTAAAAAAAAAAAAAAAAAAAAAAAAAAAAAAAAAAAAAAAAAAAAAAAAAAAGACTTGCGAACTGCCAATTTATAGGACCAGCCGAACAGAAATACACCCGAATTCTATAGCAAGATATCTTCCAGCCGCCCTTCAGTACGCCTGTCTTTACTGGATTTACCTTCTAACTCAAAGCCCAGCACCAGACAGAATTCTTGACCAAGTACTCATATTCCTAAAAGAACACTTCCTTCATTGATTTGAAGCCATGGGCATTCTGGGGATAATATCTGAAACCATAGTTGCAGTAAATTCATTACTCCAACTAATGAAAGTAAGTAAAGAACTAGCTTTTGGCAGCCGACAGACTAACACTAAGAGGAAATCTAGAACAATTTCAGTAAAGTAATACATGTCTTTATAGTAGATGCACGCAGATCCATTCTTAAATGTGCACAAATTATTAATATGGCACCATTGCAAGTATACAGCTCTAGCCTGATTTTGCACCACAGAAAACACTTATCAAAGAGACCTTTGAGAGAGAACTTCCTGCTTGATTATCTAGAGATCCAAAGGTAGAAGAGTATTGGGATACAGAAATGCAAACGCTGGAGGGCCATCATGACTCAGTTCGCTCGGTCGCCTCCTAAGGCGACGGCCAGCTACTAGCATCTGGCTCGGATGATAATACCATCAAGCTGTGGGATACAGTCACGGGCGCTCTCAAGCATGACACAATCACTGGCGATGCCACTATTAATTACTAATATCGGTTCTTTCGATATCCGAATCTACTATCATAGCTTCTCAACTCCCTCCGAGAAGGTGATGGAGATACTTTTACTAGTTCGATAAATTACTATTCAGGATCAAAGAGAGCTATAGCTACCTCAAAATTTTAGTTTTGTCTCCTCAACAATTAAAAACAGTATATTGCACTTGGTACGACGATCGGCAGAGTTGCCATAATTGCGCTCTCAATCATGTCATGCGGTAGACTGCATTTCTAACTCTCTTATTTCAAAATCTCTTTTCGACGAAGAGGGCAAGGGGGACCGGGGCTCTATATAGCTATCTGCAGAATTAATAGAGTGTTCGTGATGTTTCGGGACATAGATATTGGTGTTAAGTCGAGATAAGGTTCGTATACAGAAATTTGACGGGATAGATGAAATGTAAAGAATATATTATAATCATGTTCTTTATCCTTATGTTGGTTTACGTGTTGAGCTGTTACCTCAGCTCCTTTCAGAAGGTGGTAACCAAGAACCGATACTCCTGTAAAGTGGCGCGAAACAATTCCTCGGTGCCTCAGGCATCTAACCGCGTCTTGGATTATTTCGTCCAACTTAAAGTGCAAAATCTCGTGATACAACCAAGATTCGTAGTCAGAGACTTAAGCAAGATCTTGAACAGGGTGGCATGCTCGAAACAATCGGTGTTCAGTCGGCTTCAACAACTTGATTGACTCCACAGCATAGAGACCTAAGAGGGCAATGGTGTCAAGATGGCTTCCGGTATCAATTTCACCGGTAGCAATTTCACACACAAACGACTTGGGGAAGTTTAGGCTTTTGTTGTGATACGCGGAATTTGTGGACTCTTGGAGATATATCTAGATGACATCGCCGAATCGGTATGTTTTACCACGTTCAAGTCCCCCATAGGACGTCTCGCGGCACAGTCTTATACAGATCCTGCTCGTGCAGACCGAGGCCGTGGCTATGTATCCAATACCTGGCGCATAATGCAGGTAGATTGAAATCTTTCTATATGCCCCCCAAACGATGAAAGACTTGTTTGACACTAGTGGAAGTCGCCAAGAGTAACACTCACTTGGATTAAATACCGCTGCTCAACAGATATACGAAGTTGATACGACCTGATGCCTAGAAATGGCCGTGACTTAATCACAGCTGGGTCAACATCTGAAAATCGCGGTTTATATTCTAATCTCACAAACTATAACAAATTTGATGACCTTGGCGGGACTCTTCCATCGCAATCATATATTTTTCTCTCTGCCTATTCCCCCAACCAGACAAGTCAACATCCGCCGTATGCAATCCAACACAGCCGCGCCCATACCGGTGCGGGAACTGGAACAGATGCAAGTCAGTTTCCAATCTCTGAGCCCTTTCGTGCACTGAAAAAAATACAGAATGAGGTTCGTGTTGTCGATGAGGCAGGGAAAATGTTGGTTTTTTTGTCGGCATGCCAGAGACTCGCGCAGAAAAGTTGATCTTGGATATACCTCCTTATACTTTGTGTATTACATGGTTTCTACGACCGAGTTGCAACGAGCTGGGGGAGGGCTATCTTGAACGACTGGGAAGAGACGAATAATCGCCTAAAACTAGGCAAATACATGGACGGCAGGCTTGGGGTCAAATGCTTTTTCGCACCCCATGTTGTTCGCTCCCTCTCATGCCTACAGCCTGGAGCGGCCGGAGATGCGGTATAGTGATTTCCATAACAAATCGATGGTGGAGGGCGCACTCAACAACCGAGAAGGGGTCCCTCCTGCTTTCTCAAGTCTTATCCCAAATAACGTTAACATACCACACTGCTGCGGTTGTCCCGTGGGGACATGGCTCTTGCCGAGGTGGTTCAACGAACGCTCAACTTGCCGACGAGTCGCACCCCTGCCTGTCTCGCGTCCAGCTGGGGTCTTGATAATCGCTTGCCGACCTTGGGTCATCGGCGCTGTCTGACCGTCGTGCTGCGGACCGGCGACGCGTGCAGGGGCTGGTCGCCTCACGCCCATCGACCGAGGGCTCCCGCCTGGATTGTACTGGGAAGGGGTGGGGGTGCTGATCGAGACATGATTGAGCCAAGCGCCTCGCCGATCTTGAACCGGTGGCCTGGGGATTCGCCGCCTGCGCCGCGAGGAGGACCTGCGAAGCGGAGGGCAGTGTCGTCTAATATCCCTCTGTAGAAGCCGATACTTGGTTCGTAGAGATTCTTTCGATCGAGGTTTGCGCTCGATGGAGTACATTTTTTGCCCTCTGTGGCCACGTCAAATAGAGATTGCGAGCTACAACACGCAATTCATTAACGCCCGGCGGCTCCGCCTAAAGGGCAACTATCACTAAACCATCAGCACTAATTCTGATGTACATCTGCTGTATCTCCTTCGAGACCATACATATATCCTTTCGGTATATGTCCTCTCAGCTGTCAATATCATAGGAATCCCTGTAGGTCAGTATTTATGTTAATAGACTGGCTTGAAGGCGCTTCTTCAAGTGTTAACCATCCTATTCTCAGCAGTTGAAGCGAGTCTACCTTCTGGGGCACAAGGTGGTAGGTGTAAGTGAGTTAGGGGAAGGGTATCATTGTATTGGTCGATGTGGCTAGACAATGTCGGGCCGTGGCGATTGCAAATCGTATTGAGACTCGTACTCTCTCTAAGTTCGGAGTCCATAGCTGGTTAACGGAAGGCGGTTTCCCGCCCAGGCAGAAGAAGAGATTGTCCCGCTGACTTCGAGTACATTGTAGCAGTGCAATCCGTTACGTAGTGCACTTCCGACATTGGAAGAGAAAATGCTCCACGGTTTCGCTTGCTTGTCCGCATGCACACTGGTCTGTCTGCGCGACATTGATCCGGTAAAGATACCCATTCAGTCTTACCATGCCGGTCCGGAGTTGAGCCCGCACGGTTGCTTCTTGCCATGATAATCCATCATACAGCTGTCTGATGTGCTTTCGGGGGAGTGCTGCATCCACTCGTTTGACGTGTCTTCCTACGTCCTCTGGCAAGGTTTTCGTGGTGGCTGCTTGGGATCGCGCAAGATTCAAGGTTATTGATTTCATTCTGGAGACCTGCGCTTGTGGCATAGCACCCTCATGGGTCGCGGCTCTGGCCTGCTCCTTAGCTAGGCCCAGTAATTTGTTGTCTTCGCTGGTAGGGACCCAAAGAATCTTGATATGGTTATCTTTTCTCCGCAGTTATTTTATCAACTTGTATGTCTGGCAGACGAACTCCTGGCCTGACTGTTGTCGAGGGATCCGTATCGTGAGGGCCGCTGCTTTGTTGCTTGTGAGCAACCTGAGCCTGAAATCTCTCAGTCCCACCAGCCCGTTCAGCGTATGTGCTATAGTCGCTAGCTCTGCAGAGAGTGGATTCTGTTCTGATCTTGCACACAATGTCACGGAGAACGTCTTAATATTCAATTTTCGATATCGAGGTGGCTGCTTCTCGATCGCCACCCCAAATCCTACCATCCCGTCCCGTGCCGAGCTGCTGACCGCCAAAGGGCCGTGGAATCACAGAGCATGGTGATCTCAAGTCAGCGGTCGTAGATCAATCCAGTGGAAGCCCCAACCCATTGGCGGAAAACAGCAATGGATATTGTAGCCAAGGGCAGGCCTTCGCTCTTCTAAATGAGTACAGTCCTACGGATCCCCGAATCTCTTCTGGTAGGCCCGCCTTCCTGCTGTGCTTACTATACAGGCACCCCCAATTCACCTTACTGATCTAGTTTGTTCGCAGTGTTTATTTGCATATCTCCTGCCGTAAATTATTCTACTACAGTCAACAGCGAGTCTACAGCTAATGTACCCCGTCTTTCGTGAGTATTTGACCCCTCAAAGGAGAATTCCAGACGGAGCAGGCGCTGACTCTAGTCACCCTCTTGCCTTGCAGCTTGGAGCGAGTATGGCCTTGGCCAGCCAACCAATCTCAGTCATGCGATGCATGCGTATTTCAATGACAGTCAATCCGCTGGATATCATGGCACCTAGTATGATATGGCCCCGGTCTAGTATCGGTCAACTATTGCTCCATTCCTTACTGACCTCGTGGTATAGTGGCTGGCGCCAAGATCAGATCTGGCGGGCGCGAATGGGGTTGACCGACTCGGCCAAGGCGAACACGATCTCCCGACTATCGGACAGCAGAACGTACTGATTCCCTACTTTCAAAGGCCCCAATTATGATTGGAGCCCGGACATCAATCACTATGGCAGCGCCGCAATCGGGCTCCAGGAGATGTTAATGCAGAATTTTGCCAGGAATAACACCCAGATCCGTGTCTTGCCGGCGTGGCCCAGTGACTGGACGGGATATTTTAAACTGCTAGCGCCGTCCCAGACGACGGTATCAGGGAACCTTACCGGGAATAGAGTAGTGGACAGTTTAGTCGTTGAGTCTGCCGATCGCCGGCAGGATGTGGTGTATGGCACGAATTAGGGTTTTCTCTTACAGAAGAGCGAGTCATGAAAGACGACAATGAAGAGTAAGAAGGGAACTGACATGACTACTAAGTGTCATGGAATTGTTGAACTAGATAAGCTTACTATGTAATGTGTCATATGATCTCTGTACCCGTTGCCATGGAAAGAGCAAGTCGAAATGCGCACCCAATCAAGGGGAAAGCGGGGAAAAGTTGGACGACAGTGGCGCCATGCCTTGTTCCGAGCACAAGCACAAGGAAAATCTGCACTGAATTTGGCCGGGAAGGGTGGGGAATTCGGGGCATGTACTCGTACCACATTAGCCCGATGGCTGCCAATCATCTCCGCATAGGAATGAGAAAGCGGGGGAGAAGGATGCAGGGCCAAAACTACCGCTCGAGCCCAGTGACAGTGCACCCTAGCTACACTCTCTTCTTCTTTTATATCACCTTCTTACCATGTAATCTCACTCGGGAACTGCCAGGCTCTATACTCTTCGCATTTATCTTGCGTCCTCCAGGGTCTGTTATGAGCCGGAGAAGGACTGGCCGCGCTTGCAACCCGTATAACTCCTCCCGCACGCGCTGCGACGGGAATTTGCCCTGGTATGAAAAAATCATCAACACGTTGACCCGTTGGCTCTGATAGCTTGGACCTTACTCACGGTAATGCTCAACAGCAATCGCTGTAAAGGTAAGCTGTGAATCCCCATTCCATCTCTGCCACCGGAAGGGTTGGTCCGTCCTTTCTGACGTGGTCGGTTCAATATAGCGCTAGGGCGTCCCTGTCAATATCAACGCAAGTTCAAGAAACGAGGCCGCAAAGCGGCCGTCAACCACCCGAGTCCGCTACCGGCTGGGGCCCATTGCGATCTGGAGGTACCGAGCCCTCCGTATTTACGAAGCATTCATCCAACTTCCTTTGGACCAGCCCGCGAAGAGACCTCGACAGATGGCGTGCCAGCGTTTTCGGGTTTGCTTTCGATGGGCCACGGGCTAGCAGACTCTCACGAGCCGGTGAGTATGAATAGTCTCGAGGCCACTTTCGCAACCTACCAGGCCAATATTCCCCGGACATTCGACTTGCCACACCCCGAATCAGGGGCAACTGCGCTGACCCCAATCCCTCGATTTCTCACGTTGGCGCTAACCTCCCCGGATGCTACGGCAACGTCGGCGTCAAGCACGTCGTTGCCCGCGGGCTGCCGCTTCCCATGTCTCGAGCCCCTCCTGCCTCGCCTAAGGAGCGTTATGAGCCCAGGGGAAGCTTGCAGTTTGCTCGAAATCTTCTTTACTGAGCCGGGTGAGTCCGCTGGATCTTCCCACAGCCCCTACAATCTTCCTCCGTGCTTCGGAAAGCTGCGGTCTTGGATCCGATCCAGCCGCGACCGACTTCCCCAGCGCTCCTGGCAACAATGCTTTGGTGTGCAGCACACACAGCATATGGGAGGCTGTATTACATTCCAGGATCACGAGCACGATTTGTTGATCATCTTTACTGCCTGGTGATGTCCCTACTGCAGCGCCTGGACCCGGAAAATTGGCATCGCGTAAACGGTAAGTGTATACCCGCACCCTCCCATCCATCCGGGGTGAAGAGAATGTACAGTAGGCAGCGGCCAACAATTGGAGCTGGGGGCCCGGCAGTTATAAAGCGACTGTGTCTCTGCCCTTGATGCTGGAGACCCAGACCGCGCTCGCAGGACCTTCGGGACTGGCCCTACCCCTACAGTAGATGATGTCCTCACGTTCGTCTTCCTGACTATCGTCATTTCCGGTGGCGAATACAAGTCAGACTGCTTGAAGTGGTGGAACAAAACACTTCGCTTGATCAGGTATCTTGGGTTTCACAAGGATCCCTTGCGGACTGGCCAGCCCGAACCGAGATCACTTCAGGTCATTGAGAAACAAGAAGAATAACGGCGGGCTTTTTGATTGGTTTATGCCTTGGATCGGCACTTGGCCGTATCTCACGATCGTGCCGTTCATCTCCTCCACGCCGAATGTGAAGTGCTTGCGCCTCTACCAGAATCTTCCTGGTAGAGGTTGGACGGCTTTACAGCTGACACCCTACCCTCGAGGACATACGGCCCGCCAACCGTCATTTCGGGAACTGGGCTCTTTGAGTACTTCCTCCCCTTGATGTCTATCCTGGGAGATATCATCGAACTGCATGTTTGGCGCCACCATCCATGAATGAAGTTTGACGAGCATGCCGTAGTCAGCGCCATCGCCACCGCGCTTACTAATTGCCATCACTGTATTTCCGAATGGATATGCGATGTAGATCGGACAGCAAACGCCTCTCGACCTTCCTCAGCGGCTCCACGTTCCGAGATGACAATGGTATACGCCTCATAAATTATCAAGGTTCTCTTTGTAATGCTGTATGGGGAATGATGCCACCAGCATGCTGGAAAACCATGGGGACTGGATCACCTCCGCACAATTCTCTGAATGCGCCTCTCATTCAATTGCTGCCGCCCAGCAAATTTCCTATGTTCTCTCTATCGACCCGGAGCTGTCATTCATGGCCTACTTGGTGGGGATTTATCTGTTCCGCGGCAGTCTCGTGCTCCTTTTGTTTGCTGAGCGAATGCCTCTCGTTGGGCCGAACCCGTCGGTGGAGGAAGCCTGTGAAAGTAATTATCCGCGCGCATGGAGCTTCCATCGTGACCTTAAGCACGGACTTTCAAGTTCGTATGCCCAGTTCCCCACCTTTTCTCCCCTTGACTTCCCGGGCGTGTGTTGCCTGGAATTCCAAGTACGCAACTGACCCATGTTAAAAAAAGCTTTCCGAAAGGCTTCTCGATCGGTGCTGCTGCACTCTCGTGCGCATGGAAGGTGAATACCGAGCTTAGAGCCTTGCGGCAGGATATATTGTCTATGTACCAATGGAGATCAGGAGTCCCGGGGCTGTGCCTGTAGATCAACGCGTGGTACAAGACACTGTATCACTTTGATGAAAGCCAAGGGTTGTGCGTTGGCGAGAAGAGTGTAGAGCGATGGCTCCCTTGTTGTTGTGGGAATGGTCAAGCGTGCTTGAGCACGTACGGTCGAGCTGTATTCCTAGCAATACACAAGCGCCTGCTCACTTCGCCTATTGAAATCGAATGTAGATTGCTGGCATATTACCCGGCCAGTAAGGAGTTTCCCCGTCTCTTCTGGCGTTTCTGCATTGGTATGTTCCTTGTTCGGGCTTGTTAGGGTGTGATTCAGCGGTCCACCGGAATGTCACTTCAGCCTTGCAACTCGCTTTGTTACGCTACACGAACTAAATTCTGTCTCATTATGGATACAAAGCCGTGTACATGTTCGTCTTGATTCTATACGCCCCATTCATGCAGTTGTCGGCATGGCTTCTGCTACCAGTGCCTCGAACGGTGGAGAGACTACCACTGACATCACGGATCACGGAGCTGGCGGGCAAGTCCGGGCTCTTGAATTTGGGTAACGTAGGCACTTTCTAATTTTTGGATTGATTGCGGTATAACAGCCATGGGCCCCCCAGCAAGGAGCAGGGTAAAATCACATACGTAAGGCCTGTTGACCGAGCCTCTCGGACATTGAGAATCAGACAGACTAGCGACCAGCTTGCGAACCCGGCGAGGACAGTGGCGGATCCCAGAAAAATCCGCGAGAAGAACACACCATGACGGGGAAAACGCTCAACTGATTGGCATAAGGAGTGGGATTGAAGAAGTGACAGCCCGATGATGCTCTAGCATTCAGCCAGGAAAGATGGAGCGGAAATAGCAATTACGGAGACTATATTAGGTTCAGCCATGCAGGTGGGGGCCGCATTTTCATCTTTTCTTCGAGGGTCCAGGTGCCCTGTTACATCGTACGGTTGGCAACTACTTTGCCTAGTGCTTATTGGGGGGACCAAATCTATGCCGTGGCCGACCAAGATTGATCCGCGGGTCAAGGATGCCGTCGGCTGGTTCCAGTCACACCTCGGACCTTATTCAGTGTCAGCCAAACTAATATGCTTAGCCCCCATACTAGTAGTTTAGAACGTAATCTCCGCCTCTAGCTAATTATTTTGTTGTGGTCGTTACCGGATATGCCCCGGTGTACTAAGAGGCAGGCATGGAAAAGACAGCCTGTCATGTGACCGACACCGCCGCACGGCCCGCACCCCGTACTTTTCCACTTCCTCGCCGATTGTATGTGTCATTTTTCTGTTCTCAGTATCTCCCAGTCCAACGCTTCCTCTACACCTTCACCCCTAACGCAATGGCTCTCACAGACGCCATAATGTTCCTGCATCCACGTATAATAAAAAGATGCATGTTTCCAGGTTGAATGATGGTTTGGCGTTGATGGAGGGTCTTCCTAGATAATATTTATATGTATATTGCTCCGGTGATATTGGTGGCATGGCAAGTACCTCATTGTAGCATTGTAGCATTGTAGCATTGTAGCATTGTAGCATTGTAGCATTGTAGCATTGTAGCATTGTAGCATTGTAGCATTGTAGCATTGTAAGCTTTGCACATATGACTTGATCTGAATGTGAGTCCATTTTGAGCACAATATGCATATAATGTATATTTTCACGTCTCCTAACAGGCCGGAACCGCAAATTTCTATCCTAGAACTGGTAGAGTAGCCTTGCTAGTTGCAAGACAATCATTAATAAGGAGGATATTCTATTTTCTATACCTGCCTGTGTGATTCGGCTTGAGGTTGATATAGATTGTAGTGAAAACTACTTTCTTTCAAAAAGGAAGGGAAGGAAGGAAGAAAGGAACAGAAAAAGTGAACTAAAAGGCAATAATTACCTGATTCGTAAATGAGGCTAACTCAGAAAAGACCCTGCACACCAGATGAGAGATAATAAACGCCGGGTAATAACCCTCACTTCCGTGCCAGCATTATACATTTATAAATATTCCAACATAAATAACCGCTCCATAGTGCTGAGACAATACTATAATCCTTTCTATGTATATCGTCTAGCTGACGCTATATGAGAAGAGTAGATCTCTTTCTAGAGCCGCAAGTTTTTCAGACACATGCTTGAGGACTATAGTCGTTTTTTGGCGTGTTTAATAGTTGAAGATATTATAAGGGATGCATGCCACAGCTTATGCTGGTTCGATGCTCGAAGCAAAGCTTCCCGGATTGATTGAGATACTCCGTGCGCATCGTTGAATACCTGATTCAAGGCCATGAGTGCCTCTTGATGGAAAGCAAGCTCTTGTCGTAGACCCCCGATTTCATGGTGTAGGTCGGGTACCGTTGGGGGAGAATCAAGCTTTGACTGCTTTATATTGATTGCTAACCGTTGAAAGTTAGCGTTCTCCCACCATTCTGCAGCGTCACATGATCGAGCGCAGTTGGCTCTGTATTGTTCATTGTGGGCTAGGTGAGAAAGAGATGGAGATGGTCTTCTCTGGGTAGGTACACTTCAGCTTCAAGTACTTGAACACAATTCTGTCGGTGGCTATGCGGCCGGTCCGCTAAGTTTCTTAGTTATTAACAACGGGTAAGTAACTGCGTTTAAACTTGACCCTTCCGATGGATGTCGAGTCGCGGTAGCGAACTGGACCATTAGTATCCATACTCAAATACAGAAATATAGGTCGCAGAGCACTCATAAGATTTCTGGAGGAGTTGTTCATCATTTTGTACTATAACACATATGATACATCATGGCGCCTTATGAATGCTCTCGCTCGTCATATTAAAATAGATGGTTTGTTTTCAGACGTATCATTATAACGCTTCATATATAGTACTATGGAAGTAACTATACATTCTGGATAAATCGTTAGATTATACCCATATGCCTAAAATACACCTGCACGACCAATTACTCCTCTGGAAGTTCGTTCCGGTCCCTCAACTTCTCCTCCGCCTTCTGACGGCCAGAGTCCGTCACATTCGGATTGTGACGTGCGCTTCGATTTCACAGAAGTTAGTATTGCTTAGATTGAAAGACCAGAGTGGGAAATGTTCCATACGCCTTTAATCCGCCCATAAAACGACTAGGATCTTTTCCACGTTCGGTCTGATCGTATAGTTCATCGCGAGGCTGGTCTCCTCCAAGCTGTTCCAGCATTGCCTGAGCGTTCTGTTTGGCTTCATCAGAGGTGTGGGGATTGCTCAGAGTGCTGTTTTTATGGCATAAGTACCCGACTGAAGAACAAAAGGGTTCGTGAAACTGACGCTTTGTAGCCGCGCATGGCGTTTAGTCTCTCCTCAGTAGACATTGAGAAAGATGGTTGGCGTAGATTATGAGTGCATCAGAATCAGGACATGTTGTCAACGTTGGGTCAGCCTGTTATATAACAATCGATGTAGGCATGCGCGACACTTACGTCAGTGTGGATGATTGGATGCATCATAGAAGAACTTAGTTAATATTCGATGATCTAATTTGAGTGTAACCAGAGAGACAAGCACTGGTCATTACTAATGACTTTCTCACGGACAAAGACCACCTTCCGAAGGCCAAACCCTTACCCAAGAATAGACGTCGTAAGTAACTTGAAAGTCACGCTCCGTAACGAACTGAGCCAATGCTTATATCTGTTGATGAAAGGCTATTGTGGCGGACGATGGCCGATTATTGATGGGTGGCCGAACAGCGAGCATTTCCCGTTCGGGATGCGATAAGGTCACTTGCGCAAGGATGACGTAGAGACTGAAACTCTGGAACTCTCTGATGTCACTAAGGATCATATAATGTACCGAGATTATATTGGAGAGGATCAAGTTTTCATACCTGACTACGAGTTATATTCAGGTGCATTATTACTGTATAATTTGTTTCCTGTTGTCCACAATCTGAGCATGAGTGGGGAAGACAAACCTTGCTTTTTTGTCCCTCTTGAAGCGGACACAACATACTACGAGCCATAGTATCTTTCTTATACATCCTTCTGCACAAGAACCGTTGCTCCTGGACCATTTTTCATCTAAAATAAGCGAGGAAGAAACTACGGGTAGCGGAGTAGGTCAAGTTCTCTGATGAGTTTGTAGCAGAGCATAACGGGGAGACTACTGAATATTCGAATGAATTCCCCAGCTCTCTATTGAAATCCCTCGCGATGTCAGATCTATTATTGTCGACTCCTAAAGAATGTGGAACCCGGTAGTTTTGCCTATCGCAATCACCCATCTTCTGCATCTCTTCTCTCGGCCAATGTGGAAGAACTTTATTATGATCCACAGTGGCCACGGGCCCCAAGTCATATCACCTGTGCCTTGGACCGTTCCCAGATGAACAGGTTCTTTTGTTCTTAGGACCCCGTTCTGAGACACCCCAGCTATGGCCAGCCGCCTCTAGGCGGTGCTGGGGACTAGTACTTGCCAGAGTATATCCACTCGTCATGACGCGATTCTTACAGTGATGATGACGATGATGATGATGATGATTCATACGCTGGCCCCTCGCCGAAAGTTGGATCCCAGGTCAGATGATACGATGTGATATCCGATTATGATGTGTACCTTGCATGGATCTGACAGGCTACCAGAGGTAGCCTGATCAGGATATGCGGTGAGACCAGACAAGGCAACACTATAGCTATAAATAGCTCTACTTACCCCCATCGATAGTGAATATATCATCACACTTGTACCTCAGTTCAGGTTTCTAACTGACGGCGAGGGGCAAGCGTATGAAATCATCATCATCATCATCAGTGCGACTTTGCCTGAGACGTCATGGCCGGTCCGCCTGGAAAGAAGCAGCTCCGTCGATACATGAGGCTTAGTTTCCACGCAGATACCAACGTCATGTCGAAAGAGACACGAGAGACTTGGGACGAGCATCGAGCCTTATCGCGGGGCTCCTGTCCCAGTTTTGGGACGTCAAGATCGCATACCAGATGGAATTGCAGAAGTTCAGTGGTCTTTCTGTGGGCGCAGCAAGCCTTACCGGACAGCGTTCTACGTTGTAGAAGATGTTGAATATGATCTTCTCATCGGAAGACCTTCGATGCGGCAGCAGGAGCTGTACCGAGTGGATTCCCCCATTGCGACGAGGATTCATGAATCGTATCGATGTCAGTAGGCTCAACTAGTGGAGGAAGGGCGGACGGACTTGGAGCAACCCCTTTTTGTTCCACACATCAAACCAACATGTCCCTCTATACGCTGGAATCGCCCCCACAAACTTCCTAATGGTAGCTTAGGTCTAATTGTGCCTTACAGGTAGCCGCACTCTGAATATCTGGCATGTTCAACATCCATAAACTTGTCAGCTGGATATCGGCGTAAAGATACTCTCCCTATGTTGATTGAATCGAAAAATAGGGGATTGCCACTGTACGCCACAGTTGGTAATGCGGCGGGCGGTGTCGGCTTGGCGAACTGTTTCGCTTTTCTCGTACATATCATTTGCGGACAAGACACGGTCGGCTAGTCGAGAGAGATCTCGGCCAGTAACGTGAAGGAGGGAAACATTCACTGTGAGGCGTGGCATATAATGGCTGTGATGGACAAGTGGTGAGAACTTGACAAGACTGTCTATGTAGCCTTGAGAAGACGGATGCACATGTCAGTGTGCAAAGAGACGGAAATCAGCTACCTTACTCGCACAGGGGACCTCTAGTTAAATGGCCAAAGTAGTGGTGTCCTAGTGAGGAGGGTTCCACCCTTCTTCACTATCCCACTTATACTGAGAACCTGCGGTTATTTAACAGAAGTGAAGCTGCTCTAGCTGAAATACTGGTGATGCATGCTTAAGGAGCAAACCTGGAGATACCTGGGGTGAGAGATTTTGGCCGGGACCTTAATATCTGGAAGATACTTCTTAAGAGTTAAGTAGACTGAAAACCAGGACAGTGGCCTGAACAAGCAGGTCTGTCAAAGCTGCTTTACGCCAGCTGTTGGGGTGATGCGGATCTAATCGAACATCTACGAAAGCAGCACCACGTTAATTTTATCAGAAGGCCTGGACGCCCGGGAATCATGGACGACCATGGGCATATCTGGTATTGCTTCGAATGTGAACGGTCTACAAGCGATCATAGGAGTTTCAACTCTGACAGAGCCATGCTGAACCATCTTAAAAATAGCCATCAAGATCTTACAGCTTCAGTCTGTGAGCATTGGCCCGAAATGCTTCGGATAACATTGTGCACAGTTTGCTTCACACAAAGGCTCGGATTGACTGACAGAATCCGTCGCGGGTTAAAGGATGATGTTGACGATGATGAAATTCATAGGCTAACACTCTTGCCGTGAGTAGGACCTCAGTTTTTTGATACCAGCTCATTTGGTCCAGAGGACAAAGGTGATAGCGGCGAGGTTTCGTATAGTGACCCGTCATGGCTGTTCCTTAGGCCCCGTTTTCGAATCGAAGTTGAGGCCGTCTTAGGCATATTACTCTCTCTCTCTCTCTCTCTCTCTCTGTGTGTGTGTGTGTGTGTGTGTGTGTGTGTATTTGTATTCATACTCTGACCCCTCGCAATTTAAAGCGATATGCAGGATCTCCCTATCTACCTATCTCTATATATTCCTTATATTCATTAAACCACTACTTTCCTGACGAACTTAGAGCCTCATCAAGGCCTATGTTAGCCTAGTTGCCTAGTATTCTGTTCTGCAGCCCCCCAGGGCGCACAACCAAAAAACCTCTGCGACGCTTCTGCAAAGTCCAGTACAGCCCCGAGGGTGCTGTGGTCTTGTTCAGCGACTTGTGCCTTACCTTCCTTACCTTTTTGCCCTCCTAGCATGCTTGAAATGCTGCTAAACGCAGGTCCAATCTTCCTCCGTAGTTGTTGTCGCCGGTCGCTGAGTTTCGGGCAGTCCACCAGTACGTGGACTACCGTCTCTCGCACTCCGCAGACACATTTATCGTCGTCTCGGAACCCATGTTGTTTCTCGTACGTCGCTAACCACGCGTGACCCGTCCGTAGTTGTGTGAGTAGGTATGCTCGGTTCCGTGGGAGCGGTCCGTACAGTCTTTGGGTACGGATTGCCGGCAGGGCTTTGTCGATCTGGCGGAGGTGCCCTCCCTTTGTAGACTTGGCCCACTCTTCCTTCCACTCGTTTAGAACTCTCTTCCGGATGAAGCCCTTTTCCCGCGAGAGAAGGGGCTGGAAGGGGTTACATACAGTAATACATATTACAATATGATCTTGGAAACCGTATGTAGAAAAGTACCAACTTATTATAAACGATATTGTATCTTAATCCAAATACATCCAGGCATGTAAAATTCCGCGTTCCGACTACGCAGATGGTTCCCGTTTCTTGTTAGCATTGGAGCCACACAACTAGGTCGAATGACGATGCTCGACCTGGTCTTCCGCCACCGTGACATTACACAATGACTCCTGTCTGTTGGGCACCGACGTTATCGAACGGGCTGGCTTCAGTCCCTTGGTAATCCATCATAGTCTGTAGCCATGGGGGGTACTGTCGACTCGATGTTTCGAACATGGATGAGTGCAGATCGTTGTTGATGCAAGCTGCGGCGGTGGAAGTCCGTCATGGGCAATGCTGTGGAAACAGGCGTCAATGGATCCCAGGGAGGCGGTAGCATTGGATACTCAGCCAGGAGCGCCAAGCTTCCTTCCTCAACATGCTGCATGCGAGGAAGTCTTAGGAAGCTCGGTGGCGCAGTTTTTAAAATAGAAGGGAGCCCGAGTGCATCAAAAGAGGGACCTGGAGGGTACAGCTCTTGTGAGTGGTCTCTTCAAAAGGGCATGACGCCGCTTCTGCTCGGATGCTGAGGCTGTTCACCCTCGTATCCAAAGGGCCACCCTGCCGTCTGCGATGCAGGAATAGACGGGTACGAGAAACCGTCGGTCTCCGGCCCGGTCAGATACCCGGATTGAGACCAGGTCCAACCCCAGAAAGATGCGGGCAATGTCTCCCACGAGCTTGGTTCCATAGCCCACGGCATTAAGTACCATGGATCTGCCGTAGGATTCCCAGTCGAGGTGTCTGCAGGCATACACGAGTCCGGGAGTGCGATTGCGCTAGATGGGGGTTACCCAGCCTGCATTGTCGCCAATGTCGGATGGGAGAGTGCTGTTCCCATTATTTCTATTCTCATACCATTCCCCATGAGCAGTAACATCTTCAGGGCACGTAGTGGATGAGCCAGGCTTAGCACCACTATCTCCCGGGACTGGGACATCCACACGGCGAGCCATGTCAGATGCGCTTCCACGAGCGTCATACATTTTTATCCCACCAGTAGCTTGGCTCAGATAAGTCATTCGATTCTGTGACGATTTCGTACGAGTTCCTGTAGGTGTTGTGCTCAAGCTCCCTCGATCGGGACTTGGACGAGAAATGCATACCCTCCTCTTATTTGGCATATTTCGCAGGGCCAGGTGCGAGAACACTAGGAGCCGATAACGTTAGCCAGAAGCGTTATCTACCGACTTTCGGAGTTTGCAGACCTTGGATGTGCCGTGGGTCATGTGGTGAGGCTGTTCGACGTAGATCTCGTGGTCTATGTACCCGTACAGGAATGCCGTCTTGACATCCATTTGTTCAATCTCGAGATCTAACGCCGCCGCGATTGCGAATAGGGCTTTGTAGCTCATTGGCTTGACCACGGAGGCAAACTTTTGGTCATAGTCGACCCCTCTTCTTGTGTGAAGCCTCTTACGACCCATCGGCTCTTGTGGCGGATGACTTCACCGTGCGGTCCCCGTTTGAGTTTGAATACCCATTTTCCACTGAGGATCCGTCGATCTTTCGGGGGATCAACAAGCTCCCACGTCTTGTTTTGGTGGAGCGAGTTCACTTCTTCACGCATGGCGCTTTCCCATTCGAGCCAGTTTGCGTCGTTCTTTGCTTGGTGCAGCGTCTTTAGCTCAAACGGTTCTGTCTCCTTTGCAGCCACAGTTAAGAATGTTGGGATGACATGTTCTTCAGGTATATTCATTAACGCAAGCTCTTCGTCGCTGTCACTAAACATATCTCGTGTGACTTGCGGAGCGCGCATTTTCAGTTCAGGATGATGTGCTAGTGCTCCTGGTCGCACCGTATGAATTGGATGGTCATGCTGGAGTTCTGGATAGAGTTGCCATTCTCCTAGGTCGTGACCTGGTTGAGCGTCGCCTTGTTGCTGGTCGCCGCCGGTTGGTGAATCATTCCTCTGGACGATGTCTTGTGGATCATCTGCGAATGGTCCAAAGGTATCGTCACTCCTTGTGGGCGACAAGGTCCTATCTCCCTGTACAGCAACGGGTGGCTGCGAGTCTTCGTCACTCGACTGGGGTGGCACTCGCGAGTTATCGTAGCTCGATCGAGGCCGAAGGTGCGAGATATCTTTCCTCGACTTAGGTAGGGCCCGCTCCGGGGGTGCCATCGATAATTAGCGCCCAGAGGCGGGCACGGATGCTTGCCGTATGCCTACCGACGGTTGGTTTATTAGTCACACCGTCTCGCTCCCCCCTGCGGCAGCAGCCGTTACCGCAGGTAAGCCGTCTCGTCTGGCCACCACATCTTATCTGGTCTGTGTGGAAGGAGCTTTAAGGACTTCATGAAATTCAGCATTTGGGGTCCCGACGATTCGTCCGTCTTCCAGCAGGATACGGTAGTTGATATTCCCCTCATAGCCTAGTAAAATGCATGGCCTTGTTTTTGGCCCTGTGAGTTTCTTCCTCAGTCTGGGGGGAATCAAGTACTCCCCTTTGGATCCAATTACTCGGAGTCGTGATAGGTCCGGCTTGTCGCCGTACCACGCTTGATATGGAGTCATGTTCAGTTTGGATGAGGGCGACCGGTTGGACAGGAAGGCTGCGGTTCGCGCAATCTCGGGCCAGAATTTCGTAACTCCGCATGCGCGAGCGTTGGGCCAACCCGATCGTAGATCGTCTTGTGCGCTCGTTCCGCGACTCCGTTCTGCTGGTGTTGGTCAACCCCCGTGACTTCGGCTTGGATGGCCCGTGAGAAGAGGGTGAATTCCATTTCTTCTCCCACTTGTTCCGGGATCCGGTCGAGTCGGATTCGTCTGCATTTTCGCTCGGGCCGCTCGTTGTGGCTGAGGAAGAAACGCAGCGACTCGACAACGTATTCCTGTCGTCGTGGTATCGCAGTATTCTCGATCCAGCCTGTGAAGTCGTCAACAATCGTGAGCCAGTAGCGACTGCCGTCCAGGCCCTCATCAAATGGCCCTGCGACGTCAATATGGAGGAGTTCCATTGCATATTCCCCTCTTCTGCGTTGTCCTGAGCGGCTGTGGGGCTTTTCAATCATTCGTCCCTGGAGGCATGGGTTGCATGGCTGACGTGGTTCTATATCCCGGATGCCGTGGGCCTGCTTCTTTAGCCGTTGTAGGTTCCCGTCGCTCAGGTGAGCCAGTCGGTTATGCCACAGAGTCATTTGCGGACTGACATGGTAGGCAGGAAAGGTAAGATTCGTCCAGAGGTCGAGTGCGTACACTCCATGATACTGGCTGGCTGTGTATAGGTTCTTTCCGTTTGAATTGTTGCGGATACTAGCCCCTTGGCTTGAGAATCCAACTTTGGCTCCTTGTTTGAGAAGCTGGAGCACCGATATCAGGTTTGCGTGCGCAGACGGGACGTAGAGGACGTTGTCGAGCACCAGCCACTTCCTGCGGCCGCGCACATTGCACAGGAAGTTTACTGTTCCCACGCCTGAGGGAGCCGTGGAGGCATCGACGCTCCTCAGTGGGGGTACTAGTACTTGTCCATTTGTATAAACCTCGAGATGCTATTGCAGACGTGCTGAGCACATCCGCTGTCGACGATCCACGCATCACGGATCGGCAGGGTTTTGGTAGCATTCATGGAGGGGATGTGATCAAGCAGGGCGAGGTTCCCTTCCACATCCCTTCCGAATGCTTGATTGACATCTTCTTTGGACACGTGAGTCGCTATGAAGGTGGGCTTCTTTGGATTCTTTGGGCCAGCCACATCGTCATCTTCATCATCAGTGGAGGCCCGTCGCTTCAATAGCTTGCGGGCGCCTGTATGTGAGCTGCCTGGTTTTTCTTTGTGGCCCCGTTCGTCTTTTGTCTGACCCTTCCGTTTGGTGTTCTTGCGGAAGCATTCAAAGTCCGCGTGATAGGGTTTCCGACAGAAGGAGCAGTATGGGACGTTATCGATCTCGATTCGACATGTTGTCCCGCCCAGTGACGGTATGAGTTTCTTGCCGCCGGGCCCGCGGATGAGAGCGAGGGCAGGCAGCGTGTGCCCGTCGACGGGTTGTTTGCCCAACTGTCCCTTCCGATGTTCTTCCTCAATGGCCTTGTTCTCGATATAGTCGAACGTGGGTGCCGCTTTCGTAACGGCACCGTTGGCGCCCCTTTCATTGACAAGATCCATTTGTCGAAAGATGTGGTCACGAAAGCTCTCGTACTCGGGGCCCAGTGCGTGCAAGAAGAAGAATGTTCGCTCAATCTCGGAGGTAACACAGTCGGGGTCCAGGAGGAGCCTTTCAGCATGATATTTCCGGATCTCAGCGCCTAACGCTTGGGCGCTCCCACACTTTTCTCTCGTGAGGGACATATACCGTCGCTGGAGGTTCACGTATGTGCCGGTGCCTTCCGGTTTGAAATGGTTTTTGACAGCCTTGATGAGCAGCTGGACCTGTGAGATCTCAGAGGCGTTGATCCTCTGGGCCGCATTGTGGGTCAGTTTCGCTGTGACCATCGCCGAGTAGAACTTCTGGCGATGGGTCCATTGTCGCGCCTCGTCCTCCTCCATTGGTGGGGCCACTCCATCGTCGGCAACGGGAGAGATTCGAATAAACTCGTTGACCTTCTTGTTCCATTGGAACCAGTCACCGGCATTATCAAGGGTTGGGATATTGTTGTAGAATGCGCTTAATCCAAAATGCTCAAATCTCGTAGTGTCCGTCATGATGTAGATAGATGCTCCTCGGGACTAAAGAACTCTGAACTGGATCCGTCGTTGATTCAGTCAGAGGTGACCGAGGAATCACGGTCTGAGGAGTTAAGAGAACGCGCTTCTAGCCCAAAGAGCTCTAGACTTGACGCTGGGCTGGGCAGACTCGAGATGACGGACGGGCTGCGGTCCGACAAGCTTGGAGTAGGGGTGTGTGATGGAGGAGCGTACTCGCTATCTGGTAAATCTGTTAACTCGCTTGGCCTAAGATGACGGCTGTACGACTCGAAAAAGTGAGGGAAACGGACACGATCAACCGTATATCGCGGTTTCCGTTTCCGGGAAGTTGTAGGTCGGTTCGGCCGAAGGTTATAGCGATTTGTGTTACTATTGTCGATTGCCGCTGGTTCGTCACCAGTGGTAGAGCAGGATGCGGATAAGGTCGAAGTCGAGATGTTGCTTCTCGACTGGGAGGGTGGACGAGCGTTACGTTGAAGATGGCTTTGTCCCTTGTTAGAGTGAGCGTTTGTAGCTAGCGCCGCCACCCTTGATGCTAAGCGGATACGATCTTCAGCAGATAAGCGCCAGTAAGCTCCTAAGAGGGCACTTGGTGAGCGTGATGGGAAATATGACTCCTGGATTTGCTTGAACGACCAGCGATGCTGGTGTCGGAGGTGCGAAAGCAGGCTTAACTTCTTGTCGGTCCAAGATTGCCTGTTTTGCTGTTTGGCTTTTCTCCCTGAGGGCCCACGCGGTAATTGCGAGAAGTTAGCGCTAGATCTCGCGCTGGAGGGTGCCATGGCTTCGTTTGACAAATCACAGGCCGTATCACTGTGACATGCTGTGACGATGCCTGTGATAGTGTGATATCGGCGGCGTGATAGTGATGGAGACAGGGATGACTGGTATTATATCTCCGCGGATGTTGGCTGGGGAAGTTCATCCGCCTCGTTCTCCCAAGAGGGTGAAAGAGATTTCGCACTCTCGTCTTTCAACATTCAATTGAACAGAAAATTGGATTGTTCTGTTAACAAAACAGAGTATAGTTCAACGGAGGAAACTTAGCTCTAGGTAGCATTTTTGATAGCCTCGATGAGCAACCCGGGCTCATAACCTGTTGAAGTAAGGTAAGGTTGATTCTTATGTTGGTTGGCTTCTTGAGAGCTATATCTTTACATGGCGGGATGCCTCGTATATATATCCACTTCCGATCCCTGCTGCAAGGTTCAGCCACCGTGATACTCAACATTTCTACATACAGTATTTCGCCAATTTGAAGTCAATTCGCTAAGAATTGGTTCAGCACATGGGGCCTCAGTTGCCGGACGCAATGGTCGAAGACGGGCCGTTCCCGCATGGTCACCAATGTACGGACCGGGAAAGAGAGTCAAGACCTAGATAAACCCAACCTGAAATTGCGTTTCTTAGGTGCATTTCGGATCATTGTGAATGTCTCCTGTTTTCATACACGCGGGAATCAATATTAATCAAAATGGGCGAGGAGGAGCCTTGTGTTTATGTTTATTAGTTGGCATATGCTTTGTGTAACCTTAAAATTCGCGTTTAAGTTGCCGTGCAACAGGCGGGGCTGCCCTTGCCGAACTACAGCTCATTTGTGCGACACCCCTTGCAAGTCTAACTTGCCACCAGAAACGCCACCAAATGTACAAGGCATAATTTGCCGGCCCATGACAGCAGATGCAGAAACCCGCCATCTGTAGTAAGTGTCAGCCTGCGTATATGGCAACCCAAAATATAAGGTTCCTGCCAGCAGACAGGACTGCAAGCGGTTAGTGACTTGCAACTCAAAGCGCTCAATAAGCCGTCTAATGACACGAACTGCCTTTTTTGACTCCAGAGCGATCGTCATTGCGCGTGACACATTCTACATAAACAGTACTCATCATTATACATCTGTCTAGTGAAGAAGCAGTAACTTCCTTCTATACTGATGTGACTTACGGGAGGAAAGTTGTCAAGGAAAGATCTCTAACGGTCTACGCTACATATGTCGGTGCTGCGTATCGGCAATCTCTCTTCAAAGCGTCAAACAAAGGGTTGAGGAATAGTTTTAGGCATCATCTGCCACCAAAATCCAGTTGGGAGCAGTGTCAATAAAGGATCCGACGTACTACACATAGTTTTAGGGCAAGGAGAATGCTATGAAATATGTAGAGGGCGCCACAGATACAGATACAAGAAATCAATATTTCTGTATATTTTACTAACCATCCAATTCCGTTGCCCAAGATAGACAGGGAAATTACCGGCTTGGCCATCCGGCCAGCGAAGATCGGGTGGCTGTCTGTCTATTTGCTGAGGTGGTTGCCTTGCCCCTAAGAAGCACCGGATTAATCCAAATTCGGATATCAAGGCATACTGCGAGACGACTCGGATTAAGGTCTAGGCCAGAGGTAATATAATTGGACATCCTTAACTTTACCTGGCAGTTGCCAGTAACGACCATAATGTACTTTTGGTCCGGCGAAATCGATCTGCGCAATCAGGACGGGATGGCGTAAAGTTACTGTTATGCATGCGACGAGGCTTGCAGATTTTGCTAAGTCCCATGACGCTTATCTCAGATACTATAAGTGGCTATTTGCTCTCATGCAGGCTGTTTGAAGCGCAGGATCTTATTAATCCATAATGCCGTCATAGTTCAATCATGATAGATAGGCGGAACATGCACAAGGCATGATTTTTGAATTCTGCATTAGAATATTCGGCTTCCCTACCGTCGCCCGCGGACAAACAGTGACCAAGCCTCTTCAAGAACCTCGAATTGTACAGCGAGTTTTCTCAGCCGACAGCTCCAGAACATCTACGGAATGGGTTATCAATATGCAGCGTGACACCGCTGCAGGTGCTGGCATTCGTACGTCTGCCCTCATTGGCCAGTAGAAGTTGCCGCCGCGAAGTAACATGCGGCGGACGCGCAAGGGACTCGCACAGTTCTGGCTGTAGCAGCTGGCAGCGGTACGGCAGCCCCGCCGTAGTAGCATCCGCCAATGTACCTCCCCTTACCAAACCATGCCTGCTGGCGTACTCCTGGTAGGATACTGTAATCCCTTCCCTGCGCTTTCTGTGTGGTCACTGCTGTCTCAGTGGGGATACTATTGCCTACTCCAATACATTACACTACTTTGGCGGGCATATGTTGATCGTATCTCAGGGCGGTCTTTTGCAATCCGCTCTGTCCAAACTTGTTAGTCTACATTTGATGTACTGTATACTAGTTTTATACTGTTGTCTGAAATTAGATTGGCACTCGTGAAGGCAGCGGATTACAATAGTTAGCCGATGTATAGGTGATAACTCCAGTTACCTCCTAGCAGTCCGCATCCACCCGTACACCCACGATCCGGTCAACTAGGTTGCACGCGGTCCAGGCCAAAACGAACCTAGAACATGCTGGCGGGGTGATTTAAAAGTGCATTCTTCGTGTAATTTTTTCTAATTCGTCTCTCTCCCCTTACATTTTAACACAAGGGGAAGGGGGAAAGTGGGGGTGGGCGGGGAGGGTTCGGAGAACTTCAGCTTAAACACAAGCGCCTATTAATAGCGTGATCACACTGTAGTGACAACTACAATTAACAAAAGACAGCAGAAATGGCGAAATGTAATGAACTGAGAGTATACAACGTCAGCGGATGAGGCCTCTGGCCAGAAAAGGTCTGTAAATAAGTCATACAAAAACATTCGCTGATGTAGAGTTGCCAAAACCCCGGCGGTGTATATCGCTGGCATACGGGATCATACCGCTGCCACTGTTGCACTGGTTGTACGTAGTATTGCTGATCACACTGAATGGCAACCGGTGATGACCAGAATAGGCTGCATCACAAGCTGGGCTGGATCTTGCACGGGCACCGGCGTTATGTACAGGCTATAGTGAACACGAGACTTAAAGTTGGCCATGAAGTATGAGGGTATGAGATCTGCTGGAGAAATACTGTTCGTTGGCGTCTCCGGCTTGCTCCGGAAACAACTCATCGGAAATCACCTGTTTAGAGGGCAGCGGGATTACGACGTTTCGGGGATGCAAACGATGTTGGTGTTTGGTCAGTGTTTCCTTGCGGCGAAATCTTCATGTGGTTAGAAAGCCAGCAGTACCGCAACCGGACTGCTTTCTTACATGTTCTTGCATGTTGAATTCTGACAGATAAAGGGTCGTCCTCCTGTGCGGATCCTCCGATGACGGGCAAGACTTGATGGTTGTAGCGGTTAACACTGGAGAGGGTTAGGAAAGAGAAGATACTGCGTGCGTCAGAAAAGGCCTTATGGCATCCTCCATATTCACGAACGTGAGGTATCTGTCCTGTATGCGTCCGCAAATGTACACTCAATGTACTCCGCTGGAGACAACTTTTACTGCAACCTTTGACGGTGCATTGGTATGGTCGCTCGTTGGTGTGTATCCGAGAATGCCTGCACAGGTCTGTTTTGCGAGTGAAAACATGCTAGCGTTAGGGTGGGGGGTAGTCGACTCTCAAGTCAGGTGATTGGAATGAACACAGCAAAGGACATGAGAAAGACTTTACCTTGTCACAATCATCCCAAGTGCAGTGGAAACCACGTTCACCACCAATTTTCATGGTTGAGAGGATGAGGACGCCAAATTAAGAGCTGTTGGAGAGATGGGTCCCCACTCAGGACAACGGGGAGTGACTCGACTAGTGGAAAAGAAAAAAAAAAAAAAGAAAAGAAAAGGGGGGGATCGAGTTGGGAGTGAGGAGAGGGAGGGGAGGGGAGGGAGGGGGTGAAGAACAGGGAAAGAGATCGGCGCAAGCATGAGGAAACAGGGACTTCACTTGAAATCATAATCAGGAGATAAGGGAAGTACTACAGTGCCATGACAAACGTCTGAATCCGCCCGACTTGGAAAGGCTAATGAGCAAGAATAACACTCAATATAAGTGCGGATACCGGCAGTAATGCTGGGCCGCTGGGACGGCTTCGTCCCCTAGCCATCCTTTCGTGCACTTCCCCATATAATAATACTACTATTTCCGTCAACACAATCACGCGGTACAGAACTGGTCCGGACCGTCCGGATCTCGGTGGATTCTCTGTTTGGGACCACCACCTCGGGGCATCAGTGTGATAATCGAACCGAACGCCATCGCCCTAAAGAGAGTTCCTGAGCGGCAGGCATATTGCTGGCCTCCGTATTTATATTGGTTACAAAGCTTGATCACCGTTGCTGATTGGAGGGTATAGTATGGCCGAAGTAGTGATCCTTGTGGGAGGCCTATGTCAATTTGAAACGTGTCCGGTTTAGTGTCGCCCATCCGTAGGGTTGTCGCTCCGTCGCTGGGGGAGCCCCCGATCGATCCTGTTGAATATGAGTCCAAATGCCTTCTTTTGACATTCTAGAGCAAGTCATTCGTGCGGAGAACGGTCGCATGCGCGCCTGATACGTCTATAAAGAGGCTAGCCATATGTGGTAGATTCCAAAGATGTAAGGCGTGCTCTGTCCTGATTACGTTCCGTCCGTCCGAATGTTGGGTCGGCAGTCGGCCGTGTATTCTCACTGCGTGGCTAAATCGCTTCACGGTACCCGGCTTCATAACCTTTCCCAGGTTCTAGGAGTGCTACTGGTCGGCATGATTTTGTTTGTCCGTAAGCACTCTCGGAGGGTCTTCGAAGCGTAACCGTAAAGGATTGACGGAGGCGTTGGGGGGCAATATCGCAGTCCGATGCTTGCATTCAAGAGGCATTGGAGGGGTTCTGCGAGGTGCTGAGAGACACAACGTAGTGGACGAGTAGCATATTTGCCCGCTGCTACCTGCCCAGGTATGCGCTTTATGACGCCTCAAGAACCCTGATAAGCGTAGTCAGCAGCTATTCTCACGGAGCTGGGTTATGCGTAGCCCGATATCTTGTAGATCAACTTCCATGGGCGGAGGGGAGAAGCTCTGTCGGAACAGCTCCAACTTTCTTGCTGCGTCTCTCTCCGTCTGGCCGTCCGGTCGCTGACGGGGTGATATAATCGTGGAATGTGGCCTTTTGTTCCGAACCCATCTTCCTAGTCGCCAGAGACCATCCGCTGATTATGTGGCCTCGTCTATCCGCGTTCTATGGCAATCCCTTAGCGTGTCCCTGATAAGCCGTGATCTAGGGTTGCGCGTCCCGCCTCATGCTTCTTATGCTTCCGGCGCCCTCTTCTCTAATATATCCATCGAAGGCGACCGCGCCGACTGCTGTGCCTCATTGCACTCCCTTGTCCATCCCGGTACCAATCGCGAGCTGGGCCGCGATACTGGGGTCGATTTCTGTACAGCTGTCATGATCGGCGAGACAATCCCTTGTGTGGCCCTATCTATTGCTTCTTTGGTCGGTAGAGCTGTCAACATCAGTATGTATTCGGATAAGGTACGGTAAAGCTTCCCCTTGCCTGTCCGTCTCCAGCTCAAATCACCTGGAATGTTTTTGGTGAAAACGGAAGGTCGAATACCGTTTCTAGCGAGACATTATCTAAATCACCAGTCTCGAATTGTCCGTGTGCGGCATCTGATGAGGCCGTCTTCGAGACTTGTCGTGACCACAGCTATGACTCTTGTTGCATCTCCGTATCCCAAGCCTCCCAAGTAATTATACTTGTTGGGTACAGGGGACCTGTTAATGTTATTCAATGACACGGATGATCGCCTTCGCTCCAGAATCTGGGGTCCTGTGCTCGAATTACGGTCCAGAAAGAATTGGTTATGATCAAAACCTCGCAGGACGATCTCTTCGACGTCTCGTCTTTTCGTCCAATTATTATCCTTCCCAGAAATGGAGGCGCTTTTGTTCGGTCTGATAGCCACAACAGGCTGTATATATTGTAGATGATGCAAGGCTCTTCTATCTCGCCCCACTGAAGCTCCAAAGTGTGGTATCATAACAAATGGTACGCAAAGGTCGCCTGGTGTATCTTCGTCACCGGGGCTGGAACCTTCATGATGGTTGGAGGCGCGTATGGCTCCGTGATAAGTATCATTATAGCTACAATGACACCGGTGGCTCAGCGGCTTGGACTTGTGTTAATAGATTAGGTCTGCATCTTATCGATTGCATATATCATCAATTGGAGCGAGTTGGAAGAACCAACCAATGACCGGAACCTGTACTTCCTATAGTTCGGGTAGCACTATAGAAATACTCCCTGTTTCCGCCTTAGGCCTTCGTTATGATAGATCACTGGGGAATATGCGTTCCTGTGCGCTCCCCATGGTTCATGCCACCTTGTCTCAACGGCCTTGATCCATTGGACCGTCTGGTTACGATGCACCTGTGGAGTCACAGTGATCGCCTGCATCACTGCCGGCGTGATTCCTATCTTCGGAAGTATCATTTTCGCCGGCACCTTCTAGGCACCCTGATATGTCTTCAGTATATGGCGGGCATGTGGCTGTATAGCAACCGGAGCAGTGTACAATGCACAAGTCTAAGCGCTGAGTGGTGATGGTCGACTGGTGCGTCATTGCCATTGCGGCAGGGACCTTGCTCATAGTTGAGAGCACGTATCGTTGAGTTGCGTTACAGACTATCGCTAACCACAAGGAGTCGGGGGGCTTCGACGACCTGGCCGTGTGCGGACAAATCGTAAGCATACTATAATACGCATGCTTAATATGCAACTGCTGTGTAATAAAGTCTTCTTGTTACTCTCAAGATACCCTACTTTTCTTTCGGCTTGTTCCATAGCAGTGACTCACACACGGTCGTGCAATCCGAATAGACAACATCGTCTGCCCACCGCAAGGAATAGCTAGCGACGTGACACAGTATGGTCTACAGATGGAAAAACCTACTTGGGAGCTAGGTGACAACGGAATGATACTCCCAGTAGTCCTTTTCCGATAGCTTGAAATGTGACCATTCGCGTCTGAATGCCAGGAAGACGGGCCTTTGCAGAATCATTGAAGGCTGGAGCCGCTGAAATATCTTATCAACGACCCTATGGATGAGCTGTGGGCTGCAACGAGGTCACCCTCCTAGGGAGGGGTAACCTCCTTTGAAAGGTGCACAGTAGCATGGCGGTTATAGTTGACGGAGAGTAGATACATTTGCATGCCTTAATGTTCAGGCGATCTTGGTATCAGAATTTCCTGAACCCGTTGTCTTTGGCTTTTGTCGTCCGAAAAGAATTCAGACTTAGTGAGCTATTTGCCATAGCGACTCGTAACGTCTTCTTGAACGGAAGTAACCGTTTAAGTAGCCAGAACCGTCTTACCGCATAGGGGAGCTCATGTGGGAAGGTTATATGGTCTTAGTAGCATTGGTCGTGAGACAAACCAAATGGTTCTAGATACTTCCGCGCATCTTCCGGTACCTTCAGCAAATATGAGTTGAGCCTAGAACACCCACGGTCTCTGCGGGATCTCATCGCAAAATTGGGCGAGGAACGACAGAAGCATAATAACCAAGGTTTTTGGATTCTTAAGGGTACGGCACATCGAGATATGCGACTGGAGACGGAGTTCCCTTCAGCCTATTGCGACGGAGGCAAACACTGCTGCTGGAAGATATGCAAAGGTCAATTCAGGGAAAGAAAAGGGATGTGACCGTGGTCTTATTCAATTTCTCAGCTTTACTGCAGAGGATCGGTGAAATAACGGAACAGTTTGTAGAATCGGCCTACCGGGCATTACCAGCACCTTCCTTATCTGTGGTGAGCTCTGTTTCGTATATGCTCAACGCCTTGTGACCATTTCGATTATTTTTTGTTGGCAAACTCGTAAGTTAAGCTGCTGCATCTACCCCTAATGAAAGTTGGCCATCATAAGTACGAAATAATCTATATCATACGTAACTACATCTCATGGTCATATCTATTGTCTCGCTGCAACGCCTTTTACTTGTGCACGGATTGGAGGGCTGCCTCGACCTCGAAGATAATTACGTCAGTATAGCAGCGGATATTATATCTTAGCATAGTAACAAGACCCTAGGCGAATGCTGTGCCAAGGCCGAGGACCCTACTGTCACGGCTTTAGGATACTCTGTCAATACGGGATGGCTATAGGTCAACTGGCATTCCAGAAGCATAAGAGAGCTCTGCATAGACATAGATCGCGTCTCCATGATATCTGTAATGGCTCCGGGGCTATAGACCTACGTAGCTTCACTTTCGCATTATATTTGTCTCCCCACCTATGTTACCTCTTTTTACGTCGGTTGTAAGAACGAGGATTAACCAAATCACTTAGCAGTAGCAGGAGCCGAGAAAAGATTAGAAAAATCTCCAGTAAAGTACGAATTTACTGTTCTGCTGATAATAGATAATCCTTGCGAGGCCTATGTGAGAAGCTTGGTCTCTAATTCGATGACAGACAACTGTTTTCCTCTGGCGAAAATTCAGAATTTGATTACAACAAGCCACCTATTTTAAAGAAATGTATCCACTCGAGGACCTGTTGAAATTTCTGCCTACCCCGACAGCCCTTCCTACATGCCACACACGGACATAAGGCCTTGGAATGCTCCATCGCATATCCCCATAGTGGAGTGTCAATACTAATTAGCTCTTTCCGCCCTGGTTTGCCGGCACGTGATGTCAGATAGCTGGCAGCACTATGCTGGTATTCAGTCCTTCCTTTTCAAAGACCCATGCTTGTCGGACAGTCGCGGCGGTCACCTTTGAAATGGCTCGGAGAGCGACCCCGGACTACCAAAGGATGCGAAAGTCGCCTGGCAACCCGGATCCACTGGCTCTCACTCTCCTGAACGAAGCTGGAGATCTCAGCATAGAGTTCAATGACTAGGTTATAGTACTGCTGCTGGGCTCGCCGCTTCCCGTTGTTCGCCGTCGCCTTCTGGAACTGGATCCGCTCAAACGTGTGCCGGTTCGGGGGCTGCGAAGGCTGGGCTAGTCCCGGATACGCCTCGTAATCCAAGGATATCTCAGCAGACTGATAGGCTGTTGAAAACCGATGTCGAATGCTGTTTGATGACGCTTCATGGCCGAGAACCAAGGGCGTAGGCTGAAAAGGCTGCAATATGACCTTTCCCGGCTTTTTGCACGACTGCTTGTCCCGTTTTGGGCTTGTTGAATTAAGTCTCGAATCTCTTCAACCTGTTGACTCACAGTGGCGCAGATTGGCATGGAAAACCTTATAATGCGTTCTGTCCACTGATCTGACAATTTCACGTATAGAGGAGCGCTTGACCAAGGTTGCAAAGTAAACGAACACGAAATTGACAAGTAGTTGCGTCTATAGCACGTCCAATTACCATCAACCTGGAACAAACCATTATGTATTTCGGCCAGTATCTCAGGCTTGATGAATTGAGTCCCGGAAACAACAGGTAGAAGCAACATAGTGTCGTAGAACGGAGGGAAGTCAGCAACTGGCTGTGACAACTGCCGCTGAATCTGTTCTCGGAACATGTTCTCTGATCCGCAGTACACTGGCTTAATTTGCTCGATAGAGTTCTTCAGAGCTCTAGCTGCTGTTGTGAAGGAAGCCGTTCTTGTAATCTCCCTCTGATCTGATAAGGGTGTTAGATATAGATGTTGATGGAGAGTTTAGGCTTCCGGTACCCACCAAATCTTTCGGTGGTTAAAGCACTGCCAGGGACGACTATTTCCTGGGACTGCAGACTGAGTGACATACTGGCGGACGGTTGGCCGTACATGTCACTGAGTCTCCTTATTGATTGGCACATGCGACAGTCGATTAACAGTAGATACAAACTCACAGTGAGGACACCAGATGGGATGCGTTCGACACCCCATCATACGGCATTTCTGGTAAGAACGTCCTGAGTGAGTTCGATGTGGGAAACCATGTTTCTGCAGGTTACCCCATTATGGTACACGAAGGGAGAATGTTAGCCAATATGGCATAATGGAGAGGGGAGTAAGGATGGGATATGAACCAGAGCATGTGTCATTAGGGCTCATGGGCATGGATTTAGTATACATTGGAACACTAGAAGGACGGGCCCGGTTCAGTAAAATGCATCTGCTGGACCGTTGCCAAAATCAATGGTCGCTAATGACTGTATAAGGAAATTTGAAGATATAGAAGCGCTTGGATCTGACGACCGTGCCACATCGGACTAATATATGAAACAGCGACAAGCTGTGGTGCCTGTAGTTGCAGGGACATGCTGAAGGCTTGGTAAGGCAGTCAGGGAGCAGCATGTAGACGCAGGCAACCAGCAGTTTGATTTAGGCAATCAAGCACGGTGACTAGTGGCTGCAAGCGGCCCAAATGTAGCAGTTCGAATTGAGAGGAAAGTTACTATAACTTCTGCACTACAGGCTGTTGTGCGTTGTATCGCAGGCCGTTGGTAGCCGATCTTGAGACTGGCTGCGCCAGAGGGTGGCCAATAGCACCGCCCCGTCGGGCAATTTCCTCCTCAGTCATGGGGAAGCCCGTAGAGCTCGAAGATTGCCCGTGATATTCCTGTATACTCTCCGTCGGTGGTTTTCGAGCCACCCAGTGGCAAGGTGCTTCGCAGACCGTTGTTAATGGAAGGCGCAATTAGAATACAGTGCCAGGGTTTGAACGGCAGCAAATACATCCAGAAATTCTGGAGAGAAACAAACCAGGGAAACTTGATACAAGTGTGTTAGTAATGATGGACGGAAGAACAGAAAGGTATAAATCAGCCCGTATGAATCAGAAACCACTCGATGTGAACCGTGAATACAGTATTCTCCTGAGCCATCACAATAAAGCAGGATCGGTACGCCTGGTGTGGTGTAAACGAGCACAGAGCTCAAGATGCGGGAAGGAAGGGGGAAGCCTGTCTCCGGATGTAGATAACCTATCCGAAGCAACCACAACTGTGCGACGAGTGCGAGCCGCTACTGGGACCGCATTTAGAAATTAGTGACAATAAAGAAACAAAACGTGAAATAACAAGCTTTTCAATCGCGGATAAATTGGAGGTGTACTTACAGTGATTCGTTTACGAAATGGGGATAATCACGCAGAAAGCTGCTGTTGCAGGAGTCACTCAAGACAGGTGGCCGATTTGCGCCTGGGGTACATTTGATACCAACTGAACTCAAGAGCTAAAGTCACGTCGGACAAGCGCTAGGCAGGCAGCGCCCAATAAGGGAATGCTATTGTTGAACGGCGATTGCTGGGATGGGTATCGTTCTATCAGACTTGCAACCGCGCGGTTCGATTTACGCTATCGTTCGTATTTGGAGGCGTCAGAGAAGGTAGGATCAATGGTATAGCGACGTGGTTCTATAATGTTGTCCCAAGTTCAGTTGAAGCTACTAGAAATGACTGCTTGGTTGCTTATCTGAACATGTTTACGCGTTGATTCACAATACCAACTTGTCAGCGCGGCTGCGCCTTTACTGCAGGTTAATAAAATAACGATCTATAGCTGATCGGCGCAATATCCCTTGCGTGTCCAAGGAAAGGAGAATTAAGGCAAGATTGAGACTTGCCGACATACAAGAGCAGATGCAGCATTCCGGCGTTTGCAGTGAGGCGTCACCCTGCTTGAATAACTCACTATGTAGGCTCCTCGACCAGCTGCAACCCCATCCACAAGCCCAAGGAATCGTCGTTTGCGTTGTTGTGGTGGCAGCGAACAACTACTGCCTAATGACCGACCGTGATGCCAAGAGACACTGGCTGCTCGACCTAGGAGAAAAAGACATGGTTGAGTGATGCTGATGCTAGGTTTGTTTCTTGACTTGAGACCCATCATACTAATACCTGCTACTAGTTCCCCTGCCGACCATGTTATGCGACTTCTTAGACCATTAAAATGTGGTGAGACACGGAAAAGCATATCTCTTCCCGTCGTGGTGAGTGGGGGAATGGTGCATTCTCGTGAGTGCTGGCCAATGACCTCCAACGCCTGACTCCACAGTACGGCAGGCCGCTGGATAATGTTATAGCATTCAAGTCACTATATGGTCTTATGAGATGGGGATCCACCTCTGCTACAGCGGGTTGGATACTCCTTCAGTTGCGGCCCCTGTCTTCTGAGGTTCGGGAAGTAACGATAGTCTCCCTGTCTTCCAGAGACAGCATTGGCAACCACAACTTGGAACAGCCATTTCTTCCTGCTTTCTGATCGGAATGGCATGCCTTGCAGGGTCTCTTTACCGGTATTCTTCTGGGTTCTATCAGGGAAACAAGGTATTCTATCTAGGGATTGAATTCCGTATCTGAATCACGCCCGCTCTAGGATGCGACCTTTGCTAAGGGAGCCTAGCCTGTAAACCCATTGGCGGGAGTGCTGTGCCAGCGGATAGTTGCGCACGGGTGTCAAACTCGAGCTTGTCGTCAATATTCGTTTACAATTATGTCAGTACGCAACTCGCGATAGCATTACTTGAAACGAACTGCAACTCTAACAATATGGCAGGGTTCTACATCGATCCGCACGAAGTGCGGGAATCTAGTGGAGCCCGCGGAAAAGGTCTTCAGCGCCTGCAAGCTTTGCGACTTTTTCAATTATGGTTATGTCGAGCAGACAATCCTAGATGGCACCGTCACATCTACGTATACTCTAGTCCTGGGAGGAGAGTTCCCCAATTCAGCCTAGGCTCCTCGCCTGGTATGCCTCGGTTATACCAGTAAGGCTATAGTGCTGTACGTATGGCATGAATTGGACATTGTATGTTGACCGCAGATGGGGCGACGAATGCAATATACTTCCCGTGTGATCTAGCCTTGAAAAGCTGGCTGATGCAGTGAAATTCCAGGTTGGCGCTAGAGTCTCGTCCTTGACGGCTCTAGAAAGCCAACACTTACATAGTGCGAACAAGCTTACCTTTTTCTAGCGTATTTGTGATGTATAATTATAAGAGAACTGTACTGAACTATGTGTCGTGTAGACAGGTCCTAGAGCTTAACAGAGTGTCGCACAACCTATTCATACGCCAAAGGACCGAGACAATGGATGAAATTCTTGAGCTTTGTCAGACAAATTGGTCGCCAACAAGGCCAAGACACGTACTATCGTGCATGCTACCCTTCTTTGTTTTTGAAGGATCTGCAAGACATGATCCTGCACATACTCCATAGGCTGAGCACTTTACACAGGGGACAGTGTGTAACAGATCAGGGTGTGGACACAGCCATAGCGATCGCGGCTGACCTGCGTTGCGCTCTCGACTCGCTCAGGATGAGAAAGTACAAAAGTAACTAAACTTGGAAGGATTTTCTGTAGGCAGTAGGTCATTCCCAGATTCATTCCACTGGCAGGGGTCAAGTATTGAAGAAACACTTGTTCACAACGCAGAAGGTTGTTCCTATATCTGCGTGTCTGTCGGCGGTGCTTTCTCCTCTGTTTACGCTTCAGTCAGGGGTTGACCCATGACATTCAATATACATGGACGAAGCCAAGCGAGGAAACAGCGGCTTGCATACCAAAATAAACCTGCTCGATACTTTGAGAAATTGAAGGACATGAAAGCAAAGAAACCTATTATATAGTAAAATTGCACAGTACCCTTGCAATCTATGGATAAGAACAAATACTGTGCGCTCTCAGATTTGATAATCATACCCTCATTTCGGTAGACACATCAGAATACAAGAGCCATCTAGCGCCACTGACGGTTCGTTGTTGAAGGAAAGAAGATTAGGTAGCAACAATCCAAATGTAATCGCACAATGGACCGAGTGACCGCACGACCGACGGTCCCAGGACGAGCAATGAGCCGAGCATTAATTTTGGCAAAGACCCCCCGCTGGTACAAATCCGCGGAAGGAAGGTTTCTGGCAAGGCCCTAAATGCTCTAGCTCCTAGTCCTCAAATTGTGGGGGCCACCGCCTGTCCAATTACTGTTTCGCCTGGAGTAATGAGTCCGGATCAGCCGAACAACGTCAAGATGATATTGGCTACTCGCAGCATCCATAGCATCTACCCCGTCGTTGTCCATCATGTCGGTTAGAACCCGGTCGTCCTCCAGCAGCCGCTGCACAATTCGAGCCTGACCCGCCCGGGCCGCCCACCATAACGCAGTGCGTCCCCACCTGTCGGCGCCATTCCGGTCGGTCTGCCAGATTTCTAACAGACGCGCAACCACGTCCACATGTCCTTGGTGAGCGGCCATGGAGAGAGCAGAATCCCCTAGGTAGGTCCGGATATTGACATCCAGCCGCGGGACGCAATCCAGCAACCGCATGGCTACATCGGAATGACCTCGCGTAATTGCGACCAGGAGCGGAGACAAATAAGAGCCCCATCCCTAATTGACATCAATATCTCCACACTGCAGCAGGCGCTCCACGACCTGGATATGTCCTTGCGAAGCAGCTGACCACAGCGGTGGCTGTTCGTTTCGATTTTCTGCATTCACCTACACGTCAGATCGACCCAGCAGGAGCTCCACCATTGGCAAGTTACCTGCGTGGGACGCACAGCTCAGTGGAGTGCGGCCGCAGTCGTCCGTAATATTGGGGTTGAGAGCTGTCTGGGCCAACAACCGCTGCACGGTCTGCGTCGTATTGCAGTTGACCGCATGATGGAGCGGTGTTGATATCTCAGGCTGAGTCCGAAATCGACATACAGCATTGACGGTGACGTTTGGCTCTTCCAGTAACTTCAAAGCCACGTTATAGTGACCGTGTCGCGTGGCATACCACAGCGGGGTGCAGCCGTACCTATCCTCGACGTTGATATCAATGTTGGGCTTAGTCAGGAGTAGATCGGCCACTGCCAAATGCCCTTTCCAGGCGGCTTCATGCAAGGCGGTCGACTCCCGTTGGTCTCGCGCGTTCACGTCGAGCTGCTCGTTGCTCAATAGCACCTGGACGACTGGATTAGTGCCCTTTGTCCGCGGCGCGGTGTAATGGCGTTCGTCCTTCTAAACCCACCTCATTCACGCACCAACCACAGCTGAGGAATAAGTGCACTATCTCTGTACTGGATGTTTCATGGGATGAACATACTGAGAACGATAGAGCAAAGGAAGGAAACGACGGTAAGTTCTGGTCGGAATTTTCGTCTTTCCTCGACCTGAGGCCAGCAACGACATGTACGTTAGAAGCTGATGCTCCGCCAAATGTCTTCGGAACTTCCGCTTTGCAGAGTGATTGTGTCATGCCCCACCCGTAGGACGAGGCAGTCAAGGAAAATTAAGTCATGGTGATTGACTGCGCAATAAATGCCCTATAACTCGGCAGCATATCCCCATTCGTATTCAGACTTCCCTGCTGCAGGGTTGATTGTCGTCCTTGCGTTTCCAGAGCGAACTATTACTTCTGTGATGCGAAGAGATGGATATGGGTGTTTATCACTCAGATGAAAACCACATACTGGACAAGGAATAGATCTGAGCATGTTTCCTCATTGTCTGTTTGACTGGTGGTTTTCGAAAAGCTTGCGCTCAAAATTGGCTGTTATGGCGATCGGACAAATATGGTACTTTGCAATAATCGCGCTAGACAAGCCCTTTGTAACTTCTTTTGGCATCGGAAAACATGATCCTGGTAGGAAGTCTTTGAGAGCACAGCTCCTGGACATTTCATGTACTAGTATGCAGAAAGCGCAGTCACGGCCCCCTTAAAGAGCGACAAAAAACCAAATCGAACCTCTCTTGCTGTTTCAGCGAATCCCTGGTACGGTCTCTGGTGAGCCAATTACATGTAATAGGTAATCAGAGAGCTCAGACGAGTACACTCAACTTGAATTGAAAAGTCGCTTAAAAGTCTGGCTCTGCTATATATCCGGATTCTAATATCACATCTAATCGAAGTGGCGATCTCTCTCAGAATAATGGCTTGGCAGCTGAATGCATTTCGGTGTAGATAAAACGCTCACACAGTGCAGGTTTGCTGATTTGCATTACACACATACATGCATACAATCCAGCTTATCAAACAACAAACCCATTATTCATCTACGGTACAAACTCTACTACAACTGTCAAGTATATTAAGCAGTCTTCAGGGAAATTACCCCATATAACGCACTGCAGAAAATGTAAATTATGGAGGATGGGAAAGAGACTTGAGGGACGGGACGCGATCCATACCATACCCACACCAAACATTACAACCCCGCGAACAAAAGATCCACATCCACCGTCAACAAGGCAGCGAGACGACCATTGGAGGTTGGAAAGAAAGAAAGAGAGAGAGGTGTTTGTTTGTGCCACCAGACTAAATTACTCCGACCCGACCGCGGCTGTCAATCCCTCCCGGATTCTCCGTCTGTATGAGAGTGGAGCCCGAGGGATGGAGCCCGGTATGGTACTGTCACTCCCGTGACGATTCCCACTAACGTTAGGTAATAGACTGGACTGGGAGACCATCTAATTGTAGCTAGAAGCCCGTGAGGGACAAGGCAAACCGGTTACACAGGCTTGATGCCATTGGCACCACATTGATAACTAACTCATTGAGTTCACGTTGCGTGAATGATCTGTCGTCGAACAACATATGTGCCCATTGACAACTATGCAGACAGTAAGATTTTTGCTTTGGTGAACAGCAAGGAAGGGATGGAAAACAAATCCAGACAAAACAAATGCCCCAGCCAACTCCACGCGCTTTAATGAGAGTCACGCGAGTAGATATGACCAATGATAGATGGCTATAACAATGCACTTTCAGGAAGAGACGGGGATTGAACACAAAACAAAGGAGTATCTCGGTGGTATCGTCGCTTATGTAGAAATGAAACTGGAAGGGAAACGATCCAGTCACGCTAAAAGAGTGCGCCAGCAATGCTGTATGTGCGTCGCCATGGTACATCTATTGACGAAGGCGTTTAATGCGAAAAGCAGTCAAATCGATCGATTCCACCGACTGCGCACTATCATCCACCTCGATGGTGTCCATCTTCGACAGAGACTGCCTGTCAGCCTCAATGGTAGTAGCCGCGGATTCCACAATCGGTATTTTTCTCTTGTCCTCCTCTACCGTCTGGTCCTCTGGCTGTACTGCTTTCAGACGACGGACCTCATTGGTAGCCAGGTCTAAAAGGCTCTTGAATTTGCCTTCTACGCTGGTCAAATCCGTCGAACAATCTCCGGACCGGAGAAACTGATATGCAGCTGTCTCACACACCCCGTGAGCCAGTTCCAGCTGCTTCTCCGCCATATCGAATGGCGACTCTTTAGATATTTCCCGAGCGCGAGGCATCGGAGGGCCCCGGTTGCGGGCTCTGCGGATGCTAGATAGCACATCATCTTTGCCAGAGTCCAAGGGGGATAGTGAAGGGGCCAAGCTATTCATTCTTGAGCTTCTGTCCAGCATCTTGCTGCGATACCCCGGCAATGGCAGCTGAGACATTCTGCCTTTTCGGATGTTGTTGCGAGCTGTCCCAATATGGCACACCATTTCCTCCAGCACGTGTTGTGTGTGCCCGTCATAATGGATGGTGAGGTTGCTGCGCGTACTGACAAGCGGGTCCCTGTCCCTGGCTTCCATGGAGGGCGCATCTTCAGCACCACGTTTACGAGGGTTCACATTCGCTTGGTGTTGGGAGGTATCAGGCGTGGTGACGGTGGTATGTATTGCCGCTGCGGAGGATTGGGGCCGTGTTTCTGTTTCGGGGGCCGATGAGTGCAGGTCCTTGTTGCGAATGGAGCCGACAGAGCTGTTCTTGCGACGGCGCGGTCTCACAGTAACATGTCTTCTGTACGCCTCAGCGTATTCTGCGTGTTTTGCAGCGGTATAGGCGGATAGTTCCGCAAGTCCATCGATCCAGGAGGGAATATTCTCGGTGAGGTGGGTGAAGGCCCCCAGGGCGTCCATTTGAGCAAGCATGATGTGATTCAGTGTGAGGAGAGGGAGAACATTTGCTTTGTAGGCCGGATTTGTACTTCCGGGCGGAAAATTAGGTGTGGGGGTTGGTGATCCACTAAGCCCACTTTAGAATTTCCAGCCGTCTCGGTCGCCAGCAAGGAAAAAGCAGTAAGAACGGTTTTATGACAGATTGGGTTATGGGACAGAGTAGCGAATCCGTTTCGTCGTGGATTCGTGAACAGCCGATGGGCGGTGGTTGTGAGAACAAAGGTGTAGGGATTCAGGAACCTACGACTGTTCCATGGGTCGGGAACTGCTCACGAGAGCGGTATCGAGCTAGTGGGCGAGATGAGGAAAATTAAGGTACCGGGGAAGAAGAAGAATGAACAATGAAAGAGCAGAGGTGACTGACACTAGGGGTCGAACCACAATCAGGAGGTGGAAAGAAGGGGGGAAGGAAACGAGGGCAGAAGATAGAAGCAATGGAAGGGGAAGTGAGTTGGATGTGAAGGAGCTGACAGGACAGAAGGGAAAGAATACTATTACTATTACTGCGAGGGTGAGTAACGTCCCCGAAAGTGAAGCCCGAAGCGTGGGTCTGAGCCATGCAGCAGAATGCATTACCGTAATATTTCAGCCCGCCCTTTCACATGACGACGGACCAGGGGGGTTACCAGTACTAAATAGATAGTAGTAAGCAATGCTCGGTATTGTTATTAAAATTTCTCGATATGCTTCCATTGACAACACTCCCTCTTCCCACGCCTTTGTTATTGTTCGCTTTGTCATTGTTCGGGGGCCTTCGATTGGTTCCAGGCTGGTTGTCTTACGAGAAGAAGAGTTGTTGTGCGACGACACCCAAAGTACAAGCTCGGTGTTCCCCAAATTGGTTACTAAGTCCTTGCTAACAAAACACCAGACCAGCGGTGAGCGTTTCTATACTCTGTATCTTACTGTCGTGAGGGAGAACCCAGATCATAATAAGCATCATAAGGTGATTGTCACAACTGCGTATACCGATTGCCAACCACTACTTTCGGTACCAACAATGGTCAACAGAATGACTGAAGCAGCCCTTGGAATAACTATCCAGAACGTGCAACCCGTGTAGAAGGACGTACTCACAAACGCGTGGGAATCTCTACACTTGCCCCGCAGTTCTATGCTGCAGGTGCCAGATCCGAGACGGTCCCGACTAAGCCTGTACGAGGCACTGAGAGCATTAAGAATTCAAAGCAATATTAGCTCCCAGGCGGAAGATATGGCAGATACCCGGAGAAATGTCCTTCTAAATCCAGGATGTAGCTTGATCCGCGGGAAAGGACTTGAGTCTCTATGTCGAAGCCCGCAAAATCCAATGGCTTACATCGACAAGCTTTATGAACGATGCAGGCTCATTCCCCACCATTTCGAGAGAGTTCCCGAGACACTACTATTGTTCAGTCTCACTGCACCGCAATTTATTGTATGCCTCAGAAATCATAAGGGTATACCTGTTTGTCACTTACATTCACTTAATTTCACATCTAAAGCAGCTCGTAGTAAACATATAGATCCTCTGTGTCCGGACTGTGATTTCTACCATCTATCCACCACCGAACTTTGTTGGCTGTAGCAAACATGGCCAACACACGTTCAGGAAAAGATACTTCAAAAACCACTGGTGTTCACAAAAAGACCAATGCTCGAAAGACCAATGAAAAAGATGAAATGGCCGCCCAGAAAAAGAAGAATTGAAGACCAGTGAAAACAGCGCCAGCAGGAGTTCGAGGTCCTCATCTCACGGGCCATCCAAGCGGAAGTCACGGGGATTGACCAACACCAGCAGAACGGAGTCGCTGAACGAGCGCACAAGGCGATTTACGATCGGGTTGGCCCTACGCTCGCGCATGCGGGGCTACCACCGAAATTCTGGCCAGAAATTGCGCGAACCGTAGCCTTCCTGTCCAATCGGTCGCCCTCATCCAAACTCAACATGACTCCATATCAAGCGTGGTACGGTGACAAGCCGGACCTATCACGACTCCGAGTGATCGGATCCAAAGGGGAGTACTTGATTAACCCCAAACTGAGGAAGAAGCTCACAGGGCCAAGGACAAGGCCATGCATCCTACTAGGCTACGAGGGAAATACCAACTACCGTATCCTGCTGGAAGACGGACGAATCGTTGGGACCCCAAACGCTGAATTTCATGAAGTCCTTGAAGCTCCTTCCACACAGACCAGAGAAGATGTGGTGGCCAGACAAGACGGCTTACCTGCGGTAACGGCTGCTGCCGCAGGGGGGAGTGAGACGGTGGGACTAATAAACCAACCGTCGGTAGGCATACGGCAAGCATCCGTGCCCGCCCTGGGCGCCAATTGTCGATGGCACCACCAGAACAGGCCCTACCTAAGTCGAGCAAACATATCTCGCACACACTGCCTCGACCGAGTAACGATAACTCACGAGGGCTAAACCAGTCGAGTAACGAAGACTCGCAAACACCAGCGTCGTCTCAATCGAGTGACGAAGACTCGCAGCCACCCGTTGCTGTACAGGGAGATAGGACCTTGTCGCCCACAAGGAGTGACGATACCTTTGGACCATTCGCAGATGATCCACAAGACATCATCCAGAGGAATGAGTCACCAACCGGCGGCGACCAGCAACAAGGCGACGCTCACCAAGGTCAAGACCTAGGAGAATGGCAACGATATCCAGAACTCCAACGTGACCACCCAATTCATACGGTGCCACAAGAAGCACTAGAAAACCATCCTGAACTCAAAATTCGCGCTCCGCAGGCCACACTAGACACATTTAGTGATAGAGAAGAAGAGCTTGCGTTAATGAATATACCCAAAGAAAACATCATCCCAACGTTCTTAACAGTGGCTGCAAAGGAAACAGAACCTTTTGAGCCAAGTACCCTGCATCAAGCGAAAAATGACGCGAGCTGGCTCGAATGGGAAAGAGCAATGCTTGAAGAAGTGAACTCGCTCCACCAAAACAAAACGTGGGAGCTCGCTGATCCTCCCACAGATCGGCGGATTCTCAGCGGAAAATGGGTCTTCAAAGTCAAACAAGGACCGCATGGCGAAGTCATTCGCTACAAATGCCGATGGGTAGTGAGAGGCTTTACACAAGAAGAGGGGATCGACTATGAAGAAACATTCGCCTCAGTGGTCAAGCCAATGAGCTACAAAGCTCTATTCGCAATCGCGGCGGCCCTAGATCTCAAGATCGAGCAGATGGATGTCAAAACGGCATTCCTGTATGTGTACATAGACCACGAGATCTACGCCGAACAGCCTCACCACATGAGCGACGGCACATCTAAGGTCTGCAAACTTCGAAAGGCACTGTATGGCCTCAAACAAGCTCCTCGGATTTGGTACCAGACCCTTACAAATTTCCTTCGGAACCTCGGCTTCGAGCCGATCAGCACTGATCTTGGGATCTTCATCCGGAGCAATATGTACATCGCGGTGTACGTCGACGATCTTCTGATCGTGGGGCCAAGCACTGCAGAAATAAAGAAGATCAAGCGGAGCCTCCGAAACCGCTTCCAAATGACAGATCTAGGACCATGCAGTTACTATCTCGGAATGTCCGTTCAGCGAGACCGTCAAAACAGGACGCTATACCTCAATCAAGAAGCGTATATTGACAAGGTCGCTCACCAATTTGTAATCAGCAACGGCGCTCCTGTCGGCACACCAATAGAAACCTCACCACTTCCCGAGAACAGTCCAGGATATGACTGTCCTCCAAACCAAAGAGTCACATACCAACGCATTGTCGGGTTTCAAATGTACACCATGCTTGGAACTAGAGGGGACGTCGCGTATGCCGTCTCAATGGCGAGCAGGTATCTGGCAAATCCCGGACCGCAACACATGAAACTCGCCCGACGCATCGCGCGATACCTCAACGGCACAAAAACCCTCCGGCTCACGTACAAGGGTCAACCCCAGATGCTGAAAGGCTTTACAGACGCAGACTGGGGTGGATGTCGCGACACCAGACGTTCAACAGCTGGATATCTCTTCAATATCGGGAGTGGAGCAATCAGTTGGCAATCGAAGCGCCAAAGCGTTGTTGCCCTCTCAACTTGTGAGGCTGAATTTCTAGGCCAGACACAAGCAATCAAAGAAGCAACCTGGCTGAGAAGACTTCTCAATGAGTTGAACATGAGCCAAGGTAAAGCCGCCACGATCATTTGCGGTGACAACCAAGGAGCCATCGCCCTGTCTTCGAACCCGCAATATCATTCCCGCACGAAGCATATGGAAATCCAACGCAAATGGCAAGGAGAGGTCCAAGACCTTGGAACAGTGGAGCTGAAATACATCCCAACCATAAAGCAAACGACTGTACAGTACCGAGATGATGAGATTTTCTCCCATCTAGTGTGTCATTAACTGAGTCGGTAAAACTGGTGTCTCACTTGGCGAAGCGTATGTCATCGCGATCGCGGTACAGGCTGACGACTGTATTGGAATTCGCGGAACGACTTGCCGAAGGTTGTTGGCAAGCTGCCGACACGCGACGCGCGCGCGGGACGGGCCGAAACACGAACCCCCGAAGCCCCCGACCGCGACGAACGCGAAGAATCACCACCACGGCTACGACCCAAACGAGTCACCAGACCACCGAATAATTATGCCCGAGAACAGGAAGAGGAAGCTACAAGATATGCGTTGGGCAGTCAAGTTGAACGCCGAGGGAGAGGCAGACCAAAGACCCGCAATGAAACCGCAGCAGAGCGCGTTGACAGCTCAGAGGACGAAATAGAAACCGGCAACAGCAACCCGCACACGACTGAACTGCTCGCAGAGTTAGTCAAGTTACGAAGAGAAATCAAGAGAAGGGATGAGACCCACAGAGAAGAATTAAGGGAAGTTAAAACTCAGTTTACGGAAGCTCTTTCTGGAATGCAACAGGAACTAGCGGAGCTGCGTAATGAGTTGGCCACATCCCAAACCAACCATGACGAGACACATCGCGAAATCCAATCCCTACGTACCTCTATAACCACCCCTGATCCTACGAACAACCTGTCCTACGCAGATGTCGCCCGCACTCCTCCAACGAGCCAGCCAAGCAACATACGGACTCTTTCTTCGTTTAACACGACACAGACCACCCTCACCGATACATTATATTGCACGATAGATACCTCGAAGATGGCAGACAATGAAAACGATAGAGCGTCCGCAGGCCCAATTAGGGCAGCAGTGGAGAACGAGATCCGGGCAATGGAGAACCACACTAACTGGCGCTGTCGCGCGGTTACGGTGGACCCAAAGAACACCAACCGGATCCGAATTGCTTGCCGAGATGAAGCTGAACACCAGCTGGTTAAGAAAGCTGCAGAAGCAACAATTGGCGCAGGAGCCCGGGTGCTCCGCGACGACCTCTACCCAATTAAAGTCGACAGTGTCAGGAAGGCAGCGGTGCTAGACGAAAATAACGAGGTCAGGGTAGGAGCCGCAGCA